AATGTCCTGCAATGTAAATAGTAGTTTTTGTTTCAATATTGTAGTAAAAGGCGTAGGCATGTATTTGTAAAATGTGTTTTTGTATTCATACATATACATAAACACACATGATGAAATTTGAAAATCTAAATAAAGAGTAGGAAAAAATACTGACTGCTAGTCAACAGCTACATAAAGTGCCAGAGGTCTGTATAATGATAATAGATACATTTCCCTGAATAAAGGAGCTCTGCCGTTGTATTCCTTAAAACTGATTAGATACCAAAACTTACCTTGTCTTTTTCTGATACAGCCCAAGTATCTTTAACTGACTTAAAATTTGGATCTGTGATGGGGAGATTGACAATGGAGAACATTAACTTATGCAGATACAAATGTCTACAATGCCATAAGCCATAACTGACTGGTTTTCCCACAGGATACTTCTTGAACTGCAACACACTTTTCCAAAAACAGACTTCACCTAAAAATGGACAGATTGGGAGTTTTACCGAGCCTAATAAACGTAGTCTTTCCCAGGTCTTCTGTCTTGTAAAAGCTGAATCTCTCAGGGCTTAAAAACTTGATGAAAACCACCCTCCTAAAGTAACTATCACTTATGTGTGAGGAAAACCCTAAAATCTCTCTGCTCCAGTGGAGCTGCTGGCTGGCAAAACATGATGAAGTGTCTGTGCAGGGCAGCTCCCTGGTATAAATATGAGTATCTTCATGAGGCAGAGCATTTCTGAAAAACAGAGCGCATGCAGAGCAAACTGTCTCTGTACATGTTTAAAAATAAATTGCACCCCCACAGATTTAAATAAATCTCTGTTATTCAACACACAGGATAACTGTTTAAGCTTATAACTCTGCTACACTATCTATGAAATATTACTGCCCATGGAGTTATCCATTATGCTGAAAAGGAAGTCTGTTTTTTTCTCGATAGAAAAATTGATTCTAATAGTTGTCCAGATACTTTGATAAAAACTTTACTTCAACCAAAAGTCCCTGAGTGGCAACAGCAGTGTGGCCTGTTTTGTTTGTAAGCATATTAATCATAGTATGTACCTAATCACCTTATATCTTTGCTAAGAGGAAATATGGGTGTTCATAGGTTTACTGCAGCAGTAACATAATTTCAGAGAACAAGGGTGCAATTCAAAGATGTTTTATAACAATAATATCACAAATATAAAAATAATTTCCCCCAACCAAATTCAGAGGCAAAGCCACACATTGTAGCCAATACACTGTAACTCTAACATACACTGGCTGAGCCAGATTACAAGTTAGAGACAGGTTTTCGTGCCTGATTCTTGTTTAATTATTTTTCTTATCATTGCATGGCAAAAGATAATCCTTCAGCCCATGTAGCTGGGCACTTTTGGACATATCTCCTTGAACTTCACTCAGTTTCACTTGTTTTTCCTTCAGAAGCCCACAGTGCAAATTTAACCACCAAAACTATTTTGTGGCTCTAACAGTAGGAATATCCAAACAGGATGACAGACAGCAACACAATATCAACCTTCATCTCCAGATTCATCCTCAGAGCTGCTCCAGTGGCCAAGGTTGAGCTGGATGCTTGAGTCTCCCACCTGCTCCTCTCCTCCCAGGATCATCCATTCCTCGACGGGCTGCTCACTGTCCTCCTCCTCCTCCTCCTCCTCCTCCTGTAAGGCAGTACTGGAAGCTGGACTGGGGCAGCTGCTCTCCACCGGAGCCCGTCCAGAGGTGAATGCCAAGAGAAGTGGAGGAGAGCCTTCCCTGCTGAGCCATTTACAGCTGCTCTGATGTTTCCGGTCACTTAACTCGATCACTCCTTCACCATCTGAACTATTGGTGTCCACAATAAAGACTGCCTCCTCGCTGTCATCATCCTCTTCCTTTACCTTAGTGTAGTTCATAGTAAAACCTGACACAAACTGCGGCTGAACAGCGCCACACAACGACGGCTCGATGCAATGCTATCAAACAGCAGTTCTCAATTATTACAACTAACTCAGAAAATAGTCCGAAATAAAGCCTCCCGTTTCTTTTTTAATTCTATAATTTGGATGTAAACACACAAAATGTCCACACACGTAGGTTAACGTTAGGCTAACCAGCTCTATGCTAACAGTATCAGTTCCGTAGTAACAGAAGGTATTAATGGAGCTGAATTAGCAAACACAACTAAGTCAAAAAAAAGTATATAACGGCCTTTTTCGGAAGCTTACCGTTTTTAGTTCACAATATCTCGGTAAAACCCCATTACTAATTGTTTCCCTCCATACTACTGAAGGGATTGTTGCTTCCATGCTTGTGTAGCCGGCGTTTCCGGGAAAATGTTGGACAACCAAAACTAAACCCAGAGTTAAAAAAAAACAAAAAAATCACGGAGTTTGGCTGCTAGTGCCGTTCCCTGTGTGTAAATAGAGTAATATAGCCGTCATGAAGTAATGTTTAAGGATTGACTTAATAACAGAAACATTATAAGCGGTGGATTTCAAAAAATATTCCCATAGCAACGACTTTAAATCACTCTACAAAGGAATTTGGGGAGCTGGTACAGCACCATTTATAAAAGGTGTATATGTTGTAGTTAATTATTGATTGCTTTATTAATATTTATTAAATCATTTACTCATGCTTCATAGATCAGTTAAAAGTCATTAATAGGAGCAATTTTTGGGTTGCTCCTGCAGGACACTTTGCTTATTCGTAGTTTGACAAGCTGTTGATCTGCATGTAAAATTTAAAATAATACAAATGTACAAAGAACCGTAGTTAATGTTAAGTGTTGATGGTAAGAGCTTTAAAATGCACAGTAGGTGTTTAAGAAAACAGCCATGGTGTCAGATGAAAACTGCTGAGACTCCATGATTATTTTTTTCCACCGTGCCTTTGGATCCTATACAGATAGATCACATAGCCTAAGACTCTTTGAATGTCTAAATGAATGTCTTTTAAGTGATTATTGTTACAACCTCATTTGTTACGACTATGCTGAAGAAAGCAAGGACATTATAACATTTTCTGTATTGATGGTACAGTAGCAAAGGGAGAAATTTCTAAAAAGGAAAGTCAAAGGACAAAGCTTTAATAATTGGATTTTTATTTTAGACGTCTTAGAAGTCTTTGTATTTCTTCTTTTCCTCCTCTAAGGGCCGAGGTAACAGAGAAGAAATGAAACTAAATTAAATTTGCTTCATTAGACAGAGTTTGTCTCCGTTGTAATACTGATAGAAATATGAAAATCAATATGTAAAGAAGGGACAGTTATGGGAATGGCGCACTGACCAGTTATACATCCACTGGACCTGCCAGCAAGTGTAAATAGACTCTGTGATGCAATGGTAGTGAGTCTGACTCCAAATCAGAAGGTTGTGTGTTTAAATCACATCAGAGTCAATATATGTGCTTTAAGCTGGACAGCAAACTCCAGTCTTTCAACTATTGCCCTTCTTACTGTTCTAAACAACTGTACATGTAGTATAAGACTTATGATAATGGTTATATATATACAGTACTGAATCTGAGAAATGAAATTCAACCATTTAGTTCTCAAGAGCCTGACAAGGCCAATGTGTAGCGATAACACGAGATTTAGAATACATTTTGGTAAATGTTTGCTCTGAGCTGATTGGTGGACGTATACTATTGTGTATCCAGACTCTCTGGCACAACGGTAGCGCGTCTGACTCTAGATCAACAGGTTGCATATTCAAATACTACTAGTGTCAACAAATGGAAACTTCTCTAATCAAGACAGCAACTTGTGATTTTTAATTATTGGCTTTCTTACTGTTCTAAACAACTGTACATGTAGTCGATTTAGGATGCAATGGTTATTGTAGATACAACGGATATTGTAGCCACCCTGCATAACTTTGAAAATCTCGGAATTGCTCTGCTGCTCAGACGAGTAGCATTTACATTGGTGTATGAAAACCACACAAATGATTTAATGCGATACATAAAGATTTTTTGGTAAATGTTAGCTATGAGCTGATTATTGGATATATGAAATTCAATCATTCAGACTCTGTGGCGCAACGGTAGCGCGTCTGACTCCAGATCAGAAGGTTGCGTGTTCAAATCACGTCAGGGTCACTTATTGCGTTTGGTCATGAGCTGCATACTCAGTATGTTCCAGCCATAATATTGTGCATTTAATATCCACACAGCCTAGTTATTGGATAATATAAGTAGAGTACGTCGTATTTTCATATTTTCATATACATATTTCTCTAGAGGCTGCTATTTGGTTCAGGGCCAAAGCTGGATTTGCAATAGTGTTAAGGTGTGAGCTGATTCATGGACCTGTCAAAGGAACTTTATCTGAGTACAAAACTATATTTTTTAATCAAAATGTTGTCACTCTGTTGTTTCAGTAAAGACTCGGTGTGCCCTGCATCAAGTGTCTTCCTAAAACATGGGTGTATGTTTCTATTCAGTAATAATGCAGTTATAAATGTTAGTAAACTATTCATAAGTACTTAGGGTTTTGCCCTTTCTGAGTCATCGCGTCTGCAGTTGTAAATGTTAGTATGGCATTACTAAAGGGTAGGCTAATGGTTTCTCAATTTATGTTGAGCCATTAGTAAAAACTGGTCCGTCACCTGCAATTAAATGTTAATAAATCATTAATAAAGGGACCTTACATGGCGGGTTTTTATGGGCTAATCCCAGCATTTTTTAAACATACTGAAATCACAATATCACATGCTTCCTAACCGCTAAAAGCAAAAGGAAAACTGGTTGCGTGTACCAGTGCCATGAGTGTCCAATCAAACCAGGCTCGTGCAGCTGTCCACTGCTCAGGTGCTGAGAGCGGCAGTGAGGCTGTCCGTCCTGTCACTCAGCATCACAGACTCACGGGACAGAATCTGAGCAGTGCTCTCTGTGTCAAATCCTCTTCTTCTCGGTTTTACGTTTGAATGAAAATGTTTCTTCCTCCAAAACAACTACACTCGGTAGAAACCAACGACTAAAGTTCAGGAGGACTGCAGACTTTTTAGAGACATAAATGTGTGATGGAAGTAGGTCTACGCTTTGGACAGGTGCCGCTCGCCGTGAAGCACAGTAAGTAACGACGTTTCTTATTTTGTAGCCTACACCTTTTTGTTACTTATTATAACTGACTAATGTTGAGGGCACGGGTGTCCATGCAGTTACTTACAATTGAATGTGAATGCTGGTGTAGCAAAAACTCCGCTCCCCTCCGTTGCTCAGGGAACGGCGGGGTGAACCAGCTCGGCGGAGTCTTCGTTAACGGGCGCCCGTTACCGCACGTGGTGAGACAGCGGATTGTGGAGCTCGCGCAACTCGGCGTGCGTCCCTGTGAGATCTCCCGCCGCCTGCGCGTCAGTCACGGCTGTGTCAGCAAAATACTGGCCAGGTAAATTTATTTAGCTTATTTATTTATTTATTTATTTATTTATTCATTTATTTATTCATTCATTTATTCATTCATTCATTTCATAGACATTAATTATCTGTAACAAGTCAGGTTTTGGGGTGAAACATTTTGTTGCCTGCATGGCCTTTATTTGTACAGCACTGTACACTGACATAGTCACAAGTGTTACATTGTCCACACATGAAAACCAGCTACATCTTAAAATGTATAGGCCATTTTTAAATTCATATGACTATTTATAACTGCCCACTTCCATGAAAATGCATAAATGCCTAATATTTGACTGTGAAGGCTATGTTTAAATTATTTCCAATATTATTTGATAGGCTATATATTAGTGGCATGATGTCAGATGTTGGAAACTTTCCTTTAAGATTCTGGTCCTTGCTGACATGATTGCATCACATCATTTCTGCAGATTTGTCAGCTGCACATTCATGCTGCCAATCTCCCGTTGTACCACATCCCAAAGGTGTTCTACTGGATTCAGATCTGGTGACTGGGGATGACACTGAAGTAAACTGAACTCATTGTTACGTTCATGAAACCAGTTAGAGAAGACTTTTACTTTGCAACACCGTGAATTATAATGCTGGAAGTAGCCATTAGAGCATGGTAAACTGCGTCCATGAAGGGATGGTCAATACTCAGATAGTCTGTGGCATTCGAATAGGCTAATGATTTATTGACATTAAGGGGCCTTAAGTGCCATGAAAACATCCCCCACACCATTACGCCAGCAGCAGCAGCCTGGCCTGTTGGCACAAGGCAGGTTGGGTCATGGATTCATACTGTTGAAGCCAAATTCTGACCCTACCATCTGCAGCCTCATCAGCTATCCAGATTCATCAGACCAGGCTATGTTTTTCCAGTCTTCATCTATCCAGTTTTGGTGAGTCTGTGCCCACAGCTGCCTCAGATTGTGCAGTGTTGTGCATTCTGGGATGTTTTTCTGCTCACCACAGTTGTAAAGAGTGGTTATTACCATAGCCTGGCCATTCTCCTCTGACTTTACTCATTAACAAGGTGTTTCCATTTGCAGAACAGCTGCTCACTGGATGTTTCTTTGTTTTTCTCACCATTCTGAGTAAAAACTCTAGAGACTTGTGTGTGAAAATCCCGAGAGATCAGCAGTTTTAGAAATGCTCAGATTAGCTCATCTGGCACCAACAATCAGACCAAAGTCGTCTGCGGGATTTTATGCATTGCACTGCTGCAACATGATTGTTTGATTGGATAATTGCATGAAAAAGCAGGTGTACAGGTTTTCAGTGAGTGTATATAAATATATATCTCGTCATCCAAGGGTTTATTATTCATAATTTCTTTTTAATCTCAAGATTATGTGGTTTTCTTTGAATCTGCAGTAGATTGCTGTGCTTGTTTTCTCACTCTATTCCAACTTATATACTTTTCAGGTAAAATGTTAACCTCTCCTGACAGATGTCATTATTGTACATTCAGGTACAATGAGACAGGGAGCATCAGACCAGGAGTGATTGGAGGCTCTAAACCCAAAGTGGCCACTCCAAAAGTTGTGCAAAGGGTCTTGCATCTGAAACACACCAACCCCACCATGTTCGCCTGGGAGATCAGAGACAGGTTGATGCTTGAGCGGGTGTGTGACCATGACAGCGTGCCCAGCATCAGCTCCATCAACAGGTATAGAGGACCACATGTGTGTGTTTGTTTGACAACAGAGATCATTGAAATGAGTGTTGAGTGAGTTCCATCTGTCTTCACAGGATCATTAGAAGCAAAGTCCAGTCTGAGTCGTGTGAAGTTGGTAAGTTTTTCTTTGTCTTCTCTCTCTTGGTCTGTCCCCCTCTCTGACTCTAATGGTTCCTGATGCTGACCTCTGCCCTGCAGTATCATCAGCATCATCTGTTGCCATGGGAGCATCCCATTCCTCTGAGTCCACCTATTCCATCAGGGGGATTTTGGGAATCAGAAAATGTAGCAGCAAATATAAAACAGGTAATAAAATCTGTGAAGGTGGTCATCTTATGTGCATGTGTTTGAAAGTGTACGTATTGTATTTGAGTATATTTGACTCTGTTTGATAGGCCTTTCTCATGGAAGACATTTTGACATGCCACAAGGGGAAGCACTGGTTGAATAGAACAGAGCCACTGTTCATGTTAATAGTTGCACCTGTGTTTTTCCTATGACAAGTCAAAACGACTGCTGTGAAAAAGGCCTGCTAATTATTGAAACCATCACCCTCAGTGAAAATGTTTCCTTTGTGATGAAACAGATTTTTCCATTAACTTTAATACAGTTAAAAGTTTTCTCTTAATTGCCAACTACCAACACTTTACAGTACATGTGTGTATGTTTCTTCATAGTGTACTGTTTTGGAATTTGGGATACAATAAATTAATGCACTTTATTATATACTAACTGTGGCTACTGCCACTTGCAAAGTTGAAAAGAGAAATCCAATTTTTCTGATTTAATTACAAATAACAAAATAAATGATTAAACTTTATTTTGTTTTATTTTATTTTACAAGATATCTTTACATTTTAATTTGGTTATTTTTTTAATTTTCTATTTGCAGCTCCTCCTTTTTTGTTTTGTATACTTTATGCTTTATACTACTTCAACACTGAAAAATCAAGCAAATTTATTTTACTTGCTGCCTGAGTGAAATATAATTAATTCACATTTTCTTAGAGCAGGCATCCACGGTCCTAATGAAATATACTTTAAGACACTTTTCAGTAACTTCACAGGTTAGCTGTGATGCTTCTTCCTTCATTTAAAAAAGCCATTTAAGCCATTCATTTAGTCACACAATCTTTATTTCAGACAACCTATGGGTAAAGCCTGATGGAAGAGAGTTTCTGAAACAGGATCAAATTGTAAAAAAAAAAAAAAAAAAAAACTTTATCGACTGGCAACTTCTTTTCCTCTTTTTTATTAACCAAATGTAAGATTCCACACTGGATGAAACATCTCATGAAGATGGATTTACTTTCAGAGCAGACAAAGAGATTACAGTGCGGTCTCTGTGGTACCGGACCACAGGGACTCAGACTGATGAGTAAAGCCGGCGGTCTTGTGTTAATATGAGTCTGAATGAAACAACCTCTGCAGCAGGAGATCCACCTCATCACCCCAGGCGTCTGTCTTCTCAGCCAGCAGGCTCTCTGCTCCTCCCTGCCTCCCCCTCACCTCTGCCTCTCATTACAGGCCGTCTCACATCTCCACTCCTCCATCACTGAAGCCATTAGAGTAGGAGACCAAACAGATAAATACGCACAGTTACACTTGGGAATACACACACATGCATGTATTTTATCATTCTTCTAATTAGAACAAGTGAAGCTCACAGTTGGGGGGTGGGGGGTACAGAGGGAAATAAAAGTGAACATGGACTGAAGCTGTTTTGTTTTCCAGGCAGGGACGTCTCCTGCAGTGTGTACCACGATCAGCCATGTTCCTGTAATGACGCCTGGGGACGGTCTGACCCCCGCCTGACCTCTATCTCTAGTCTGACCTTTTACCCCATCCAGGCAGCTAATCATAATCCAGACCTGATAGGTCAGTCTGCATCAAAATATGAACATTTTTGTTCAGCTTTTATGTGTATTCTCAATGGCTTTTTTCTCTTGTTTAGGGTCCCCATGTCATTACAGCTGAAGGGGGCTCTAAAATACCCCAGAAGAAAGAATAGCATCCGTTTTTGAGCCAAAAACAATGTGATTTTACAACTGGATTGAATGAAATTTTATGTGTTACAAAATAGATGACATCAAGATAGAAACCTACAGCACAATTTTCAAGTATGTTCAAATAAAACTGAAATGACATGACTCATTTTTTATGTTTTATTTACATAATATGGGCTCAAAACATATGCTGTTATTTCAGAGGCTTCATGGAGCTTCATCAGTCCAACATATTAGCCCCCATCCATGGCACCTCTGTGGCCATTTTCTCCTCAGTCAGTGGTTAAGGTGGAGCATCATTAGGGGCCCTGTGATGGAGAACAGCGACTGTTTTTTCTCCTTAGTGTGCGTCTCCCTGGCCTCCCCTCCAGGATGAGGGATTAAAGGAGAAGATGGGAGCTGCCAGAGGGACCGGCAGGGTCAAATAACGCAGCTGAGACAGAAATCTGTGGCCAGCAGTGGGCATCAGTCTGCAGGAGGCGTGTAGAGAACAGGTGTTTTTACTGTGTATATCTACATACAAACACACATCCACAAACATGAATCTCACATCTTACATCTCTACATCTACAACTACTTGAGACTGTTAAGAATGAATACAATTTTGTGCCGTTTTCCAAACTTTTTATTCAAATAACTTTTCACATTATGAGCCATGGCTGAATATAACTCTCCCAAATGTCAAACTAATTGCATTTTATGTTTAAAGCCCAAAATCAGAGAGCTTTACAGTCTTTAAAACACAAGACACACTCTATACTCTCAAACATTGACAGGGAAAAAAAGGAAAAAATCTCAAGGACAGACGGCCCTGAAATAAGTCTAAAATATACAGAGCAGGTATAGTATAGCAGGTATAGCAGGTGTAGAATTACAGTACTGAGACAGAGAATGACAATTAAGAAATTAAGACATTCAATAGGTAAATTATCATTATTAGTAAATAAGTAAATAAAGTACGAGCATATCATATTAAGTGAAATCAATTGGAGAGTCTCTGGCAGAGTTTAAGTGCTTTTATTGTTTACAGACACACCTGTGCTTTTCTTGCTATTATAAGTCAGAGTGTTTGCTATGAAAAGACCAACTGGTTTTATGGGTCAGGGTCACACGTGTTGAGTATATTATAGGAAACCACAGGTCTGTGTTGTAAGTTTTGTTAGAAGTAGTGGAAGACTGCATCAATAGTTACACCCCTAAATCTCTTTGTAAACTCATTCAATTTGTTCGGCAGAAACACCAGAAACGGAGCTGTGTTTCTTTTTATGTTTTCAAGCTCCAACTCATTAAGATAAGAAAACTTACTCTGATTCACTTTTGCAAACAACCAAGGTGAACTGGCCACTCAATATCCCAGTATAATCACTTGTGTTGTAGGCTTTAGTTGTATGCAGCCAATTCTCCAGTGGACGTTATGAGACGAGCTATTGGTGCCAGGTGGACAGAGACACAAGTGTAAAGCCAGACAAATCAAAAGGGAGCTCTTATTTCTGGTTCAGACAATGAAACCAACAGGGACTCGAGCAGAGACGTAAGGCTGTGTTCTGTGATATAACATGAGCCAGGTCTATCGGTGTCTTGAGGAGTGAATAAATCTGAAACTACCATGGAAAAATGTTTAAATCAGTGGCTTTTGTTCTCATTCTCAGCCACTCTCTCCTATCCAATAATGCAGGTCTCTGCTGCATGCTGTGCAGTGCAGCCTCCTGCAGAGAGATAAAGATAGATTTTTTTTTTTTTTTTTGAAAAAACAAAATGACTTACTGTTTAAACTATGTATACACACACATAGTTAAAATAATGTAAAGATTTTTAATTGACCAGTGAATTTTTAAGTGACTACAGAAGATAAACAATGTGGACATATAAGTGGAACATTCCTTTAAGGGTGACAATGAGGATAATAACATTAAAGGTAAACACAGTGTGGAGTGTGGACAGACTGGCTTTTGGCATCATTTTTAATTACTGAGCAAATGTTTCATGTGCTGAGTCACTCCTCCCAACAGGTGGACTTTGCAACCCACAGGGACAGAAAGAGGACACGTTAACAATTTTGCTTCTACATACAGTATCTAAAAGTTATGCATTAAAACTCTGCATTGACACTTTTCTTGGGTAACTCTTGTCAAATAATGACAGCTGGCAGGCTGATATGTTGGTTAATACCAGTTAAACATTAAAAGCTTTGGATGCAGTTGAAATAAAGTTGAGAAACTAACATGTCTTCTCACTGGTTTGCCTCCATTATAAATATATTATGCAAAACATTACAAGTGAAAGAACATAGATAGATGCTTAATGTAAAGCATGTATTCATGTTGAACACTTATTCTTATTTGATTTTTTGTGTTTCATTTCCTAAATTGAATAAATTGGATAATCCCAAATAAAAAATACTCTGACAAAGGAATTATGTGTTAAAATATTCGGCACAGAAGCAGCAGTGAGGAGGCACAGCTCTGCCTCTGCAGGTCTCTAGTTTAGTTTCACTGCCTTGTTGTCACAGAGGAAAACAGTAACAATGTGCAGCCACTGTCTAGACTGCTGTCTCACCTACTTGAAGGGCTGCAGTGATGATGGTGATGATGATGATGATGATGAACATGATGATGATGATGATGATAATATGTGTCCGGAGGGTCGATCACCCAGCAGCCATGATTGGTTCAAAGAATATCGCTGCCCAGGTGATGTCTGCAGAAAGTGTGAGCAGGCCCCAGAGGGTGGTTTCTGTTCACATGTGTCACAGGTGAGATGAGGTGAAATGTTTTCTGCTGCTGCTATTATTACAATTACTAACTTATGCCAATATTGACTACTGTATGCTTTGTGCAACTGTTTATAGACCAATTATAGTATTATGGCTTGTGCTCTTGGTGTTGCAACTAATACTATACACCACGACATCCGTTATTACTCTTATCATTATTATTAGTACAGGAATGAGCCTTTTGTTGGCATGTGCTACCACTGGCACTACCAAGGCAATTATGATGTCTTTATTATTATTTCAATAATAAAAAACAGACTTTTACACATTCAAGTAAAAATAAAAGCATAAAACTAAAAACAAATCTCTGAAAGGCTCATTTAAAGCTTTACTGCATAATAAAATTAGTATTTTTGCATCAGTAGTTGTATGAACAGGGTATGTGACAGACAGAACAGTCAAAGCTAGTCAAAGCTTATTGATTAATTTAATCAACCCTGACTTAAATCAATAGATCATGAGTTATACCCTGTAAACACATATTCAGTTATATTGATGAAAAATTTCCATTAACAGCATTTAATTCATCTTGACAGGATTGAGCTGTTGGTCACAAGTGTACGGTCAAAAAAGTGAAAATAATGTACATTTGTTTTGGTATAAATACACTAAGTATAACCACTATATATAGGTAACCCACAAAGGGCCAAGGAGGCTACTGATGATCTGTGTGCTGTCATTCACATTCCTCATGTATATATATATATATATATATATATATATATATATATATATATATATATATATATATATATATATATATATATATATATATATATATATATATATATACTCTAATAATCTATAATGAACCCATTACAAAGTATAAACTGTGACTGAATGTTGACTTAGAAAGGGTAATTCTTGTAGTTAAGGTTAATCTAGGTTAATTCACACGTGAGCAATCTCCTATTTACTGAATTAAACCATAAAACCATGAAAACCATATCTACTCACACCCTGTGTTAAATGCGAGTTTGCGTTTGTGTGTGTGTGTGTGTGTGTGTGCGTGCACGTGCAAACACATGCCTGCATGCTTCATTGCTTCTCAGTATGTGGTGTAAAGCTGTCTTGAATTATGGCCAGGTTCAAAGTACAAAAGTGGATTTTTATTTGGAAGATTTTGCACTGAACTACTTCCGTCTTTATAAATCACTGCAGTGTTTCCTCATTTCAGACTCAAAACTGCACTAAGACTGGAGGAAGAGGGAGAGGAAAGCTTATCAGTGTAGGTTTAGAGATTACAATAATCATATCAGGTATACAAAAGACTCAAGGTGAATTCCTCACTGCTTTGAGAGCTGCACAAGGAAACAACAAGGAAAAAAATCTTCTTGAGAATCAGCTCAGCTGAATTGTTTATTCAGTGCTAATGACTACACTGCTGGACAAACAGAAGTGAACTGAAAACTGAACCAAACCAAGCCAGAAGACTTTAGACAGAGCGCTGGACGATGTCTGTGAACCCCAGAGTTGTTCACAAGAGGAGGGCGACAATCACAGCTCTGCCTCTCTACTACTCTGGACACCTGCTGAAGAAACACACCGAAGACAAGGTGAGAACAAAGATGGGAAAGTTTCAGAATGTACAAGTGGAGAGGGAGTAGAAATATCAAGAAAAAAAATCAGGGGGATTAAACAAGTTATAAATGGTGTGAAATTTCAGTATGATAAGAATATGATTGGTAAGGGTTTTATGAAGTATTCTGATATTTTACTTAAGTAAATTACACAATGAAAATACCCCATTAAAAGTAAATGTTCCACATTCCAAATGTTACTGAAATGAAAATACAAGAGTATAATTAGTACATGTACATCAGTATCAAAAATAAAATAGCTCATTATACAGAATGGTCAATGTCAGTGAAATGTTATTCTATTTTTGGATTATTATTGATACATTAACACATGAAGAGATGATTTTAACTATACTGGTGGGTCTTTTATCCAGGACAATGTATCACAAGTTATTAGACAATCACGTCTTTTATGTAAAATCTTAAACTGCAAATAGCTTGTCACTACAGCTCTCAGATAATTGAAATATTAAGATACAGTAAAGTTGAACCATAAAGTAGCATGTGCGGACTTAGTTACTTTGTTCCACTACTGTGTCAAAGTGAATGGTGTGTCAAGAACTGCAATTCAAAAATGACATTCATGATCTTTAGGATTTCAAGAGTTACTATGGAGAGCTTCGCGGAGCCACGCTGTTCCTCTACACGGATGACACACAGGATACAGTAAGAAAATCATTTCATTTTGCCAGTCACTTGCAAGGAAGAGTGGGATCTTTATTTACAGATTCTGAAAATGTGTGTATGATTCATTAAACAGTGAGGGTAGCATGTGTTTTCCAAAGAACAGATGTACAAGCAGAGGCAACACTGTTAAGTGGCTATAAGGAAGCAGTGTGGGTAAAATAGATACAGTAATTACTTTAGATCAAATGATGAATGTGTGGACACCCAGTGATGATTCTCACACATACATGGTTTGCTTACTTTGTCAGTACACTGAGAAGCTGGACCTGGAGCAGCTCAAGTCCATGGAGTTAAATTCTCCATATCAGAGGAAGACGCCAACCATCTTCACTCTCACCCTGCTCACTGAGGAGGTGCAGCTGAAGGTGTGGTACCATGAAACCTGACATGTTTCTTTTTCCTCTACTCAAAGACATGGTTTCAGCCTCAGGTCCATGTTGTTCAAGAATGAGTTATCAAAAAATGTTGCGCATCCAATTTAGTATCATTAAGTATCACAATGTATACAGGTTATACATTTATTAGAGCCAAGTGAAATCAAGTTGATCCTAACCACAGTGTTACATATACAGTATATTTAATGGTTAAATAGTTTTAATATTGGTCTTTGTGTCTGTGTCTGTTGTTTGGGTGACTGTACAGATGGACAATCCTGACACAGGAGAAGAGTGGAGGGGTTACATCCTGACTGTGGTCAAAGTAAGCAAACACACTCACACACACGCACACAGAGAGAGAGAGAGAGAGAGAGAGAGATGCTACCAACAGTACAGAATATTGCTGGGTTCTTGTAAAGAAAAACCCAAAATGAAATAAAATGAAATAAAATAAAATAAAAGTAATAAGAAAGCCTCAACAACTGAGCTCAAATCTGCTCAGAGGATTTTTGGTGCCTTTTGAAAATAATTCTTGGCCATGTAATTCTTTACCTTTTTGATGAACAAAGCCAAGCACAACAGATAACAGGAAATTTCCTGGTTAATAATTAGGCAGCAATTTGGCTCAAGGTACTTCTGGGGACAAACGTCTCTGAAGACTGAGAGCAGTAATGACAAACAAGATTATAAGCAACAGAGGAAGAATATCTGCAAACTGATAACAAGCTCCCATATAATATTTTTATAACATGTGGAAAAAAAATGTTGTGTTTAATTGTGTGGAGTCTGTATTTTTCTTGATTGTATTGAATTTTTATAAATGGTGAACAGTAACAGACTGATAGTTGATAGTAATTGATAGTGTTATTAATAACAATGAGTGAACTACAATGTTTCCTTGTAGAAGCAGATTCCCAGTAAGCTGCAGCTGCTGCCTGGCCAGATGTTGCTGCTGCAGGAGGCTCTGGATCAGGAGAGAAGAAGAAATCCCCCCGTGTTGCGTCCACCTCTCCCGCCTCGACCAGCTTTCCTGCGCCCGGCCTCACCATGCCCCTCCCCTGTACCAGCCAAAGACAAGCCAGACAACAGCATCCTTGACATGCCTGCGTAAGTTAGAGAATCTCTAGAAAATGTTTCCTCTGACAATCACAGAAATAGTCTAGAGATCTTCGCTTGGAGGCTTTTTGTGTTTAACCTAAAACAGAACATGAAAAATTCAACTGAATAGTTTGAGACATTATAGACAGGGGTTTTTGAGGTCACTGACAGTTAAAACCTTTGTGTTCACCTAAACTGATGAACATGTTGTCCTGCCCTTTGCCCTCTGAAGTGACATACGTGCACCTTTTTTACCACCACTGCCAACGAGGAAGTCTTTATTTTATTCCTGTATCGCTGCAGGTGTTTCCTCAATGTGTCTCGGGAAGAGGCTGAGAAGATGTTGTGTGCGAACCCGGAATATGGAAGCATCATCCTTCGCCCATCCACCATGGCCAACAACTACGCCCTGACCCTCAGACAACAGACCTCCAGGTATCTTTAATGTACCACTGATTACAGACTAATGCAGGGGGTGGTGTTCAGCTTACTCTTTTCAATAGATATTAATCTTTGGTTTTTATAGATTTTCTTCATATATGTGTATATTTTGCTCTTGTGAGCCATCAAACACATACATGTACAGGAGGAGATGGGGCATAGGAGTTCATTTGAATCTTGTATACATGGGAATATGAACATGGGATTGTAACCAAGAATCTAAATCTAAATGACACATTTTTTAAACTCAAATATAACATTGTCTCATTAACAAAGTCCCTCATTAGCACATGGATCATTTGCGTCTCAGTATTGAATTTTCCTGGCAATCAGTAAACATGAGACAGTTGAAAAGGGGATCAACATATGGATGTGGTGGTTATTGTGGTTTTGCTCATTGCAATTATCAGAGGCCCAGTCAGGACTAAGCAAATAATCCTCCTCTTCCTTGTGTTTCAGAGGGCATGTCATGAAGAACTACAGAGTGTCCTCCTCAAACTCAGGGTTTGTCATTGAACTGGAAACAGCAGTAAGTCCCACAGCTCCTACCACAACTATTAACTTATGAAGACATGAATTCAACGTGGCATTCACTGAAAGAAAATCTTATTACCAGATTTTTCAGGTTAGCTGTTAACCTGCACTGCATGCTTGTTCCACCATTTCTGAAATCTGAAACTGGAATAGAAAAGATTTTTGTCTGGATCAGGCTCCTCCTTGATTTCATGAAGTTATTACACTCAGATCTACCATCCTACAGGGTGTTAAAGGTGCAGTAGTGCCTCAAGTTGGGAAACTGAATACCTTTTCTCTTTATTATGGCTGGTAATTGCAAAATACATTTATATGTGCTCATTAAGAGACAGGTCTATCCTGCCACCATATAACCAAGACAAGAATGTGCATTTGCATTGCCCCTTTAAGATTGTTCTCCACCACTGTAATAGTCAGACAAAGTGAGAAAAAAATATATATATACTGTATATATGCGTATAATGTATAATGTACTGAGCACTGTTCAATGACCACAGTACAGGAAACTTGAACATACAAAAATCTAAATCTAGCAATGGAACTATTGGATCCTAAAACTGGCCTCTTTTTGCTTTTCTTCCTTTGTTTTCCTCTCTGCAGGTGACAGTGTCCACCCTGAATGATGTACTCAAATACTTCCTTGAAAAGACAGAGTACCGTCTTCATCCCTATATGGCATCTCAGCCCTACGAAACTCGGATCGGTGAGGAGAACAGTGCTTTTAGAAATAGTCCAAGCTGCACAGGTACAAGTACAAGTATACAGCTCCTAACAGTGTTTATACGTGCGTTCAGCAGAGCCGTCACCTGCTCCAAAGAACATCAGCATCACTTCACCTGCACTTAAAACAGTACCCAAGGCACAAGTGGCACCTATGCTGCGGTCGCAAACCAAGGAGGAGTCTCTGCCCCCTCCAACCAAGCCAGCAGAGGGTGAATACGTGGTTCCTGATGACCACAGGCCTGATGAACACAAACTAAAACTAGGTAAGAATGACGGTGAATATTTGTTTTTACATTAGTAGGCTACTTATCAGAGCTGCTTTAGGTGCAAATTAAGGTGTATGTATGGGAGAAATAAGTCAGTCTAAATGAATGACATGTTTCTTTCTCTAAACTAGATCAGCTGGACAGTGAGCTTCGCCAAGTTTTAAGATTACGGAGGGAGAGCATCCAGACTGCAAGTGGCGAGGACGAAATGTATGAGAATCAACTCACTGAAAAAGCCCTCTCCTGCACAGCGCAGTGGACAAAGAGTGCGGCGGAGTGTGACTCATGAACTATTGTTGCTCAGTAAGAACCTCACAAGACTGCTCATTTAATGTGTAACTTTGATCTTTAGCTGCTAGATCACAAGCTTCCCAGTGGATTAAACATAATTCTGCCACTTTTTGGTGCGTATGAGGGACAAATTAAAAGAAAGCTTGTAAGAAAATAGATAGAGCAATGATAAATAGATTCAGCAATGAATTTCAACCATATAGACCTCAAATCTCTTCTCTCTCTCTCTCTCTCTCTCTCTCTGTATGTTCGGAAGTTGCATGAAGTTACAGCTTGCTACATGTTCAATATGAAACAACGACACTACAAGACCAAGTTGAATATTCATTAAGAGTCTGCAGGCACGCCAGCAGGCCTGTGAGGCTGTACTCAGGCACAGCAGTCATTTGAGCATGCTAACAAGCTAATGCTGACTTTGTGACGTTCACCAACTTAGTTACAAATGTCTCGGCAGTACAGTTAAAAGTTATTGAGATGTGTCCATAAAAAAAAAAAAAACTCTCTCATGGTATTAGAGGAAATGTGAGGGGATCACCAAAACCATTTCAAAAAATCATCTGTGATCAATGAATGTGTGCTGAATATTTTTGTGCCAACTATGTTTAGTAGATGTTGAGGAAAAGTCAGAGGAACTCCAAAGCCAATATAATTTATCCTCTAGGGCCCGTGAATATCTGTAGCAAATATCATGAAAACTCATCCCTCTAGATGTTTGGATATTTCAGTCTGGACTAAAGTGGTGGACAGACAGACCGCCTTTGCCATCCCTAAAGCAATGATACTACCATGGGTGACAAGCTTATTTTTACTCATCAATTTGTCTCCCTTTCCAGAACATTAAACAGCAAGAGGAAGTGTGAAATTTTAGAATGGGAAAACGTTTATTTACCAATTTACCAGCAGATTCTAATCATGTGGGGAACAAAATTTTCTCATGGCCACATCTGGCCTCCAGGTAGTTCGTTTGAGACACCTTCTTCAAAAGTTCAGACAATTTGGAGATACAAGATTTTCACATGGCAACATAAAACTGAATGTCATCATTGAGTCTTTATTCTGTTCCTGATGAAAGATTGTTTACAAATCACTCTATTAGGGTGTGCATCACTGTTAAATCGAGCACCAAGACATCTAAATGACAAGAGCTTTGTGATACCGACAACTTCATGAACCTGATTCAAACAGGTTAAAATATGATTTCAGCTCGGGCTGCAGATAATAGTTATTTCTCAATTCACCTTTTAGTCAGATCGTCACATTTGAGAAGCTTGGACCAGCAAACGTTTATTATTTTTGATTGAAAAGTGACTCAAAATGTCGGATCGATCACCAAAACAGTTGCCAATCAATGACTGAACGTTGCAGCTTTGGTTTCAACTACATGTGATATCCATGTTTTATGTCTCACAGCTTGAAAGCTTATCAAGCCCTTCCTGTTTTTGCTCAATATCTGTGTTTCAAGTGTTAAAAATTAACAGAACACAAACATTGTGTGAACCAATTATTATACAGATCACAATGATTGTCCATTTTTGATGTGAAAGAATGACGTAACCGTAAAAATATCACATGACAGACTCACATGAAGAAGAAGACGCAACCATAATCAAGATTTATCATTATTCTTTATTTTCCACACTTAGGAGTAAGCCAACATAAATGTTTCAAATGTTATAATCATAGTTTTTATAAGTTATTCCATTAAAATTGTATTTTCATATTTTTCATCATCATGGATCATGTTATAGGTTTAAAGTTTAAGGATCATTTATCACTCAATAGAGACAGCAAGTCTGTGAAAAATAGTCAATAAAAAAAGAAAAACAAAGACTCTCCCTTTTGTCTCCTCCTTCATGTAGTGTGTGTCAGAGTACCTCTTCTTATTTAATACCTCCCACATGTGTCACTCACACTCATTTCTTATATTCTGGTCCTTTATGCTCTCCTGTAGCAGCCTTCATGTGAGAAAGACAAATAAAATATCTGCAATAACTTAATATCTCAGGATTTAAAAAAATAAAAATAAAAATAAAACAATAATTTAAGAGGATTGTTCCCCAATGAAGACCCGCCTCCATTGCTGCTATTGTGACATTACTTCTCGGTGAGTGACAGCTGTAGGATCCGCTCCAGCTCCTCTTCTTCCTCCTTCTGCTTCCTATGACAAAAACAAGAAATGAAGCTCGTCAGTCAAAGCAGTGAACAAACTAAACATCTTACTTTCCAGGAATGGATTCCTCTTCCTCACCACAACTCAAGTTTCATTTCAAACAAACGTTATATTAAACTTTCATCATTTGATAATATTTTTTAGTGGAAAACTTCCTCTTCAATGTAAACAACAATTAAAGTTAAAATAAACAAGAATCTAACCGCACAGATGTGTTTGAATGGTTATTTAGGAGACTGTGTTTATAGTAAGGACCTGTTGCATATAGCTATTCTGTCGTTCTGTTGTTTTAGTGGAGCGATCTGACACACTATTGATGAATGCCACTCTGCATTTATGAGTTTTGGATGTGAAACACGTTATATAGCTTTCTGTTTACAGATTTTGTTTACAGGTTCATTCATGCCCAGTCTAAAAAATATTACTTTTAAAACACAGCTAAACTTAAAGCTGCCATTTTAGCATCAAGAACAACAAGAGCAAACCACTGCAGCTAAAAAGTCAGTGTAGTTGTATTATTGAATTAAAGGGCATTTTAATGTCAGACTTTAGTATATAGTTCAAATAATTGCATGGTAGTGTTAATGGTGTTTGGAGAAGGTCTCTTTGTTACAATGGCATAAACAGACACATAAGAACCGACTTGCTAAAGAGTACTGGGTTCCTGCAGGTATTTTTTTTTCCCAGGAAAAGGAAGTAGATTACCCTGTAAATACTGTAATCTGAGTTTCCCAGCATGCAAACCATGACAGATTAAAGCGGCAAGGGGCATCGTTGTCCTTGAAATTCATAAGTACCTTGTTTTTTAATTTTATATTTCAAGTTTTCAGAATTTCACAAATGAATCTGACTTCTTTTCTCAATCAGCCAGGAATGATTCAGCCAATACATGACTGTTGTCATCACAAATACCAGGACTATTCACACTACATTTACCATGTCATTACTGGGGCTGCAAACAACTATTCATTTTTATAACTGATTACTATGCCACTTTTTCTCTTGGTTAACTGATTAACCGTCTGAGATGATGGAACTAGCAAATGTTTGGTTTATGCTAGTTGCAGATTCATTTTTCTTTCAACTGAGTAACTGATTATTTGCCTAATCATTGCAGCTCTAGTTGTGACCTCATCTTTATTGTACAATGTCTCTATTAATGTGCATACCTATCAGCATGAAGAGATAACTTTAAGAGATTCTTTCCATGCATTTGGATGTTGGGAGATGTTGACACCCGACTGTGTCGCAGACGTCGTTTGTTTCCCAGCTGAGGCAAAATTTGGCAAAACTGCAGCACTATGCGTGCAGCCCAGAAAAAAAATGAAATAAATAAAATCACAAGAGGAGCAACAGAGGGAGAATTTGGAGAACAGCTGGGTAGCTCACACAATGTATTCCTCAACCCAGTTCTTTCTCTAATTTTGCACAGCTTGGGGTGTAGGTGTCCTCTGTGTGCTATGATTCTCTTCCACAGTCTAAAGACATGCAGGTCGGGTGACCCGGCAACTACAAATTGTCCACATGTGAGAATATGAGGGTGAATGACTGTCTATCCACATACAGATTAGCCCTGTGACAGACTGACAAGCTGGATAAAGATAAGTGGATGGACATCTTCTCACTGCTTTCCTTGTGAGTTCTCTTTGGCTGTACTGCATCTAAAAATTGACAATCTGCATATGTTGTTGAGCAAGTACCCATTAGGTCGAGTTGATTCCAACATGAAGATTTTGTCTCAGGTAATACACAGTAACACATCAGACTGCTCATAATTGTCTTTTCATTCCTCCGGCTTCACCTGTCCAGCTCCTCCTGCTCCCTACATGACAGCTCCATGGCGATACGCAGTTGCTCATCAAAGCTCGACGCCACACCAAAGTGTCCCGACAACCGCGGGTCGGTCACCGTGCTGTAGGAGAGCGGGGAATTGGCGGTGGGGTCCAACGGGGAGATAGAGGAGGGCTGGCTGGGGTCGGCTGTGTCTTCGCCCTCTCTGCTGGCCAGTGAGATGGACAGGGACTCCTGGATCGCCCTGAGGAAAGAAGGAAATAAGGGATCTTAAGACTTAAAGTGAAGTCTTCTTAAACAAAGAAGGGTATCCTAACAGGACTGTTTCACTGCTGGGCTTCATTACAGGATGACTGGGAGTTGCTGTTCCCCAGAGAAGGCCGGAAGAAAGAGCTAATTACTGAACTCTATCTAGAAATGTTTAATTAATTACTTCACAAGCCAGAGGTTTCTCTGAATAAGATGGAATTATGAATAGACATAAAACCTCATGATGGTTTTACAGTAACAGTACAAATATCTAAAATAAATGACATAGAAAAGAATTCCTATCTATCAACAGATATACTGAATTGATGGAGACGATGTTACTCAAGGCCTAAAAGAATAACTGAGATACTCTATCAGCGGTAGAGTTCACCTAGGGTCCTCTCTCCAGTTTGCGTGGAGTGAACCTGCCTGCAAAGGAAACAAGACAAGTAAAGTCTGAAGGTCGGCTCACCTCTCCAGCTGAGAGTCTTCCTCATACAGTGGAGACTGGGGCACCGGGCGGCTGTTGGTCAGGGCCTCCCAGATGGTCACCTATAAACCAGACGTACGTATTTCAACTGCCTTTTCACGTAAGGGAGCCCTGTGGGGACACTTTGTCGCCATAAGAAAAAAACTACCATTAGCTTTTAAATGATTTGATGTGGCACAAATTTTTACAAATGTGGAGAAATAAAACTGACTCTTCCATCAGGGAGGAGTAAAGTACGTCATTTTGTTCTGAAGTGTAACTGTGACCTGGGTCACTGCCAGAAAGAAAGAGTGAAAGATGAAAAATAAAAAAGGGAGGAAAACGTTCCTACATCTCTAAGACTAATTATGAACCCTTAGACTTAGACTGGTAACAGGCCTCGCTCTGACCTGGTCACTCTCTGTGCCGGCGTCCAGCAGGCTTTGTTGGATGGCAAACTGTAGCAGGTTGTCATCCTCGTCCCTCATTGGCTCGCTGCGGCCCGGACCGAGAGTGGTGTAGTCTGGAGGGGGCTCAAACACCGAGGGGTCCACCTCACAGTGGAAGGGATGGAGAGACTGACCTGGGTGAAGACGGGTTACAGCATGAAAGGTGCGTGTCCCTTGTGAGCCAGTGTTCTGTTTGGCAACAACTACGCTGGCCGAGCAGGTGATGTAGAATGCCGGACGCCAGGAAGAGTAGCAGATAGCTAATAAGCAATTAGCCATACTTCATGCTCTTTGAACTGTGTCTATGTGAGCGTTTGTGTGAGTCTATAGTTACCAGCTTCTCCGGAGCTCTCGGGCTTGTGAACCGTCACAGAGCTGACCGGCTCGTCGCAGCCGCACAGATTACTGAACGTCACTCTGGCGTTCAACACGTGAAACAGGGGAATCTCTGGAAGACAGGCAGCAAGTTGAATTCAGACAATGTCATAACGACCAGCACAGTAAACATGTCTCTTCTAAGGGAATGGCTTGAAAAAGAGGAGGTAAAACCACTAAACTATTTGTGTGTGTGTAAGGCTGTAATGGCTGCAAATCAACAGATCTGGAGCTGGTCTGGAACCAGTTTTTTGATGGTTAAATAACCTTAAGACCTCCACCTAGCTGCACACAGGAAATTACCCACCTATCTTGACAGGGAAGCCTGGCGGCAGGCGTAGGGTTATGAAGTCACGCAGCTTGGCAAAGTGGGCATTGGAGATGGCCATGAGGTCGATGATGGGCGTCACCTGCTCGGCCAGGGACAGAGGATGAGTCTCACTCAGCCACAGGGTCGCTTTAAACCTGGAGAGGAGGCAGGTAGAATGTAACTTTCTGGTCATTTTGGCGACACACATATCCATGCTGGGTGTGTATGCTGTGATTGCTTCACCATACCGCTGGACTTTGCTTGTAAGCTCGACGGGACGTCCGATGTCTCGGCCATTCAGGTTGAACTCTGGGTTGAAGTACTCGTCAGCTGTGATGGCTGTGGGGTTGTGAGGACTGGCACACTGGGACACATTGCTCTGACAAAAATACAGAGAGACCGTCAGATGTGATGCCATTTATCAAAGGAGGCAGCAGGTGGTTTGGGGTGGGGGGGTTGTGGAAGTGACGCATAGTTACTGTGGAGATTCTTACCCCATTGTGAGCTGTATGCTGTTCAGCAATCCCCAAAAAGGACTGCAAAGGAGTCTTTGAGCCTGAGTGTAAACAAGGAGGAGAGATCATCAACAACCTCAAATTTGTTCCATTTTCACTCTAAGTGTTGTCTTTAAGGAGTTGAGTCAAAAACAACTGATATACTTATTGAAATTGTTGGGTTCTGATTTGATCATATTTCTTTGTAGTTCATTTCTGGTCTAAGAACAATGGTTTTCAGGTGAAAACCTACACACATTGCTTTCCCACCACCACACGTATGTTTGTGACTTCACCTTTGCTTCTTGACTTGTCCTGGTCTGATAGATGTTCTGTCCTTGACCGAGTCACCAGCTCCACATTGGTAGCACTGTAAACCTGGAAACATTGACAGACAAAGAAAGAGAAAACACACTTTTTTACACTTCATCAGCAAAGCTCCATCAGGAATGTTTATTTAGTGCAAACAACAGGAGGTAAAACCTTTGTTTAGTGTAAGGATTAGGATTGTGAGTGTTGAGCATATTGTGATTATGCTCTGTCAGTAATTTCTCACACTCTGTTCTTGTCTGTATTTCCCTTGTAAAAACAATCATCAATCTCAAAAGAACAATCCAGAATAAACAAATGTGGATGTTCAAGAATGCCGTTTTTTTTTTAAGTGTATTCAAATCTATTAGGCTTTTTTATTCTTAGCAGCAGATAATGGGATCAAACAGCATTTGCTACAACTTCTTTATTTAATCCCACATTAATCTTTGCAAGGATAAATTATGCTGAATTGCCTAATTTCAGCATTAGCATTCAGAAAATGTGACCACCACATGTTTCAGCCAGATTTGCTACTTCTGAAAAACCATCTGGACTTACCTTGGCTTCGTACCCGCTGACCATCTCGCTCTTCTCTGAACGCCAGCCCCAGATTCCCGACTTGTTCCTAAGCAAGCAAAGAGATAAAGTAAGGGCTCAGCGTGGAAAAGCCTGACACAAAACAGTAAAAAGCTCTTTGAACCCAAACTAATGAAATACTTTCATGATGAGTGCGCAGCTCCATAAAACAAAGTGAGGCAGATATCTGCAAATGGCTTGCAAACACAAGCAAATCAAGCGTGACCTTGATAAAAACGATTCTGGCTGGTATATCAGTACACCGTAAGTGCTTGTTACCGTTCAAAGGCAATGTTGCGTGTGTTGAGGTGCGTGGAGACGATGGGCGACGTCAGTCTCTGTGCTGTGTTCTCCTGCGACGGCTGCATGGCTGCCAGGAGGGAGGGCGCGTCACGAGGGGACAACACGAGCGGTTCTGTGTACACCACCTGCTTCTCGTGGTCCACCTCCATCACCACCGCCCCATCATCTAAGAGGCACAGAAAATGTTGTTATTGAGAACGATTCAAAGCATGGCGTCTTTGCTATCAAAGGCCTCATCATGACACTGGAAAAGACACATTTAAACCTCTTGCAGAGTCTCTCACGGTGGAGCCAAGTCAAGTTTTCACCACAAAGTCATCCATCCATCCATCCATCCATCCACCTTATCTGCTGAGTTATTTACAAGTATGTGATGCTTGGAGCAAATCGTACACACCTCCACCCTTGAAGATATAGCTGCGTCGTCCTTTAAGCCATGTCATGTGTTCGAAGCCCAGGAGGGTGGTGTCCACACGGAGGCATGAGCCGCTCTTCCACACCCGGTAGACGTCACTGGGACACACCTTTGACACCAGGGGCACTGAGAGGAGAGTTAAAGGAGGGACGAGGCATTTTAGAAACAGGAGACAAAGAGAAGGAAGGAAACAAACAGGGAATGGACACTGTAAAAGATTCCTGGAATATTTTAATCTAGATTGTTATATTACAGATGCACCTAATGAGTGATTTCATTATCAGTTAATTCACTGATCATACAATTAATTATTACAAAGTAGAAAACAGGATGCCTAAATAGCTAAAATACATAAAGTTTTCAATTTTTAATGATATAAAACTGATAAAAGCAAGCAAAATGTAACCACGAAATGAAATTGTAGACATTAGTCTTGCAACAGTGGCTTACAAATTTCTTTCTCCAAGTCATTAGCTATATTAAAGAATACGCGTTAAGAGGCCTTAATGCATTGAGGAAATAGATGTTATAATCTTCACTGTAAATACTAAGATTTTAAGCTGCACCATGTAATTAACTGTTTAAAAGAGCATCCTCTGGAGATTAGAGAAGGAAAAGTAACCCAAACACAGGTAACCTCATCACCTTTGTAATGGGTTACATTTTGAAATCCACCTGTCCTGTTTTCTTCAAACTGACTGGAGTAAACAGTCATATATTGTACATCTGTCAAAGTGCCGTTGAGCAACAGCTGCTACTAGGGGAGCTGTCCAACCGCTGTGGTGCTGAAACTGACCTCTGTGAAAACACATTAATGAAACACACTCACCCCAACTGGTGAACTCCCACTTCATCTCCACATAAAAGTCCCGCGCCTGGAAGGAGAGAGGAAACTTTTTTGTTTACTTAAGACAAAAAGCTAAAGCCCTCCAAGTTGCATATGAGACTTGTGTACACATTGGGAACGATAGTGTCCCCCACTGAAAAACTTTTCCACATATCTTAAACAAAGCTTTGAGGGTTGGCTGGGGGTTTGGTGTTGTTGCTCTGTGCAACAGGTAAGGTGTCAGAACTTTTCATCAGACTGAGAGGCTGTTTCACCTGTCTTAGTTTGCTGAGCAGCTCTGGGATGCCTGCCAGTCTCTCTGTGGCACGCTTGAAGTCTCTGTACTGAAGCACCAGCTGAACCAGCTCAGGGTCCCCGGTGCTCACCGCCTCCTGCAAGACTGAAACATACATCCACATTTAACGACCATGGCTGCCACCTCGGGGCATGAAACTGAGAGCCACAGCAGAGCACTCACTGGTCCAGCCCTGTCCGTTGCAGTGTGTCGGGTCTGCTGAGTGTCTGAGCAGCACCCGGGTTGACTCCAGGTGGCCCAAACACACAGCCAGCTCCAGCGGGGTGCGCCCCCTCGGATCCAGGCGCTCCACATCCTGCTGCGGAAGCAAACATACAAGCAGTATCAGCGCAATGCAGTGCGACATAACAAACGCATCTATTACTACCAACCACCAGCTGCAAAATAACTTACCTCCTTCTTCTGCAGCTCTCGATCAAGCTCCAGATACTGATTGTTCCAGACCAGAAAATGCAGAGGAAACGCTTCGTGAGCCATGGCTGTCCTCCGCTTGACAGTTAAACAATAGTAAAGCTTGTATTTGCAATATGACTTGGGCAGCCAACAGATTGCAGTGACACCACAGCAGACACAGCTGGTTAGCTAGTTAGCTTGGTTCACAGCAGAGAATGGGTAAACGCTGAAAGCAAATTAGTATGTCACTGGAAAAACCTGTCACTAAGTAAATCTATCCAAGTAGCTAACGTTAGGCAGCAAACAATCCAGAGTATTTGTGCGTGCCCGTTTAAATTAGTGGGCTGAGTTAGCTCGGCTAACTCAGCCCACTAATTTGATGCAGTTAACGTTAACTAACAGCTAGCTGCGCTAACGTTAGCTAACTGGCTAATAACAACATTGTTTCCTGCTTCTCTTGGCACCTGTTTTCCATTCTGCACAATGCAAGACAACCAATTCAACCGGCCAAAAATGCACCGCCAAGTCCGTTCATTTTCTACGATGCATGTGTTATTACAGCAAAAAAAGATATGGGTGAAATTGCCGGTTGATGAAGTAAGCTAGCCGTCCGCTGATGCAGCACCCATCCCCTGTTTATATCGCAGGGTTGTCACGGTCTGTCAAAAATAAAGCGAGACACGGCCTTTATTCCTGTTTCACATCCAGGTCACTCGAGTTGAGGGCGTCCGATACGATGCTGGTGAAAGCTGCTGCAGCTGCAACACAGTCGTGCCTGGATAACGATCATTAAAGCAGAGCACATCTGTCAAAGTCAGATGTGTCCCTGTGCAACACCCAGCTTTATTAGGATGAAATATATTTACATCTGCAGCAGCGGTGTTTATTTATTTATTTATTCTGGCGTCGCTTTATTTCCAGGTTATGGAGGGAAGCTGGGTGGAGCCAGGGAAAAGCTGACATTTGATCCAACTGTGCAAATAAACTACGGTGTTTACAGGAAAGTCAAGCAAAACTAGTAATGTTGACATTAAATTACCCTTAATGCATCCGTCTCACTGTGAGTAAGAATATAACCCATTGTTTATCATTTTTTATTTTTCTTGAAAAATAACACAAACAACATAAAGTGAAAAAGGCTTCTGAAAATAATTACATTGCTACAGGATTCCCGTTTTCATAATCTAAAAGAGGAGAACACATTTACACAAAAGTATATATTTATATACTTATATTCATTTTGAGGGATATGGGTAAAGGAGCAGTCTGGGAGACCTTTGATACAGAACCACTAGACTTGAAGGAAACAAAGAAATGGGCAACCCCCACCCCATCCCCGAACAAAAAAATCATACATCTCTGCATTGAATTAGACAAGGTCATGAAAGTCAGTGAAAAGTAGATACTCACATTTTTCATCCATGAAAAGAAAAAAGTGTATCAAAGAGGGGTGGGGAGCAGTTTCATCTAGAATATTAACATTTTTGCTCTAAATGTTGTCTCTGTACAAAAACAAAGCAAGAGGAGTTTGGAAATAATAGCACCTGAAGTCTAATGGTTGTTTGAAAATGCACCATTTATCTGACACCTAATCCTTGGCTTACCCCGAACACTTAATGCAACCTGACCTTTGTTGGGGTGAAGTCTTGTTGCCAAATCAACTGAACCTCTCACACTGTCTTTTTACACTCTTACACAACCACAACCACTCAATGTCCATGTATACTTATTAAGTACACCACTGAACTACAGTCGCATCCAAACACCTTATTAAGCCTAGCATACAGCTGGTAAACACAGGCCATTCCAGTAACTCACTTTGTAAGTCATGATGTGAAAAATCTGTCACCTTTAGTCGTATTTAAAAAAAATCTAAACACAAAGCTGTTGTGCACAAAGCATAAGTCATCAAACAACTTAACGTTGCTCTCTTGAATGTGACAAAAAATAGCCATCTATATGGAGCACCAAAATGTAGCTGAAATCAAATAAGTTTACATGTGTCACATGATAAATAAGACTTTATGGGGATCAGCCAAACCGAACAATGCAGCTATACCCCCAAGGATGAAACTCAAAAGTTTCTTTCTCAAGGCAGGAGTTTGTTATAGGAGTCAAGATGCCATCTGTCCAAAAAAAGAAGAGATGAGCAGTTGGTTATCCAATGAATGTGTAGTCTATTACAGCTAATTAATTGCCTTTGTTCTCCCACTCCTGACAATAAAAAAAGATGTGCTTAATCCATACAACATTAATTCCCAAAAGAATAACAGCAGAAAAAAAAAAAGCTCCTGAGTCTCTTTTTAGGTACACGGGAAAAATGTGTTGAGAAGAAACACTGTTATAGCTGTGACAACCCCTTCTACCAACACCAGCTAAGTGAGTAAGCCCTCCCAGTTTAGACCCCACCACTTTTTAAGTGACACAGGTGCATGTGAACTTCCCTGCCCATTTGTGTCCTTTGTGTCACACAGATTCACATCAGAATCCATTCCCCCTGCTCTTGCACCTCAAATCACCTCTGCAGTGAGAGGAGGCAGGCGCTTAGGATATCCTCTGGATCAGTTTTTCATCTGATAGGCAGTAGAGTGTGTTGACTGACAGCTCGGAGATAAAGGCCTCACAGGCCTTGCGGGAGACACCTTTACAGCCTCGCAGGTCAAGCAGTGAGATGCAAGAGAGGCGGCGAAGGTACTTTAGACATGTGTCTGTCAGTTTACTGCAGCCTGTGAAAGAAACAGGTAAACAGACACATGAGCAGTGAAATAAAAGCAGTGCAACGTGTGCAGGTTCTTTGTTCCTAAAAATTAATGTCTTCCATATAAGCTATTCCTATCAATCTCTCACCTCCCAGGTTGAGTTCTGTAAGCTTGTTTCGGGTGGATGAGCCCACGGCAGTCAGCAGGTTGATGGAGTGGTCAGTGAGGCTGTTGCAGTGGGAGAGGTCCAGTTTTGTTAAATGGGGCATGTGGCGGATCACCAGGCGCAGAGTGGAGTCACTGATGTCTAGGCCTGCTAGTCGCAAATACTGCATGTTCCGCAACTGACTGCGATTGTCACAGCCTGGAGGAGACATTTTGAAAGAAGAGAAATGCGGAGATTTTCTAAGAGTATGATGAAGAAAAGTGTAAAAAGGGAGTAAAATGAGAAGAAAGGCAAGAAGTGACTGGATAAACTCTTTCCTCACCTGGAGGGCTGACAAGATCCCTGATCTGAGAATCTTTGACTCCGTCTGCATACCGCAGGTCCAGAGAACGGAGGAGTGGGCAACCAGAGGAACAGAGAGCTGAGATAGATGACCAGGAACAACCTGCCAGCATCAGATCCTTCAGCCCTACAAAATCCAAACAGTGTATTTAGCGTATGTGTTAGAGCACAGAACTTATTGGTGCAAACATGACTAATTCAGAATTCATTTGAAAACCCCTTGAAAACCGCCAATATCAAAGAAATGTGATGTTATGAAATAATGGCGCAAAAATAAATTAACATGTAATTAATCTGCAATTTATTGTATATATTTATGTAATTCTTTTGTTTCATGTTATATTTATTTTCATGATATTGACAATTTTTTAGAGAGTGTATCACTGTGCATCTCCACATACCAGGCAGGCGGCCAACAAGCCAGTTGAGCTGCTTTTTCGAGATGTTGGTCCAAGAGAGATCGAGTGTGACGGGTTGTCTCTTTATGATGCCTGTTAGGGCCTGAGGAGTAACGGTGCGCTTGACGCTCAGGTCAATCCGTGACCAGAGCCGCTTGTCTAAACACCTACGGTCAAGCACACAGTCATGAAGGATACATCCATTCAAATCTACTTATCAAATCCAAATCCTTTCAAATCCAACATTAAAGCTCATTAGGTTTACCTTTAAACATCTGAAAGAAACCAAAGGCAAAAGTAACTACAAATCAAAGCTGCCTAATCAGCTTTTATTGACTGGCAATGACAAACTCTACAGTTTTTACTGGCAGCATTTTTAATGCTGTACCAACAACCTGAAAATGAGATGAGCAAAATAATACACAAACTGTTAATTATTCAATTAACCACTGTAGCCCACTTCATTTCTTGAGCTACATAGTAGAAATTATGTGTGTGTGTGTATATATATATACATATATATATATATATGTATGAGTTTAACCCGGTGATTTTTAAATTGAGGTGATCAGCTACATTGTTTCTCTACAGAAGAGTCACCACCCTGTTGGTCCCCGTTGAACACAAAATTACAGTCCACTTGCAGTTGTTGGGATGCATTACAGAGTGATTCTTATCTCTCACTATCGATCTTTGGAAGAATACATACACTGACTGCAGAGAGCACAACATGTTAAAAGATCTGATCTGCAGCCAGTGATGTTTGTCACTTTCCAGGGGCTAAAAATGAGAACACATCTGTTTGTTTTCCATTGCTGTATGCTTATGAGGAGAGTAAAAAGTTTAGAGAGGATATTTGCTGACAGCTGACTACTGGAACCCGTGCTTTACAAAAATCTGACAGATATCAGCCAAGAGGTCTTACCATTTGTACCAGTTCTTGCAGACGGCCATGCAGACGCAGAGATCTGCTCGACTCAAGTAGCGGAAGACAGACACCCACACCTCCCTCTCACAACCCGGCCCACTTCCATTGCTCTCCCTGTCTGCCTCGCTTCCTCCTTCCTGCAGGGCGGACAGAGGGATGCGGAGATGAGGAAGCTCAGAGGATGAAGAACAGGAGGCGCCATTGCTCAGTTTAGCTGGCCTGCTCGGCCTCGGCCTTTTAGAGACGTCTGGGTGGGAGGGGTGAGTGTCTGTGTGTCCACTGCGGGTGTGTGGGGGTGTGTGCCTACTGGAGTGTTGATCAGAACAGGGGCCACGATTTCTAATTGGGGGTCTGACGAGGGCTCTGGTCTGGTTGTGTATTGTGGTAGTAGCAGTTTGAGGGGCGATAGCCTCTAATTTGGGTACAATGGCAGATGGGTCCCGTTTGGCCCTGGTTGGCTTTTGGAGTGTCACTTTAAGATGCGAGCCATCCTTGTCCCCTATTTGACGGTCCTGCTCCATCTCTTCGTCCTCCTCCTCGTCCTCCTCCGCACAGTTTTGGTTGGCCACCTCGCTCCCTTCCTCTTCTACATCTTTGGCTGCTCGTCCTCCTTGCCTGGATTGCGGCTGGTTCTCTTTATCCCCTCCCCTCCCACTGCTCTGCCCTCTCTCCTCTTCCTCGTCGCTGCTGCTGCTGCTGCTGGTGCTGCTGCTGTCCTCACTCTCCTCCTCCAAGTCTCCGTGGCCTCTACCATCTCTGATTCCTCTTCCTGCTCCTCCTCCCCGCAGCCTCACGCCTCTTCCCCTCCCTCTGCGGGGCTCTCCCTTGGGCTCAAGTACCAGACCGAGGGAAGACTGCTGCTGCTGGAAGGACCCAGTCCCTCCTGGAGAGCTGTGGTAAGGTGAGCCACTTGCCCAGGTGGAGCCCCGACCTCTGCCCTGAGATAGTCTGCTGATTGGAGAGCGCAGCCGGGACAGCATCCTGGAGCCCAGCAGCCTGGGAGATCGATCTAGAGACGACTGTTTCTGTTGGGAGGAAGAGCAAAAATTATGGCAAATGAAAACAAGATAATATCTGTTTCAATCTCCAAATACAGTGCTACAATATGATCCGAGCAGTATTCCGTCTTTTTAACAGTTACCTGTACATATAATATGCTGAAAAGGTTTCTCAAAAATGAATGAAAAGTTTCACTGACTGCCACATCACAACTACAAAGTAATGACAAAGTATTTTATTTTATTTTAAAAAAAACAAACATGCAATGCATCTTTGACAAACCAAGCTGCTTGGAAAAAACTGTAATATTACTACATATCCAGTAGTATTATGTAAATGCATTACAGACTCATTGCAGAATAAAGTGTATTGCTTACCACTAAGAGTTTGCTGCGCTCCAGTTTTATCTGCAATAAACAGAAAGGAGGTTGGGGAATGAGATAAATGTCAAATACAGAAAAGAAATCCACACAAAGGCAGGTTTCTATCTATTTTTTAAAAATCTATCTAAGTCTGAGGGGGTGTTGAGTCACATCTGTACTATCCGCCAAACCAGTTTTAAGGTGACTGTTTTATCAAGGTAACGATTATATTGTTTAAAGATCTTTTCAGTCATATAGATCAAAGATAGATAGATCAAAATTGATGTAAAAACAGGAACTAAATTGGGCTCTCAGTGATTTCTTACTTTTGGATCAGCTGAATTTTCAATTCATTAAAATCTTGAAAATCTTTAAGGCTAATGAAACTGAAACAAAAACTTAGGAATTAGAGTTTTACTAAATAAAGGCATCTAAATACTTTTGAAGACGTGAACTATCCAAAAGCTTTAAATCAATACAGGTTACCCATTAAGCAAAAAAAAAAAAAAAAAAAAAAGTTACTACTTGTTTTGATCATTAAAACAAAATTCAGCTCCACTTTACCCTCTTTTTAAGTCTGAGCTCCAGTGCACTTGCTCTTTTGCGATTCTGTTGATGCTGCAGTAACAGTTTCTGAGAAGGTGGTGGTGCTGTGGGTCGGGATTGGGGTCTGCTACGTTTCCCTCGTTTCACCCCGTCACCTACACCAATGCCTTCTCGGTAAGCAAGTTTGGACGGTGGCAAGGCGGGTGAGCCCTCTGACTCTCCACTTTCCTCATCACTGGAAGACTGTGGGAAGAAAAAGGAAGAGATAGTGTGGATGAAGAAGAAAAGGTGTCATTGTTCATTTGAGTATCAACATCTGCTACATAGCAACTGGTGGAGGTTACACAAAAAGGAAACTTTGTTGAGGAAAGGAAAAGGTGTCCTTGAGACTGAATGAATGGAGAACATAGAGAGAGAGAGAAACAAAGGGCAAGTGAGAGGGAGAAGATGTGTATTTCATACCTCTGATGCTGAACCCTTGCCTTGATAACATTTGGGACATTCCCAGCAGCTGGGCAAATCCTTATTGATCTTCCCCTCACCAGGTTCCTGAAAGAGAGAACAGTTGAAAGTCAAAGAAGTATATGCTACTAAATTCCAATTACCTTAAAATAAAGCTTTATAGACAGCAAACCAAACCATGCAATTATGGGGTAATGTATTCGATTTGTACCACTGTTCTTCACTATGTCTGAAGCAGATTACCTTAATACATTGACGATGGGCAATCTGCGAGCAGACAGAGCACTCCATGAGTGAGTGAGTGCTCGGATTTGATTCATCTGATTCACCTTCTCCACATATGGCACATCGAGCTGTGTTTGGCAATGCAGGCTGGAGAAATAAATGTTATTTACAGTGGGAGTAAAATGTTATGGAAAATTGAGATCTGATGCTGATATAGATTATTGTGAATGACAATTCTGAAAACTAACATATTATACATAACCAGAAGCCACTAGCAAATACTGCACATTTTTAGGCCGTAGAAATTCTTCATTATTTTCTTTATTATTGACAATCTTCAATTTAGAATGAAGAGTTTTGAAGTTGTAAAAGAATATAAACATTAGGTTTGACATCAGTAATTCTACATAATTTTGAGTTACTTTCCAAACATGTTCTTCTAGTACAATACAGAGGCAATGATGTGTATGACAACTCACCGCTAAACACTGTCTCATAATACAGCTCTTCTTCATGCGTCCAGGCCCACCAAACTTCCTCATGTCATGGCAGTACTGGCAGTTGCCGCACTCCTTCCTGCAGCAAGCAGCACAGCGCTTGCACCTGACCCGTCTGCGCCTCAGGGCAGAGATGGAGGAGCGTTTGGTGGGCCTCTGACCCAGAGGCTTGTGGAGGGTGGGGCCCAAGCGAGGACGGTAAATGACAGGGGGAGGGGGAGTGGGGGGCTGGTACCATGATGGCTGTATAAGGGACACAACACAAAAGGAAAAGAAGAAGTAGGTTAGAATTGTGTCCTGCAAATACATAAAAGGCAGGAGGCTCGGTTTGATGAACTGAAATGAAGGACCTTTGATTCATTTTTACCAATAATATAATGTGAGAAATACACAATATTTTGTAGTATTTAAGTAATGAAATAGCAGCCAAGTAAAAAAAAACATACATCTTATCTCACTAACACTGACAGTTATATATCAATTATACAATAAGAAAATAATGTTAAAATACCTGAAACAATAACTCTAAATATACCATATCTGCTCACCAACAGATATCATTATTTGTCCACAGAAGTATGTTGCCATTTACTCCCAACTGGTGAGAAGTGTGTAAAAGTAGCTTTCTACTCACCCTTTTGGGCCACTTGACAATGGGCTCTCCAGTGTAGGACAGCTTGGGGGAATCACTGGCATGCTCCTTCAGAACAGCCTGTATCAGTGAAGAAGAGAAAAAAGTAGTAAGACAAAAAATATCAAATATATCTGGACTTCCACCATGGCACAGCACCATAAAAGCAGTGTGTAGTATATGCCTTTAGTGTAGTCAAGGTGAGGCAATTGCAGGATGAACTGCAAAAGGAACTTAGGTGACACCCACCCTCATGTCCTCAAGCAGGGCTGCGGCGTTCCTGATGCCTGCAGGGACACACTTTTTGTGTGTCGGCAGTTCCTCAAGCTTCCCCAAGAGGTTCCACAGTCCCTCCAGCTCAAAGGGGGTCAGCGCGTGCTGAGGTGTGGTAACTTCAGCTGCTGCTCCTTCTTCTTCTTTGATTTCTTCCTCCTTGAACATGGTCTCTGTGATTTCAGTGTCACTGTCAACACCATTGGAGGTGCCATTCCTGGTGAGATCATTGGTTTCAAGGTCGGCCCGGGTGAGTCCTGAAAAGAAAAAGGACATGATGGTTGTAGTTCATGTCAGTGATAGATGAGAACAAGAAAAAAAATGAGGGCAGCAATGTTTTCTTGTGGTCATCTTATGTCCTCACCTATGCCAAGGGAGTATTTTTGGAACTCAGGTGTGAGGTGGGAGACGTTGGTCAGGCAATAGAGGTATCTCTCCAGGACATACCAGCACATCTCATAGTAGAAAGGGTAGCGGAACTTTGCTGGCACCTAGAGGAAGAAAACAGAAACAGATTAGAAAATATTGTTTAATAATTTTTGCATCTTCAAGACTCTGTTTAACCAAATATTTCCATGAGACAATAAAATGTATAAAATCAAGCAGTTCTTCATGAGAAGCATTAGTCATAACTTTGTTGTTGTTTGCACCCCTGCTTGGAAAGATGTGGGGCAAATGTGTTTGTCCCTTGGACCAGCTCATTATATATAGCTGAGCAGTGACAGTGTCTGAAAAGTGAGTTGTAGCCAATCACAACCAAACTTGCCTTATAACCAAATTCAGAAAGAAGTTTTTGGATTGTTATGTTTGCTGAGAGATGGCTCAATTTTTTGTTACTGTAATATTCTGATTTGTCCAGTGTCCAGTTGTTACACCAAAGAAGTAGGAGGCATACGAGGGAGTATGATTATTTAAACATCATTAAATGACTTTCACATTTAATTGTGTAGTCTTATGTGCCAATGCACCGATCTGTAACTCTGATTGTCAGTATAAACAACGACAGGGATCTTATTGGAATGGGTATCAATATAACATGACCAATTCACATTAAACATAGTTTCTTTGTTTCATTCTAAAATTCAGTGTTTTCACTATTTGTTAAATTAATTCAGTCACAGCAGGCTCCAGTGTTTTAAATGCTGCAGTAATTCGTGGTCTCCCGTTATCTTAAAATGATTCTAATGAATTCTACTCAGTGAGGTACAGGCATCTTAAATCTGAGAAAAGAGAGCACTGGTGTGGGAACTGGTATAGGAAGGAAAGAAATGGTGCTTCCCTAGCTTTATGGATGATTAAAATTCTAAACATTTAAGTCACATTGTTGAGAAATCACTGTCTCTGCTGTTTTACTATTGAGTGTAATGCCACAGAATAAGACATGAGTCATGGTTTCTATAATCCCAAAATCTGAAGCAATCATCAGTGAGTGTGTGGCAAGAAGGTTATACAGTTACAGTACATCAACAGCAGCAAACAGTCTACAGTGAATGTGAGGTGCTGCTCACCCTTGTGCGATCCTCAATGCTGTAGATGTTGAGCTGCATAGGGATGTTAAAGCTGTGGAGGAAATTGCCCCCAAAAACCAATGTGTCCTCTGGAGTGTACACAGCATGAATCCACCCTACAACAAACAAGATACAGGATGTTGGAGGCATTTAATCGTCAAGTGCTTGGGGTTTTTTATGAGCAAAGGTAGAGACAGTGTTTGTAATTGCATATACTGTATGTCTGTATGTGTCACTGCTGTATGCAGAAACAGACCTGATGGGATTATGAAGGTGTAGCCCTGCTTGAGTTCTATCCTCTGACAGTCATGACACTTGTCCCCCAAGAAGATGTCTCCCTGTTTTCCTGATAAAACCCAGTTCTCATACATCTCCAGGTTCTGTGGTGTGGGTGGAATCAGCCAGAACACCTGCAGGAGTCACAGGTAAAAAGTCACGTATGGTAGGTCTGACGTCAACAAATACATAAATATATATCCATGGAAACGAAAGGGCATTTACTGGAAACAGGAATCACCATCACATTTACTTTTTTTCTAACAGCACTGACTGATTACGACAAAAAAGTTTTGGTGACGCCCAGACTGACCTTTCCTCCTCTCAGGATGTGATACCAGACTGAAGTGCCTCCAAAGTCAATGTGGAAATCTGTGAAGCAGCCCTGCACACTCATGAGACAGTACCTGAGCGAAGGGGAGGGAAGACAGACAACACAATGGGGATTTTAGAAAAAAAAAGAGACACCTGAAGACTTTGTATTGACTTGAATTATCACTGATATAGGAGATGCAATCAGTATTGTATCTTGTTTCTGAGGTCTCTGGTCTACTCACTTCTGTACTTTGGGATAATGCATATCTATGATGGCGTTAGTGGAGTCTCTCTGTCTCTCCTTCAGATGACGGGGCCACATGTTGTCCACCCAGTCAATGAGGTCCACCTGGATAATTAAAAGAATTTGGTATAAAACATACATTCAAACTGTCTGCAATAAACCCAGCATTGTTCCTCATAACTGATGCCACTTTTTGTACGTAGATAAAATGTATTTACAATGCAATTACTCTAAAACCAATCCAAAGCTCTAAATCCATCAAAGCACCAAACACATAGTTAGGATAACTAACCAGTCTTTGTAAAATGTGATTTCCTGGTTAGTTAGTGAGAGTTCAAAAATGGTTTTATCAATTTGCACATCTGGGTTGGTGTAAAACCTTGAGGTGTGACATTGTATGTGTTCTCACCGAAGCCGGCCGTTTGACCAGATTCTCCAGCCTGGTGTGGCTGAACTCCAGGCTGATGACATTGTAGAGTTTTTCTCTTTCTGATGGTGGTGTCTCATAGTATCGTCGCCACTGAGCCATTGACATCTCGATTCCCTTCTGGGTGTTCACGTCCATCACATCTACAATACGTCGACTACCTGTAGGAGAATTAAAAAGGGGCTCAACACCTGAGATCACAGCAGTTAAATCCAAATCAAATTCATCGTCCTAAATTTTACTAAGTGCTCATTGTGTGTTATACTTGTTTTATCTGATTAAAATACTGTTTTTTGAAACCAATACTGTTTTTTTGTTTGTTTTTTTAAAAGGCTGACACTAAAAGTCTTCAAAAAGATTACTTAAAATTTTTTTATTGTATTTTTTCTATTTTTAATAATTTTGAGAGATGCATACTGAGCAGGAAATCTTACATTCAAAAAAAGAATTTCTCTGTCTTTTCTGGTGGACAAAACATGTAATTTTTACTAAATTAGCTCAGACCTAGTTAAGCATTTCTGTACTGTAAGTTGCAAGTTAATTATCAGACGGTATATTCACTGATTTGATACAGTACTTGTCAATGTTATTAGTTACCCCTGAATTTCAAGTACATAATTCAGAGTATCTTCAGAAATAAATGAACCAATTTTGTATAACCAGAATATTTTAATAAAATGTCAATGGAAAAAAACTTAACTTACATAATAATGAGATAATACAAACACAAAATGTACTTCGAACACAAATATTGGCACTGTTTTGATTAATTTAAATTGATTCCTCAAACAATATTAAAAAAACAAATAAGCCTCACCTGTGCTTAAAGGCAAGATTAATGTTTGCAAAACTTCGTAGATAAGCCAGAGTGTTTCTGGGATAATGTTCTATGAACAAATGAAACAAAAGTAGAGCTCTTTGGTTATGCATCAGTTTGTTTATAGGTGACGAAATTAAGCCCAGGAGGAAAAGAACTCCCTGCCTACAGTAAAACATGGTGAGGGTTCTATTATGCCGTGGGGTTGCTTTGCTGCCTCTGGCGCTGAATATATCAAAGGAATGATGAAATGGGAAGATTACCAAGGAATTTAAGAGCAAAATGTGTTAACCAGTGTCAGCAAACTAGATTTGAGGCAAAGGTTTTCAGTCTTTCAGCAGGACAACAACCTAAAGCATACATCCAGCATCACAAAAGAATGGTTGGAATTAAAAAGATGGAATGTTTTAAACTGGTCGGCAATGAGTCCTGACCTAAATATCATTGAAAACCTTTGGAAAGAGCTTAAATCTGCCATTGAAAAAGAAGTCCTGCAAGCTTAAAAGAGTTTGAAAGTACAGCAGTGGGAGAAACTACCAGCAGACAGGTGCAAGGAGCTTCTCGATGGCTACATGAAAGGTTGAGGAGCTGTCAATGTTTCCAAAGATTATGCAGCCATTAGAGAAAGGTGCCAATAATTTTGTTCAGGGTTCATTTTGTGTTTGTATTATTTCACTATAAAGCAAGTTTCTTCCCAGTAACCTTGGACATTCTGAAATATTCTGGTTATACAAACTTGCTTCATTTGCATATACTTGTGAAGATGCTCTGAATTTTGACCAGAGAGTTCAGGGTTACCAATAATCAGACCAGAAATGTATATCTGCCATAAGGCTGGGTCTAGTTCTACTAGCAACAGGCATTTGGTAGAGAACATTTTGTGTACAAAAAGTAAAGCTGTTGAAAGTGCATAAAACAGAACCTTACCAACAAACAACTTGACGTCACTCACACTGAAATCAGAGTCTGGCATTCTGCAAGGGAGAGGCAATTCCTTGTTCTTAAATTTCTTTTTCTCCAGACACACAGTCAAAGTATCTACTTTGAAATGATTTGAAATTTGAAAAAATAAAAAAAGAGCAACCTGCGATTAAACAGAAAAAGTATTTGACTCACTGTATGCCAAGGCCATCAGCTGTCTTAAAGATAATGGGGTCCCTGAGCCCTTCCCTCTGGATGTATTCAAATGTGAAATCTAGAACAGACATAAACACAGACACAGCGACGTCAATAATAATAGTCAATAATATGAAAAACCTCAAACTTAGATAACCCAAAGTCACGATAACAGAAGTTAAATTTACAAGTATGAACTGGAAGAGAGACTTTTATCAGTGTTAACACAGTGCTAAAGATTTGCAGTATCAAGCAACATGGCCTCAAGCAACAGTTAGTCTTCATTTCCTTCACTTGGCATTAAATATGTTAGGGTATGGTTTCATTGAAATTACATTTCAAAATATCTAATTTTATATCTTACCTTTCCCCTCCATGTGTTTGACCAAATCAGAGCCAAACCTGCCGCACTGCAACTTTTCATCCAGGTCAAACATTCTCTTCCCTTCAATTTCATCATCTGAGATTCCATCGTCCTGGTAGCGGCGCCGCGTACCTGTACGCTGAGGACAAAAGTAGGGTTCTGTTAAACTCTCTGTCACCCATTCACACTATGATTTGCAGAGAGCAACAAAAAGAGGACATGGAGACAGAGCTGGAATAACTAGCAGTGCCAAATATGGGTCGTTTTACTGCATTGAAGATGATTCAATGCCTTGACAAAGCTGGGTTATAGTGGCCTATCGAACAGACAGCAATGCTGATATCAAGGTCACTTGGAGACAAAAATAAAGAGTTCTCAAATTCAAAACTCAGAGGAAATGAGTATCATATCAATAATTGTTCACCAAACTACCCTTGCTATGAAAAAAACTCAGCTACTGAGTGGCTGGTTCTGATCCATAACCAAAAGCAAGTGCATTTGAATCTAATACAGATGCAAAAATCCAAGAACCCTCTGCAACATTGCGTGATATATTTTTAAATGTTCGCACTGGAAACTAATTTCTAAGACATGAGATTACACCCACGGGAGCTGTCCCTTCTAACTCTGTGATAAAAAGGAACTAAAACTGCCATTAGTGACAAAATGAATATGTCCACCCAAGATGGGGATTAAATCACAATATATCAATCCAAGCTGATCAGTCAGCCAGACACCATATCAGTTCATGTGGGAACCAAACAATACAGCATTACAATAGCAGGGGTTAATCTTCCACACACTGCCCCCCTTTTACACCCCTTCTGCCATTCACCCTACGCAGCACTGCTTGGCTAGACAGATGAACCAAGCACAACAGCCCTGCTCTCAGATCTCCCCACCCCCATCCCTTTATGACAAATGTGGTATAATCTAAACTCTGATGCTCCTAACTTTCATAACTGAAGGCTGTACAGATCTTACACATTTGCAACTGAAAACGATTTAAGATTATTAATAAACACACTGTTGTTTTCATATAAAGTAAATAAAATAAAGATAATCAATGAATAAAAAACCGTTTATTGGGTTTATTCAAGAAATAGTTTGATTGCTTTCCAAAATCTTAACAGTGGCAGAAAAGGTCTTTTTTACATACATTCTTTAAGATGCATTGTTGATTTCATTCCCCCAACCACTAGCATCAATAATAATTCTCTGATTGCACAGAGAAGTCTGAAAGCATTGAGTTAATTACTTTATAGCAAGGGGGAAAGATTGTAAAGAGGTGAAGGTCACAGCACAAAAGCTGGTCAGTTTAGACAGTGAACTTGACCTCCTGTTGAACCCAGTGTCTTCAGACAGGTTCATTACCGTTAATAGGGTGGACAACACAACAGAAAGCACCACAGCCATGACTATGTACCAGAAGAAAGTGACCATTCCATTTAAATACTGTAATTATCACTCATTAAATTACTTCGTGTGTAATTAAAAGGCTAATATTACACACGTACCTTGCATGAAAAAACCTCACAGTTGCATTGTATACATAAAACAAGTGTTCCGGGAGCTAACAGTTTGTACAGGTTACTCACCAGACGTTTGCTGTACCGTGTATGTGGATCCTCCATAATCTCTAGAAGACAAACAAAGTTTCAGAGTCGTGTTAAATCACACTGATTAAATATCCGGTGATTGTTGAAATGTTTTAGTGTGTTTTTACCTTCTATCGGACAGAAACACACACCTCTCTGTAGATACAGCCTAGCTACATAGCCCTGCTAACGTTAGCTACTAGTGTTGCTTTAGCCAGCAAGCTAAGGTTAGCAACACACACAATTACAAACATTTCTGTTGAACATGCGTCGCTGTGTGAGGACAAGTGCCGACTGTGCCAACTACCTTGCACCAGGAATATTCTGAACCAGTGTGTCTATTTGCTGACGTTTTAGCTGGCGTTATCGGCTAACGTAAACTAGCTCAGTTGACAATCCCTTTCATAAGTCGTAGGCTAACGTTAGCCAGCTAGCTGACATTAGCCTCAATACGGCAGTTGTAAGCTTCTTTATCATTACCTCTGCGTTTTAACTCCTTTTAGCCGTAGTGGTCAAAGTAATGTTTCCCAACTAGAGCGTCCGTAGCCTCTCAGTAAAGTTTCTCCCCATGTTATGTGCTAACAGCTGTGTATAATGTTATGTTTATTATTGTGCGACAAAGTTAGAACGATTCGACGCTCCGAGCCGCCATTTTCAGCTGGGCAAAAAACACACACACATACACACAAACCTAAAAAAAAACCTCACGACCCACCCCCCTATTTACATCACTGTTACTAAAAAATTAGCATAGAACCACATTCATTGGACACTGCGTGTGCTATTTAAACAAGATTAGAATATGTTAATGTCCGAGTGTGCTTGATTTGTCTTCCCCGGTTTGACGGTTCTTTTACTTCAGTACTAATTCCAGTAGTGGAAGAAATATTCAGATCATTTATGTTGTAAAAGCTTTACCGGAAATGGATAAGCAACAAAATATACTTGGAGGATCAAAAGTACATTGTACACAATTGCTAGTTTGATCGTTTCTAAGGTATCAGTTTGTAAGCAGCATTTTAATCTTAAAATAAAGTCGCATAAAATTGAAAAAAAAAACACAACGTACAAATGGAGCATTTAAGAACTTGAATGAATGTACCATACTTAAAATTACATTTTAGGATCACAATGGCAGTATTGCATTGTTACTATTTTTGTTATTAGAGCTGGAACTAACAATTATTTTCATTATCAATTAATCAACCAATCATATTTTCAGTGAACATCTTGAGATGTATAGTTATGTCTGCTCAACAGTCCAATATATAAAGATATTCAGTTTACAATTATATGTGACTAAGAAAACATCAAATACTCCCATGTGAAATGCTAGATAAGACACATATGTATGTGTCATATTAAATTGTGGGTGTTGGTTCATATTACAATCATATTTAATTTTTTTTCAGTTTTTTTATTATTACACACACGTCCCCAATTCTGTTTATCCTCCAAACACGAAGCAGTAAAACGAACGAACCCTTAAGTAGACTCCGCCCCACATAGTGTTGATGGGCCGGGCCTGCTTCCGCTTAGGAAGAACATCGAGATGAGGGATGAAATGAGGTCAGGAAAGCTCTTGATACACGGCTATGTCGTTCACATTCACCTTATATTAATTGTAGCTCTCACACATGGAGAATATGGACAAATGACATGGACAATGCTGTAAAAGTAAGAGGCGTTGGGCCAGTCAGAATGGGTCCCTCCGTGCAAACAGGCGATCAGCTGAACCATGTATAAACCTCCAGCACAAGAGACAAAGCAATAACCAACACTTGGTACAACGCACAGAAAATCTTTTATTACATAACAGGCTTTACTGGGTTGACACACAGCCAGTGAGCAGTAACAGCCGCTGTTACAGCAAAGACCTTCATCACAAGCATTTCAGCAAAACGGACGCATACAGATCAGACACAACAAAATCACACACAATTTATTAAAATTATGACAACAAAGAAGTCAGAAAATACTACTTATTAATGACCAGAGCATAATTATTTGTATGTGCATAAATGGACTTTTGTGGACTAGACAGCACAAAAAACAACTTCATGCATATTTACTAAGTTTAAATTAATCCTTATAAATAGTTTCCTGATAATTAAAATTTCTCTACATATGGTTGTCCCCTCTATGTACCACCAGGAGGCGGTAGACTATAGAGTGGTCCAAAATGATTAAAAGTCATTGTTGAGCCACTTCACTGTGAACAGGTAGACTGAGAAAAATCTACACATTTATAACACGTTTTCAAACACTTCATACAGCAAGAAAATAATTTAAATTCAAATGATTAACAGCAGGGTAAGTGCACAGGGCAAATATGGTTCATTTTTTTTAATATAGTTTATTAGTTTTTAAAACTGATTCAAATAATGGTCATGGGAAAAATAGTGGGACAGCTCAGGAAATCTTCTTTTACTTGGAGAAAGTCGCTTGCCTAGAAATACCACACAAAGACAAAAAAGAGGACGTTATTTCAACATTTAGAGAATTCATAATGTTGAAGACTGATGCAGTTGTTTTACCTGTGTAAAACCTTTTATGAGAAGAAGCTGTAGAGATAGGAGAACCCAACGATCCCAATGATGGCACAGCACAATGTAATCATCATCTTTTTCTGTGGATTTCATCCAGAACAAACAGTAAGACAACAACAATCACAGGAATTGGGCTTTGATTCATGAGTCTCAACAGAAAGCTGCCAAACACAATACAATTACTATTCACTTTCACAAACACACCAGTTTGAGGAAATAACAGCCCAAAAGGAGAACAGAGGATCAGAGAGGTTAGGGTGTGTGTGTGTGTGTGTGTGTATGTGTGGAGAGAGGAAAGGTCAAAAGAAAAACTTACCCCTTCCTTTACACTTGCGCACCAGCCTTTAAAAATCTGTACTTTGCAACACACTGGTTAACATGCTGTATCAACAATGTGCTGACAACAGCATCCAATAAAAACACATTCACAAAGATCCTCCATAACATACACTCACAAAAAAGGTTAAAAAATTCAGTTACATATTTACCTTATGTCAGGCACAAAGGGAAACAAGGCAGACAAGCACGGGACCGCAATAAAGCACTCTTAAACCAGCCTTTAAAAAACATAAAATCTTTAATCTCCATTAAAATCATTGGCACTTAAGTTAAAAGTTTACAACAGTTTCAGTTTTCTCCTCCCTCTCTTATTGCAGAAGAACAAGGCTTGAATAGAAGCATCAGGATTGAACATTAGTGGACAGAAGCCAAAGGAGCAGATTGAAATGGTCTAGTGATCAAGCTGGGGGCCTCTCACTTTCAAGTGCTTCCAGCACAACCAGAATTAAATGCACCATTCAGGCTCTGGTCGAACAGAAACAAAGACAATAGTGCCTCTCATTATGCACTGGACATTTTACAAAGTATGTTGTTGCACTACAAACCTCCTAATGTTGTCAATAGCCACTGATTAATATTCATCGTCTTTCCTCTTCTCTCAGATGACTGGTGTAAATATTATCTCTGATACAGTCCTTGTAAATAAAGCTAGAATCACCCGCCTTAATGACCCTATTACAGCCACAGGGTGACAGTATGTGCACTGTGGTTCAATAAATTGTAGGTTTGACACATTCTTTCTACCAACAAGAATTAAACTTAGTTGCCAGTTAAAAGTAATCGATTCTAGAAAACTACAGCCTCCAAAATGTCCATTAAGTTTAACCAACATATCTCTAAAGCTCTTTTACCAAAAAAAACCTGGAGATTACAACCTTCATAAAGATGGGATTTATTACAGGGCTGTTGTATTGGACTGTATTAGTTTCAGAGAGCTGTACCTAATAAATTGGCAACTGAGTTGTGTGTTCACAGTAGAAATGTTATGAGAGCCAATATATGGCAGGAAATGCCTCTGTTTAGAGAGCCACCAGCCACTGAGACCATATCCTGTATGTGTGACTTTATTAACAACACTTCATCAAAAAGTATCAAATACAAAAATATTCTGGCTCTTTTGGGAAACAAGCTAAGTCACTAGTGTTATTACCAGCCTCTCTTTATATCATGTGGCTCTAAACGCTGTGTGTTTACAGCATTTTGACAGGAATGATGATCGTGTCTATATATGTAATAGTGTTGCAGTGTTCAGATAAATCTTCAAGCAAGGAATGCGTGTTCATCCCTGAGGCTTTACTTTTTTTTTTTTGCTTGTTTGCTTATCTGAGCTCTGTCTGTCCATGAAATGTGTTTTGATGAGCACCATCCTTCACACATTTAAAATCAGAACCACTGTGCTCTCTTAACTGAAGAACCTCAAGTGGGCACACTGACCCTCTTCAAGTTACATAGCTGAGTCATATTCAGGGTTAGATACTGATAACACAAAGTATAATAATTCTGTTATTCACCTGATCATCTGAGCTGATTACAGAAATTAGACTTTTTTGTTTTTTTAAATGTGAAAATGCTGAAACTCCTTCAAACCATGAAAATCCCATTACAGTGAACATACAGTAGCTAGCTTTGCAATCACAAAATGTGTCAAGGCTCATAAAAGGCAAGAAATAAAAGGTAAGGGAGGTGATGTGCTTCTATAAGGCCTCAGAACAGTCTGACTCGACAGTAAAATAAACACTTTCAGGCTGATTCTTTGGCACTGAATGTTGAACAAGGAAATGTTAAGTAACACAAGTGAAATTATGATCAGTTATTTTTCAATTCCCTTTTCGCCTCCGCAGATACAACAGTTATTGTACTTCATGTCAGCTTTGTCTCATTTCCTCACTTACAGCAGAGCATCCTCAAACTGTCCAAGCTGCCTGAGGGAGTCAAACAACCCCTCACAAACCAGGAAGGATGCTTCAGATGGCATTGGTAAAAGCAATTCAAAGGTCACAAACAGTGTTTTAAGGCTCACAAATCTTGTAGGTCCCCTTTGTTTCCAGCCCTCAAATGTAACACCAAGCCTTCCTCTACTAGTTAAAAAGACTCTTGGTACAGTTTAAAGTTGATGACTTGTAGATCTGTGGGAGAAATATTATTATATCCATCTGAAGGGACCGGTATCAATCTTTTCTTTGGTGGGCCAGCTGATGGAGGGTAGGATGGAGTGGATGATGAATAAACCGATGATGGTAGCAGCTCAGAGTTCCTGCTACAGTGTGAGGATGACGATGAGGAGGATGAAAACAGCCACAGGACAGACTGCACCAATAATTATCATCTTCTACAGAGAAACACAAAGGGGAGAGCAGTGTTAATGATGCGGTGCATGGGAATTGAAATGAGCCCACAGACCAAACACTAGCTCACACTGCGACTAACTCTAACCACTAGCACTGCTGTTTTTGTGAAGCAGTAACCAGAGGCAAGTGCTGTAGAATAACAGGAAAAAACACACACCCAAGAGAACTTTAAATACACACAAACACACCTCAAGTAAGTCCTCTGGACAGAAAGACAACACACACACACGTAAACAGAGCCTGAGGTAAAGAACATGTAAATACTTTGTCCAAAGGCATGCATCATACCCACACCCATTGTGGCACTACGATGGTTATTTGCTACAGAGTTACTCACCCTTAGCTCTCCTCTTACTCAGATAGATCATCAGCTTTGCTTCAGTCCCACTGACAACCCGATAATGAGAGCTAGTAAGGCCAGCAAGACCACCACAACCACCACTAATATCACCATTTTCTGTTGGAAACAACCAAGTACATACAGCACCATCAGGATCATTCTCAGTGGGAAACAAAAATAAATATATTCTTTATATATTAGGGAATATGTACAGTGTATGGAAACAATGGCCGTATCCAATATCATGAATTCTCTTTGCAGCTTAGTAACCACCTAAACCCTCTGCATCAGTCTTGCTGAAGTCTGATAAACCAGTTCTCTTTTGGCACAATAATGTTGACATTATATTAATGTGTCAGTACAAAAGTTATTTTCACACTCGCTGAAACAGCCAGAAACAATGTCTTCAAATATATCCAAAGAACTATAAGAATAATGCAGCAGTCATGGGCACACTGTAAACAAAGAGAGAGTTAAGGTTAAAGGTGAAGAGAAAGAACTGAATGAGATAAGAGTGAAGTGTGAAACCTGTATGTGGGTGTGTGCGTTCGTGCGTTTGTGTGTGGTTGTTTAAGTAGGTCACAAGGTGGGGAGAGTCAGGGGGGGTCTTGATTCTGGTTTTTGGTGCTGGGCACGTCACAGTGGTTTTCAAAGCACAGCGAGCCACAGGGTGGAGGAACAGAGCAGACAGGAGAGTTGGGGATTGTCAAAGGTAACAAGGTGAAGATAAGGGTCTTGATGGTGGGGATGGTCTTCATGTTGTCAGGCAGGTTTCCCAAAAGCTTTCTTGAATTAATGCTGTGTTCATCTTTCATATACCAACTGGGCTTTTAGACCTAAGACAGTCTGGAGTGTGTTGTTGTAAATATTGCTGAGACAATAAAATGCCATATACAGTTTAACTAACAGATCCATGAGTCTGAAGGCTGATAAAAACTGTGCAGTAGCAAAATTTTACAACTCTGTAACACTTTAACAGAAATCGTTTTATTTTCCATTGTGATATTCTCAAGGTAGACGGTGTAAATATGCCATTTATGTTACAAAGAATCAACAAGGAATGTGTCCTTGCATGAACTTGATTGGCCGACACTGCATTTTATCAAGTTATGTCACACTGCGCTGTGGCAATCACACAGGTCCCATTGAAATGAATTAGGGGTCAGCATTTTTTCATGTAGTGCTGTTCTCCTTCTGAACCGCTGTTGTCCTAAACAACATCTCGGAACAGTCTAGGTTAGCACCGTTTCAGCAATAACCAGAGGAAGGCAGAGGGCATCTCTAATGTTCCAGGTGCATGTTAATATTAGCTCAGGGTAAATTCTATGACTTAATCATATTGTAATCTGACTCAATCTTTGTCCTATTATTGTGTCCAATTTAGTCTATTTATTTTTCACATTCCTCTCTTCTTAGTATTGCCTGTATTTCAATTTGACTACCATCGATGTCAGGGCCTTTCTATTTTAAGCAATTAAATAAAAACTATTTCTGTTGCTTTTGGGAAACCGGACTGCTGTTTTTGACCAGAGTCACTCACACGGCGAGCCTCTTGCTGAAACTTTGCAGCTTTCTTAGTGTCTGCTACAGCCCTCTCCACAAAGCCCACTGATTGGTCCATGTTGCTCTCAATCCTGTCAATCATTCCACCCTAACATGGGATGTGGTGTCAGCGGTGACGAAACGTACCAAAAGAAAGTAAATGAAATAATAGTGAGACAGAGAAAAAGAAATCAAAAGCGAAGCACATAGAATGAAACAGTTGTGTGTGAGTGGCAATGTGCAAGGAGTGTGATCTTTCTGCACACGCTTTAGTTTGAAGTGGGAAACAGCGAATAACATCTTAGTGTGTCTAGAAAATAAGCAGAAAAAAAATAGGAAGAGGTCACAGAAACCTGGGGCAGCAGTTGGCAGAATTACATTACCTTGCGTGCTTTGGTCTGATACCTTACAGCTTTTTTGGTCTGTTCCTTTGCTGCTATTATGTGGTCCATGGATTTAGATACATTCTGCTCTATGTTGTTTACAATGTCACCCTGAAAAACACACAACAAATGTTTAAACAAGTAGAAAATTACAACACTAGACAGGTTTAAATACATACAGTAATACACTGATTGATATATATTAGAAGTTCCTTGACTAATTTTTGGACCAGTATTATTATATTATGGAGAGCTTTACTGTTACACAAGTGAAGCTGACTTCAGACAGCTTCAATAATGAGTCCATGAGTTTTGTTTTGTTTTTAGTGCCATGGTAAATTTCATGGGCACAGCATTCAGACTTATGATGATGTTTCATTTCTTTTGAACAAACCTCTTCCACATAAAAACTGGAAATAAAAATCACAACACAAACAGTGCAATGGCCCTTACCTCAAACAAGCCTTTCCCTCAGAAAGCATGGTGCAAGCAGCAAGAAATATGTGGTTATACTTATGTGCACATACACATACAGTGACTAACTGATCAACAATATGTGTGTTTGTACTGATTCTAGAGTAAAATATGCTCTGGTGTTTACTATGATGCTTTATTTGTACATCTTACATCTTACTACTTTCATGTTGATTCCATCAATGTTGGGTGATGAGATGAGAGGAGGAGGCAGTGGCAGATGAAAGTTAAGAGAGGTATAAGAAAGGCATAGAGCTGGAAAAGAGGAAACAGAGACGGACACAGAAAGGTGAAAAAGAATGAATAGAGTCCAGATTAAACACAAAGCCACGTCCAGAGTCCAGGATGAATGCAGAGAGTGAATAAATGAATGAAGAAGGTGAGAGGTTCCTAAAGTGACTAATGGGTGGACAAAGAGATGGTCTGATGGAAGGAGTAGTGGAGTGTACCTGGCTCTCCACCAGCATGGCGATGTCTACAAACATATCGTGCAGCTCCTTGATGCTACTTTCCAGACGGACAATGTCTTTGTGTCTGGATTCAATCTCACTCAGGGCTTGTTTGGAGATCCCAGAGTCCACAATCTGTAGAGAAGAGAGGTTTACTGTTACCACAGTTCTGTCAGACAGAAAAAATGCGCACACAAACGTCGGCTAACATCTCAGTGTCAGGGTTACATCTAATGCCCTTCTTTATTACAGATAAGTGTTAAAAGTAGGCATTGTCTGGTTTAGTTCACATCTTAGCAGGAACTGAAAGGAGGGCAACACATTAAGTGATACAGAGAAATGTATCAGATTCTTCCAATGAAAATGTTTTTGATGCATTTTGTGTTTTTTAAAGCTTTTTAAATGCTACCACATATAGCTGGGTATGGTTTGAATTTTTGGTAATGATGCCAAAATTATATTTCCTTACTTTGAAGATTATGAATATGTTTTTCTATAAAACCTTCTTACATACATTAGTGCTTAATTGTCTTAATACAAAGCTGCTGTCAAAGAACTTTGCCAACATAAAATGCAGCCTGTACCAATTTAACGTTTTCTTTCTTTTCTTTTATTATTGCTGTATCATTGTGCTACCGTTTCCTCTTATGTCATGCTTGACTTACAATGTGTGGTGTGCAGTTTTTATTTTGGTGCTGTTGAGTTCTGTTATACTTGTTATACATCTCACTCATTTTTCACATACATTTCGTGATTTTATTACAGCAACCGGTTTCTCTAAAGGCCGAACATTGTTCATGATTTGAAACATATAGACGAGTTTCAAAAAGCGCAGTTGATCACTTTAGTATATTCAAGGAGTGCACCTTTAAATCTTAGATCCAGTCTACAGTAGGAAAAACAAGACAGACTGAAGGACAGAGGCCATTTCAATGCTTTTTTTCTCCTAATCAGACATGTATACATGTTTTTATTCTGTCTTTATTAAAACCAGGTCAGTGCCCAGCTGGTACACAACTTCTTCTGTTAGGACAAGTTACCCTTTGTATTTACATTTATGGTCAGGTGTGCTCAGGTCTGGTTTAAAAGGCATTTAGTTGTTATCAAATCTGAGAATGTCAAGTTTAGTTGTGTGTCCTTGTACATGAAATTTCTCTGCGTCACGGAGCTCAAAGCAATACAATACAATGCTCTCTGTCATGATGTGTCGTTCTTGCAACCCGTGTTTGAGCATCTTATTTGTTCTCGTTGGTCAGTTCAAAATGCTATGCATCCTTGCCTGAGAAGTTAACTTCTAGGATCTTCCTGTGTCTTTGCATTTGATTTTTTAAGAATCAACATTTGGCTGTTATATAAGTACAATGAAGGTTGGAGGACTCAAGAAGCCACAAGAAAGCAAACTGACTTTGAGCCCCGACAGGGTCAAGCACGTCTAATCTTTAACCTGTTGATATTAGGCATTTTGAGTTTTACTTTTTCTCAGTTCAGCCACATCATGAGCAGTGTCAAGTCAAAGTGAATGTTAAGGTACTGATAAAAATAGCAGAAACACACACACACACACACACACACACACACACACACACACACACACACACACACACACACAAACACACACACACAAACACACACACACACACAAACACACACATACCCCTGCAGTGAACACAGCAGCATTGCCACTCTCCAACATTTCCTCCAGTTCTTCATCTGTTGTTGCTTTTCCGGCTGGAAAAATAAAGTAAAAAAAAGAAAAGATGAAATAACACTGAATACTGTAGGACCATCACATGACTTTATAGCCGTGTATATGGGTGTCACTCACTGATCTCTAGCTGTCTCTGAATACGTCCTTTACTCCTCTCCCTGAAGTCCACCTGAGCTTCATTATACTTTGTCATGACCTCCACGAACTTCCTAGACAGCACTGCATACTAGGAGACGACAGGAAAAAATATAATTACCAAAGCAGTAATGTTTTGCCCTGTCCTCGCTGGTTGAAAGTTAAAGATTAAACACTGGACAAACAGAATTTGAAAAATGTTTACATTCAGCATAAGAAAAGTTTCCTACAAAACCTCCTTCATCCAAAGGCCACCTGAAATTTAAGATGCACAGATCATTTACCTGTGATTTGCGTATCCGCATGTCAGCCGACACCCTCTCCTGCTCCTCAGACTCCAGATTCCTCTCGATGGCTGGGAATCAAACCAACATAATGATGCATGATTCAGCTTGAAATCATTACCATCACATCATTGTGTCATTTAATTCTTCAGTAGCATGTCACATTAAATCCATTAAACATCCCCACTACTCTGACGGACAAGCTGATGTGTGTGGTAGTGGGGGGCCGACTCACTCTTGAGTTTGTTTCTTGCATTGTTGGCCATCTTCTTTATTTCATTGGTGATTGCCTCCAAGTCATCCTGTGTTTCTGGGAAGGAAGAGACGCGGCAATAAAACAGCTAAGAATTTTAAAAATACAAACAAAAATCTACTTATTGTCTTTCAAAATGCTATAACATGATTCTCTAACATTTTGGATTCAGGAATAATTTTGTTCTTCTCATCAAAAGTCTGACTTAATTCAATTTGGATCACAAAAATGCAAGCAATTGCATCTTGAAAAGGAGAAAGGATTGAGGTTAGGGAAGAAAAAAATCCTTAATATGACCCTATGTGAATAGGGTCTGAATATATTTCCAGAAGAGAGAAAAAAGCACAGGTACAGAAAGGAAAGCTGTCTCTTACTCTGTTCTGAAGTGGGAGCAGACAGGATGACCGAGTAAAGCTTTTTGACTTCAGCCACATTCTCATCAATTTTATCAATACTGTTCCTGATGTCCTCAATCTGAAACACACACATGAAAGATATGAAATTACACAATGTATGAAAAAATCTCAAAGAAAAAAAAACCCAACATGCCACCTTCAAGCAAAAGAAGTACTGCCACCCTCATATTAATGTAGTGATAGTAACACTCACCTGAGAGAAGAACTCGTCCATGAAGGCTGCATTGTCCACAGCAATCTCCACCTCATCGTCATCTTGATCGCACGTCTAACAAAATAAAAAGGTAAAGAGTGTATCAGACTAATAGCAGTAGGTCCAGCTGGCATGAGAGAGCGTGTTTAGGGTATTAGATGCTCACAGTCACAATCACAATCATGTCATCAACACCCCGGGATTAATGGTTCATTCAGATGTTCATTGTGTTTACCAGGGTAAAAACAGAAACCAGCTGTGTGTGGCTGCACTGCGATTTATGGCCATTATTTATAAATCTTCCATTTTATTTTACTTTTTTTTTTTTTTTTTAAATCCTGTGTATATGTTTAATATGTAATAATAAATAATAAATTCACTCTATGTTGGTGACAATTATAGTGACATCCTGTTCCATTTATATAAAATGCAGTCAAAATGAGCACAACTAGGTGAAACCAGGCAATTATAGAATCAAAGAATGAATATAAGTGAACAAAACCAAGAATCTGACCAACCATTCAATATCAACTTTCAAAAGCTGCACAGTTATCAACACCCTGTGCTATGGACACACTGGTTGGTAAACCAGTCCTGAGTTAATAGCAGCCCTAGTTCTAAGTCTCAAAAAAACACAACCACCATCATTATTATTCTCAAAATAATCTTACGATAATCACACCATCAAACAAACTAGAACTCTGTTCCTGAGTCATGGAATTGAATAATGGCCAGAAGTGTTTTTGTGGAATATTATGATGTCACAGTGAAGTTGACCTTTGACCATTTGGATATAAAATGTCTTCATCATTTTATCCTATTAGACATTTGTGCTAAATTGTGTCGTAATTAGTGTATGAATTAGTGTTTTGTGAGGTCACAGTGACCTTTAACCACCAAATTCTGATCAGTTCATCCTTGTGAATGTTGTGAATACAGCTATAATGAAATTCCCTCTGAGTGTTCCTGATTTATTTATTTATTAAGAACATGAGGTCACTATGACTTTGATTTTTGACCTCTGACCACCAAGATCAAATCATCCTTGAGTCTGAGTGACTCTTTGTGCCAAATTTGATGAAATTCCCTCTAGTTATTCCTCAGATATCACATTCATGAGAATGGGATGGACAGACAGACGATCAACCAGAAAACATAAAACCTCTGGCCACAGCTGACGCAGAAGCGTTTTTATTTGTCATCAGGGTGGAAAACCCGCTGACGTTAAACCACGAGCCACTGCTGAAGGCCATACTAATGAAATTGCTTCCTGGTTAGTAGCTCAGCATGATACATCCACCACCAGAAATATTGGTCTGACTATAATCAGCCTACACCCAATAAATTTATCAGAAAAACTTAACGTTGCTGATGTCATAAACATGTCACAAGAGACAGTCAGTAAACACAGGGCAGTGCAGCTCAGTTGGCCACAAAGAGCTCAGCACTGCTGGTGAATATTTACACGGTGAATGACTCGGGCCAGACTCCAGGAACTCAACCTGTTTTCAACTGACTCTAAGAAACCACAGCTCAGGTGCAGTGTAAACAGACATCATAGGGCCATACTGTGACAGTGTTAGGCAGAAAAAAAGACTGACAATGAGTGAGAGGGGCAGACATGCTCAATTTGTTCCCTCTCTTTTAATTACTTCTCCATTTAAAGTCAGATATGTTTACACTATAATCTTAACACATAGCAGTTTGTGTTTGTTGTGTAATGAGTTACAGAGTCTGAAGTCTGGACACCTGACTTTCCTGGAGAAAGTCAGGTGTCTTTTGCTATATTCACCTGGATCAAAGCCAAAGCATGGAGAATGTTAGCCAACACACCTGTCAACTTCCCTGCTTTGTCATATCACCTGACTGTGCCTCAATCTCTAAACTGCTAATCTCAGCCAATATCAGTACAACACTTGATTTATGCTGCAAACAGAATATTTTTCTTTAATTCACACTGTTCCTTGGTTTCTTATTGGGCTACACATTGCACAATACACAATACAATCATTTTAAAAGGAACAAGAAATTAGAGCTGCAATCATTTGTTGATTTATTGAGTAAGCTGTTAACAGATAATTAACTGGCATCTATTTTGATAATTGATTTAGGGCTGCAACTAATGATTATTTTCTCAAGTTTAGTCTCTAAAATGTTAAACAATAGTGAAAAAATGGCAAACATACTTTCTCAGAGGCCACAGTAATATCTTTTTAATGTCTTTCTCCCTTTATAAATAAAAACAGAAAATAGTCACATTTGGAGAATCTTTTGGCATTGGGCTTGAAAAATCAATTAAACCATTATCAAAATAGTGCCCAATTATTTTTTGTGTGAAAATCAACTAATGAATTAACTGACCAATCGTTGCAGCTCTAAATTGATTAATTTTGTCATTTTTCAAGCAACCCCCTTCTCAAATATGATGATTTGCCTGTCACGTTGAAGTCTTCTCAGTGTGCAGTGGTCACCTTTGATTATTGATGACTCTTAGTCATATTTGATAGTAGACTGTCTTTACTGCCCTGGGCAGTAACATTTAATGCAGCTGTTCAAATGGGTTGTAGGCTGTCTTTAACCTTCTACCCCTCATCTAAAATTTGACTTGCAAATGGAGTCTAGACTATTTGGTTCAGCCTGCTGTAACTAACAAAACTTGTGAACACAGAGTTCCCTGGACACGTACACACACACTGACACACCGCCTGTTTTTGAATCTCTCACTGAGTTATTCATCAAACACACCGCTCTGGACCACACATTATGCTCTCTCACACAGCGTTTCTGCAGTAGAGAGATAAGAACACACACTCACTTCCTTCCAGTGTCTCTCGTTCAGCAGAAATAAGGGGAAAAGGACTGATGTATGCAACAATTGCCACACACACACTTGCTTTCATGCAAAAACTGTCTGATACTCTTGTTAAACTCATTCACTTATGACTGACCTTGGAGACACGTATTACTGTTAGAAAATCCAACAACAAATTGCATTATCTTGAATCATAAAGTTATTCATAATACATTAACTTCATACTGCTTCTGATCACTGCATGGGAGTTGGAAGTGGTGTGTCATGACTAGGTGTAGTTGAGAGTGCAGTGTGAGACATGCCATGTTTGTAAACTGTAAAACTAGATTAACATTAACCAGTATTTTACAGCATTTTGTTCAATACTGTCTAATGCTGAGTGGAAAGTAAGACACACACACATCTCATCATCCTTTTTTGAAAAATAAATATATAAATTGTGAACAAAGTAGATTTAATGCCACTTTGTGCAACTCTGCCAAAATGTTGACTGACAGAGTGAGCCGTGCAGCAGCAAATTAGATTTTCTCTTTTTGTTGGACCAAAATCAAGAAAAATGCTATAATCTCTTAGCTACATGAAGATTGTGCAATCATCAAAACATTGAAAAACAAACCGGATAACATTTGGACAACTTGACACTAAAATTAGAAACTAGCACACATGCCGCACATGAATAATGGAAATGTCAACCTGGATGCAGGCTAGTTCATTTTAATTACGCTTATTCTGCATGCAAATGTGCACAATATGTCATGTTGCATAATTCCCCTCAACTAGGCAATGACTAAACAGAGGTGTTACACTGCAGCAGGTCCTCTGCCTCACAAATACAACTGCTAATCAAACTGATAGGTTTCCTTAACACACAATTTCATTGGAGCTCCAATCACAAGAATGTTTTGTACTGGTCTTTCTGGAAAGTCAGATCAAATGTGAAACCCACTAAAGAGTGATCAAACCCATGGACAGAAAAAACAAAGCACTAAAAAGACACATACATGAGCAAGTACAAAGACTGAGCTTGTCCGATTGGCCTCTACATCCCCATGGTAAATTGTACTTGAGCACACATACACACACAAACAATAAGTCTAAGATTCAATGAAAAAAAGCTGAAGTAACCCCTATGACTCATTTTCATGCACAAAACTATGTACACAAAAGCTGAATGTCCAACCCTCTCGCTCACTTATCTTTCCCGTGACTCCGTCATCTTAAAGAAACTGGGAGGTGACAAACCGGCAGGACTTTGTCTCTGAGGATCATAAACGATGTAACAGTACCGGGTGTAACACTTTCAGCCAAACACCAAAAGCACTTCTAGGTTGAGAAGATAGGCTGAGAAAAATGAGGGTGAGCAAAGACCAAATTGAGCTGACAAGGTAGTTGGATAAAGGCAAAAGCAATGTGTGCGCTTGCCGAGCTCCGAGTTTGTGGATCAATCTATAAACCAATCAAAAGAAAATAATTCAGAAACTATTTTAGTGATCAGTCATTCTTCAGGCAAAAATTCCAAACTTTTCCCAATTTAAGCTGCATTTCTTAACATTATGTCAGTAAACTGAATATCTCCAGAGTGTTTTTACATCTTATACACCAACCAATTAAATCAAGAAAAATATTCAGCAAATTATTTAATACTGAAAAGAATTTTTAGTTGCAGCCCTGTGCACTAGATTTTCCCACTGGGTGATTTAGAACGTGAGCCATTAACTATCACAGCAGCAGGACAGGGAGCTGGGGTCAGATTTACAGCAGCACGGTGACAGAAGCCAAAATACTCCATCAGGACTTGAGTTAATGCAATGGTGAAATCTGACAAGGGATTTAAAATCTCCATGTGCCACAGAAGAAGCCACATTCCTGCTGTTACAATTTCCCCCATTCACTGCGCTGATATCTGAGCCATGTGCTGGAGAACAGTAACACTGTTTGCCCACTAGGCCTGTAGTACATAAAGGGAAAAACTTTACACACTTAACTAAAGAGGATATGGCTTTGACTGAAAACACATTTCAAAATACTATGAGGGAAATGGAACAGAAAGGCTGAATAATAGAAAACTGCTGTCATGTTGACATTGGCCTTTAATCTAGCTGCAACTAACGATTATTTTCATTAAGTCTACTTCAGTCTACGAAATACCAAATAATTGTGAAAAAGGGGACACATTGGAATATTTTCTTTTGTCCCACCTGTACTCCAAACCCCAACAAAAGAGCAACAAATCTTCACATGAGAGAAGCTGGAACCTGAGAGGTACTTTTGTTTGAAAATGACTGAAGCAAATAACTGATTACCAAAATAGTTGCTGATTATTTTTCCGTCAATCAACTAATTGATTAATGGACTAATCGCTGGAGCGTCATTTGAAAGTCATTTGAAATTTGCCAAGCAACTAATGATCTATTTTTGTCAAAAGAGGTCTGAGCAGGCAACTATAATCAAACTGCTTGCTAAACAGCATGCAGCATGAGCTGTCACATTAAACCACAGCTCCAGCTTAAGATACTATCCTGGTTTCCTGTTGCTCCTCTTTCCCAAACTACTCCAGGTCTACAGTATGCCAGGTGACATGATCACGCTAGTGGCATGAGCTCACATGAACATATGCCCTCCCCACCCCCTCCACCCCACAAACACACACCAACATACAGCCTAAATTACAGCCAGAAAGTTAAACATTAGAAAGTTAACTCAAGTAGGAAAGTAAAGGTGGCGGGTGAGTGTGGATAAGGTAAAAAGATAAAGAAACTGAGGAGTACATAGTGTAAAAAGTAGTAAGGATGGAAGAAGCCATTAAAAAAGAACTGTAACAAACAGTAGGTTTAGAGGTTTTAACGAATACACTTTGAACCTCCCAACACATGAGTGGCCTATTTCATTTGCTATCTGCACTTCTTTTCCCTGAAAAGAAGCCAGCTGTGTGAGATATAGATGCCTGGGGTGTGTGGGGACCGCAGTGGCCTACAGCAACTTTAAACATAGCAAATATTTGGTCAGCAGTTTCAGGTAGCTATAGTGACACATCCCGACTTGGGTTACAATAGGATCAAGGCCCTACCTCCAATGGGCAGCAAGTGTATATACTGTCATTGACTTAGATTTATATAGAGAAAAGATGAATAAAATGGATGCTTCTGAGTTGCAAATGATTAGTCTGTTTAGTACAGTTTAGTACATAGTATAATAATTTGACTGTGATGACATAGCCACCCCAACTGTAGAACCTGTATCCATTTTAAACTTCTTGTTTGACCATATTTGTTATATTTTCAATGGTTTAATGTACTTTTTAGCAGTGATGGCAACTAGGACTGCAACTACTTAATATTTTCTTTATTGATTAGTCTATTAACTTTTTATCTTTTATTTCAAAGCTTAATCATTTAGTCTGTTTAAAATGCCCATACATTTTTTTCCCAGCCAGGCCAAAACCCAACAATACCTAATTATATCCACTGACAAAAAAGGAAGAAAGCAACACATGGTCACATTTGAGAAACTGAAAACAGATGTCATATTACATTTTCGTTTGATAAACAACTAAAAGATTGATTTTCTGTTAATCAGCTAAACGAATAATCGACTTATCATTTCAGCTTTAATGGTAAACTCAGAATGATTCATCTGCTGCACTACTAAAGCTGAGTAAATTAATAAATATTTGCATATACACAAGCCTACATCCCTGACACCCAGCTGTCAGATCATACATGTAAAGAAATGGAAAATGATATCTAAATAACTGAACCACTTTTACATCCCCATTTCATCAACCTACCAACCTGCAGTGTTTTACAAGAGTTATGTCATCACATTGTACAACATTGTTTCAAATTGATATGTTATCTGTCAAGTATTTATCATAAAGGCTTAACTAAAAGGGGTTACAGTAAAAAAAAAAAAAAAAAAAAATCGTATCTTTTCATTTTTTTTCTATAAGGGATGTTTTTCAGAGGTTCATCAAAGTGTACAGAGAGACAATACTGCAGAGGGGAAAAAACGCTGTAAGCAAACTTAACATTTCCTGGACACCACTTACCGCTTTAAGTTGCTCCAATCGGTCCTTCATCTTTCACACGGTTGATTTGACAATTTTAAGACCAAGGCGATAACCACAATATTGTGTAAATGGCTCAGAAACTAGTCACAATCTCTGGACTCCTCAGCCAGCTGGCAAGCTAGCTGTCCAACACAACCCCACCGCCAGTTAGAAAGAAAATTAAACTCCCCAAAAGTCTTGACAAAAGTGTATAAGAAACCGACTTTTTCTGAAAACAGGAATCTTTCCGTCGTTTTTCCATACAATATGGCTGCTGGGTTTAAAGCCACTGTTTTTTCTTTGCTAAATCTCCTCGCCCAGGGGATTAAAACAACAGTTGTGTAGAGCCGTATAATCTGTCCCTCCGCTGGACACTAGTAATCATTCTAAAACGCACTTTCCTGTCTCACGCATGCGCGGACAAAACCCCGTCCGGTAAGGATGAAGCCACGCCCTGAGCCACCTGCACTAGTGATACATTCAGGTGATGTGGGAAAAATAACGTTCTTTATCCAATCCACTGCCTAAATGACGACTAGATTTGCTGCCTTCCTGCTGGCGGCGATGAATACAGTATGTAGTATTAAACCTCCAAGGGAATGCAGATGAAAATTAATTATGTGGCCTACATTGTTATATTGTAATATTAGTACATTGTCTGATACCCCTGAGGTCTTCAGCACAATTTTATGGTATTCGTATTACTTGTGTATTTCCATTTTATGTTACTTATACTTCGGACATATACTTCTACTCCACTACATACATCCAACAGCTTTAGTTACTATTTACTTTTCAGATTCCAATTGTTAATATAAATTATAACCAACAATTAATTATGATGCATTATGGATGAACCTACCCAAGAGTACTTAAACAATTTAAAATTATCCCCACCTTTACCAAATGCAACATCAAAGTTCTACTTGCATATTAATTCATCAATAATGTCAACCTAATTATATGACATATATTATTATGAAACTAGAAATTATTTACAATAGACAACAAGAATCATATAAAACCAGAGTGCAAACTCTGTAAAAGCACCACTTAAGGCCATTCATTAAAGTTGATTTTAAAGCTCAAATTAAACCAAATTAATCTTAAATGATGAAGGTCTTTTTTGTGGCTCCAAGATTTAATTAATTGCTACACTGTTGGACAACAAAACAATGAGAGGAGGTTGACTTAAACAATCGACAAGGTCCACTCAGTAACGAGATTTCAATCATATTACACAGTCTTCTTCGACTGTGCAAAGTTGTTGATGATGCTATGAGGGTAGACAAGGGAAATGATCGATTAACCATTTTAACCGGTTGTTTATGTCTGCTTTGTAAAGCAGTTGACAGCATGTCTGACTGGTTTAAAATAATGTAAGTCTAATTGTATGGAATATGATGACGCTGTATTCTAACCCAGCTCCGTAGTAACCATCGTGTGTAAAGAAGGCCCACGTCACATTGTAAAACTATTACGTAATAATGAGGGAAACGGTCGCTTTGCTCTGAGTGAAAGAACATGACTGACACCTGGTGGCCAATATTCTGTTGAGCAGGTTACAACATAGGCTCATACTATGCTTGGAAATAGCTTTGGAAATCTTTTCATCTGTTGAGCTACTAAAGCACCATCATTGTGCCCGATTACATGGCCGGATTAACTAGTTAGGAGTCCCTATTGTCTACCCACCCACCGCCCGCCTACTGTGTATTGTGTATGTATCCTGTCTTCTCCAAGTTTCCATCAGTTACAGAGCTACACAGCAGAGTGCACATGCCTCCTTTGTTGTATGCCCACGGACCCAACCAGTATTCCTCTACTGGAATAATACAACCTGAGCACAAGGTTTTGGGGTGAGTTGCTTTGTGATAATAGGCACTATGTGAGCACAGATAAAATGGTGAAGCTTGTAAAAACAAATTTTGACACATCCCTTCTCTGGTAAATAGGGTAACATTAGCTACTAATGAGGGACATGTCTTTATGTTCTAAAATGTGCAAAAATCCAAACCCCTTAATAAATTGTAATTAATCAAATAAAACCCACTGACATGCAGTGAACTAGGAACATTTGAGGCCTCAGGGCAGTCGCCCACGTGGCAAGCCAGCTTTGCTCCATTTAATTTGCCTTGATCTTATCTGAACGCAAACGGTGTGTAACACAGCCAACTTTAGTGTGCTTGTTAATAGAACAGTTCACCTGATTTACAGAATCACAATACAGAATTCCATTTGGCTGCTTCAGGTCCAGGATCCAGGTACTATAGATGCTGGCTCACTGTTAGGGTCATGGCTTACCAGGACACTTAAGTAGAACAGAGCCCTCATTAGTGTTATTAGCAACACCTGTGTCTTTCCTACCATAGCAGGTCAAAATGTCTTCCATGAAGAAGCTACTGGTGCTCCTTTCAGCTGAAAATGTCCGTTACTTCAGGGATACTGCTGTCCAAGTAAATAAAAACAAATACACATGTTATATTGAGAATGTTTTTATTCAAAGTTTACTCCCCTTAGTGCTTCCAGTACACCGTACTACAGCATTATGTGAGCTGGGTAAGTGCAGTGGAGGGTGCTCGACGATGAAGAGTAGCACGTTGCCATGCCAACGACAACACTAGGATGGGGTGCGTCATACAGTGAAATCAGAACCACAACTTTTCCACCAAGTTTTTTTTTCCTTAGTTTTAAAACAAACAAAAAAATTCAAAAATAAAAAATCTGAAAAGGGATTTTACAGTAAAGGGGCAAGACTCCAACAAATTCCTTTCCACGGTTGGGAGGGAGAGGGAAAATTCAGGGAACAGGTTAGAGGTCATCTTCTTCATCTGGGAGTGCTGTTTGTGATGCAACCTTGAGAACAGAAGACAAGATAAATCATTTCAGATTCACAATGTACCTCAGTGTCCTGCTTAGTTTGTGTAAACTTGTCTTAGGCACTAGATTGAAATTACAACATAGAGTGACCTGAACAGACATTGTGCCTCTATGGTCATACTCACTTGAAGCTCTTCCTCGTACTTAGCGGCAAGGGTTGGGTCCATCTGGACCTCTGGGGGAGCGAGGGCAGGCATTGCCACAAATTCCAGGTTGGGATCACCGATCAACTTCCTTGCTAGCCACAGGAAAGGCTTCTCAAAGTTATAGTTACTCTTGGCAGAAATGTCGTAGTACTGGGGGGCAGAGCAGCATATGTCAGTTAGAAATTATTATTCAAACAAAATGAGAAACGGACACATATTGATAATTTTGTGAGCACTGTCATTACCTGCAGGTTCTTCTTGCGGTGAAAGACAATGCTCTTGGCTTTGACTTTCCTGTCTTTGATGTCGACCTTGTTGCCACAAAGGACGATGGGAATGTTCTCACAGACACGGACCAGGTCACGATGCCAGTTGGGCACGTTCTTATAGGTGACTCGAGAGGTTACGTCAAACATGATGATAGCACACTGAGCTGTGGAGGTAACAGACGTTTTATTAAACAATATTCCCAGTAGGGGGTGGTTACATTTAAATGTATAGTGATTGACTGTTGTAGGTTTAATAACCAGAACATGTTAAGAATTATGGAAAGCACCTTGAATGTAGTAGCCATCTCTCAGGCCTCCAAACTTCTCCTGACCAGCTGTGTCCCACACATTGTACTTGATGGCTCCTCTGTTGGTGTGGAACATCAGTGGGTGCACCTCTACTCCCAGAGTAGCTAGAGTTACAAGCAAAGAGAAGAAGTGTGAGAGAAGCAAAGGTTGACTATATGATGAATTTTCAAAAATCAGCATGGACATGACAATAGGTGGAAGTTTACTTGCTATATTAGCACATATACAATCAAAATCAATCTGAAGAAAATACACTGCAGTGCCTTTTATATATACCCATTTCCTTTTTGAAAAGGTGGTCATAATATAGATTGACATAATATAGATAAATATGGACCGCAGAACCCACAACCAACCCACCCACTTTTTTAAACATTTTTTTTTTTTTTTTTTTTTTATTAATTAGTGACCAAAATGCATGCTAAAAGCAGTACATTTTGCCATTGAAAAGTCAGTGCTCTCTGGTGGACAAACCAGGTAATGGTGACATCGTTTTTCTAAATTACCTCAAAACTAGTTTAGCATCTCTGCAAAGTACTTTGTTGTCACTCAGCTGACATATACACCAATACATCTAAACCCAGAGGGCTCAGTGGGTGTCCAAAGCTATAGTTTTGGCCCAGGGCCAGCTAGTGGTTTGATCTGTTCTGGCTGATTGATGCATAATGGTTTGGTGTAAATGACTAAGCACCAGTCGAATTAGTGCTATCTGTTCACTCATTATCTGTAACATACTGAGGTGTCATTCCCTTCACAACATGGAGGTACTCACCAACATATTTCTTCTCAAACTCCCCTGTAATGTGCCTCTTCACAAAAGTCGTTTTCCCGGTGCCTCCATCTCCTACCAACACCAGCTATAAGCAAGCACAGTTAGTTTGGACTGGTTGATACTGGTTCAGCACAGCAAGCGTAGATACTGCAAATATTCTCTGCATTTGAAAAGACAGACGAACAACTCTTAAGTGATGTCTTACAGCAAACACTTACCTTAAACACCGCCACCGGTACACACTGTGCCATTGAGTCCGCCGTGGTTGCGATTTTTCTGAGTGAAACAAAACAAGGCGGGATGGTTAGCACGTTTTCCATCCTCCATCCTGCTAAGTTAGACAGCAATCAATACGTTGGGCTAGCGGTGTTAGCAACTACCTGGTTTGATGTTAATATTAGAGAAGTGAACTATGGGGCAACAGCCGCGGTTTGTTAGTTTGTTATTTTCACGCTTTGAGCAGTTTACTTTAGAACCAGCAGCTATACTTCATAGCCTGTTACCTAGCGATAACCAGTTCTAGCATTTTCTATCCGCGCTAACGGTCCGACAGGTTCACATGTAACGTTGACGTTATGTTAACGTCTGAATATCTTAAAATCAAATATACGTAGGGCTGTACTGCGAATCTGAATGAATGCACGACTAGCTCGCTTCTGAACCCATATTTCAACGCTAATGGTAGCTAGCTGGCTAACATGCTAACTAACGTTAGTTTGAGTGCGCCATACGAAGCGCGACCGCACTTTTTCTTGTTCGACTGGAACAATCGGGCTGGGAGATCGTCTAATGTGTTCCATGCGGCAGCCGACTTAAATAAGAACCAAAATTCACACATCGAGCTGACTCCAGGCACTCACATTTAGTTTTGTCAGTAATAGTAAATATACTTGATCGGAGAAATAAAGCGGATCTCAAGAACAAAGCAGTGGGATGTGGGAGAGCTGTGCTGGCTAGCCTATTAGCCAGCACGGCATGGAAGCCATTCTTTTCACCGAGCTAACGGCTAAGTTAGCTGCGAGTTAACAAGAAAAAATCAATGGCCTAGTCTGGCTGCTCCTTCCTCACGTGGCTACACATATAGCACCATACAGATCCAAACCATACCGTCAAGTTTGTCGTTGTTTTAACCTACTTTCCCGATAAACACAAACTTGAAATCTGGGATGGCCCAAAATGAGAGAAGAATATAGACTCACCGGGTGCTACTGCAAAGAGAGGAAAGAGTAAATGGCTGCGTTCGCGGGAGATTCGGCGTGGACTATGAGTCAGTTTCCGCCCTTATCATGTGACCATCGCAGCGGCAAAAAACTTGTTTGAGTTTAGTGCAGTCACCCTAGTGTTCACTGAGCATGATTCAGCAGAACATTCAATTTCTATAAAATATACAGAGATCTAGTGTCTGTCCATCCAATTTTACATCTCATAAAGTAGCCTATCGTTTTAAACGAGGGACTGAACGTTTTTTGAACATATGTCTAATCACAAATTCAGAGGGTGCAGTTAATTAGGTCTTACCAACTTGAAAATATACTTAGAAACTAATCTAAATCAATGAATTTTCAGGTCTAGATATAAGAAAATAATGCAACAATGCTCATCATAATACATAACTGCTTTTTTTTGTCATTTTATCCAACCAACACACCAAATATACCTAGTTTCCAGTCACATAAAACAGATAACAGTAGTAATGAAGCTGGAACCAGCAACTACCCAGTTGTGATTGTGTGTCAGTAATGATTTAAATGATGAATTTATCATGTAAGTGGCTTCCAATCAAATTTAATTTGATCCATTGGTCGTTTTAGCTCTAATTAATACTAAATTTTGGTTAAACCATGGCTTACATTGCAGAAATAATTTAATTAACTGAAATTATTATTAATCTGTTGATTATATTTGGATCAATCATGTTTTCTGTAAAAAATCATTTAAACATGATCATTAAAAAATCCCAGAATTGCTTTTTTTGCTCAACCAACAATCCAAAACTGTCCAAAAGGTATAGGTACTTATGGTGATATAAAACAAAAAAAAAAACAATAAGTCCTCACACACTGAAAGCTGGATCCAGAGATCTTTTGGCATATTTGCTTGATAAATGTTGTTAATGATTAATTAAATATCAAACTATTGGTGATTACTATTCTGTCAGTCAACTAATTGTTTAAATTTTAATACAACAGGCGAATTAACAGTTTTATTAACATCATTTATTTCACTTTCCTACATAGCATCAAACACATTACATAAATATACTCTTTCAGAAATGTCCTACCTATTAAAATCAGATAAACCATGCTTTTAAAGTGCAGCAGAAAATAGTCTATCATAGACATGTGCATAGGGTACATAGTTTATAGATTATTAAATCATCATCATGCAGTACAATATCATTCATCTTTAAAACATAAGACATAAATTGTGCGTTTTTATATTTTTTCTCAGCTCTGACAACAGAATCTGAGGCTGCAAGGCTTCACTGTTAATACAGTATGTAATTCATTGGAATATCTTTAAAGCTACAAGTAATCTCTTTACTGCATAGAATGATAAGATATATAATTTTCACATGTGACATTTCTTTTTGGTTAGTGTGCAGATATGACAGTCAGTCTATCTGTACAGATAGTCCGCCTGTATGTTGGCTGCTATCTCAGCCTCCCATCGATCTCCATTGTTGAGCAGCTTCTCCTTGTTGTACAGCAGCTCCTCATGGGTTTCAGTGGAGAACTCAAAGTTTGGACCCTGGGGACGGGATTGACAAAAAACTAAAAATCAACAGTCTGTAGGTCTAAATGCACACAGTTCTATAATAAGATTTTGATGGTGGGTTGAGTTTATGTTGTGTGAAGCACTGTGTGATTATAATAGATAAATAACTTTCCATTTTGTGGAAGATAGGAAATAAATTTAAGGTAATTAATCGATATAATTATCTACTGTATTTTCAGTTTCAGTTAAACAAATTGGTTTACGCCATGCCTTTAGTTCTTGTGCCTCAAAGAAAACAGTGGACTGTATTAGTTAAAAAGTAATCCAAAAGGCATGGTTCAGTACACCATAATGGTACAATAAATTAACATTACATCTCATAATTACAAGTTCGTTTCTTCAGGCTTCAATATGCTTCAAACTAACTAGGTGGTGTCATATGATAATGTCTAAAGGCAAAAGTTTGGAATGGCCAAAATCTAAGACAGGGTAAAAAGAGGAGGCATGCATTGTGTTGCTTTTAAGGGTGAAAAGTTGTACACAAAAAGTGACAGAGGTAGTTGTGAAAATAACGAAAAAGAGATGGCAAAACCCTGCCCACTTTCCCACCTCCACAAATCTGACCATTCGCAGGCGTGATTGTTGGATTGTCTGATTTGAAAAGTTACTATTTGTGAAACTGATACTTATCTCTGTATGAATATTTGCCAAAAGCTCCCCCTGGCACAAAACTTGAAAGGATCCTTTTCATTAAATACACTATTTCAGAGGAAAAGTACAGAAATACAGTTTTACTCTGCCAAAAGCCACCTTAGTTCAGCACCATAGAATCACCCATTCAGTCTAAGCTTTTTCTCACCTCCACAATGGCATCAACAGGACAAGCTTCCTGGCAGAAGCCACAGTAGATACACTTGGTCATATCAATATCATAGCGTGTAGTTCTCCTGCTGCCATCAGCCCGAGTCTCAGCTTCAATGGTAATGGCCTGGGTTCAACATAGGGAGAACAGTGAAGAGAAAAAAACAAGTCAGACAGGACAGACAGGGATTTCAGCAGTGACTTTATCACAGCCTTAGCAGCAGGTATTGTGAGAATAATTGGGTGCGGGATTGGGATTTATTTACCAGTCTGTAGAATTGAAACATAGTATTAACAGAACACAAGATGTACTATGGTATGGTGTAAATAGATAAATATTTTTTCTTGACTTTTGTGCATAAAAGCTGCCTTTGTTTTTTTTTTTTGTGTGTGGGTTTGTGTGTTAGAGATGCAAGATGAAAAGCAAGCAAAATATATGTGAGGAAGGCTCACTGTTTTTGTTTTCTACCAATTTTCAAGCAAAAAATTCCACCATCCTACATTTGTTCTGTTTGCTGCCACCGGACCACATTTTGAACATGTGAAGGCAAAAATGAAGAGAGGAAACACTAAAGAGCTGCTGATAATGCATGATAATCCCTAAAAGTAAAAAAAAAGGTTAAACTATCAAGTGTGTGCACTGCTAATCATATTTCTATGAAATTAGTTCTACCTGTTTTTGACCAGTCAAAATGAACAAAGATACATTCTTGGATTTATTTTTAAAAATAACAGGAAAAATAACAAGTTGTGTCTACACAGTTTGTGACATCTAATCAAGAAAGCTGCAACATAAATACATTTTACCGCAATATGGCTCTGTGTTTATAGGTAGGAACAGTATGTGTTTGTATTCACCTGAGCAGGGCAGATGGCCTCACACAGCTTACAGGCAATACAGCGCTCCTCTCCATTAGGGTAGCGGCGGAGGGCGTGCTCTCCACGGAAGCGAGGTGACAGAGGTCCCTTCTCAAATGGGTAGTTGATGGTGGCAGGTTCACGGAACAAGTAACTCATAGTCATCGCCAAACCTGCACGGAGGTCATAGCCATAGCATCAAAGAGAGTGACGACTCATGAAGTACAATACTGGTTATATTCTATACTTTTCTTACTGTCAAATCCCATGAAAAGACAAATGTGTCAGTTCATCACTCATCTCTTTCCAACTTCTTCCCTGTCTGTGGCACATAGCCCCTGCCCCTTTTGTTTGTACATCAGACTTAAATCTTTGAAAACAGGTTATAAATATTTATTTTATAAAATGCTGTCATTTCCTAAAACAGCTGGGCAATTTCGTTTTTAGCAAACTGGATTAATTTGACAGTTCAGATCTTGATTGTATTGGTAATTTGTTGTTACTGATTCACTTGGATTACTGCATATTTACACTCTTTACACCAAGGATTCCAATAAACTTTAGATTTGATGTCCTCCCTCTTGCAAAGTCAAATAAACTAAACTAACATTTTCAGCCATAAATTAATACACATTTGGTGCACTAGTGAATATTTATAGCAAAAGGCTGGTGTGTGTAGAATGGGCTCTTTATTACAATGGCTCTGCTCATCAGCAGTGTGGCGCTTTGTGTGTTTTTAATAGTTTTAGAAGATCTATGGCACACAGGAATAATAATAATCGGATTTTGACTACATAGACAATATTTTTTAACAGGATAAATTTCATGCCTTTTCATGAGATTTGTTCACAGTAATAAAATTATAGAACATCATTAGGCCTATCTTTTAACTCTATACATGACATAGGCTATCTGCATAGAAATCACTGTATGTGTGACCTCTAAAAAGTTCAGTCCAAAGGAGGGTTGTTGCAGCCCGGTCAGTGATGGACCTCAGGTCTGTCGGCAGCTCCTGAGCATTCACATACTCTGCAAGTAGAATAGAGGGGGACAAGATTGTATGATTAGATCAGTCCAAACAACGGCCACATGTTTTCCCTCCATTGAGAATGGCATATATGAACAGTTATGGGTTTGCAGCAGTACTTACTATAGCCCTCTCTCAGTGCACTCAGACTAAATGGGCGCATGACACCAGGACCATATCCAAACGTGCCTGGAGATACATACAAATGTGATGTGATAATGCTTCATTTTGTGCGTATAGATATTATTTTCTTAATGACACCTGCCTAAGGAGTACCTTGCTTTGAGTAGCAGTGGAGAAGACGCAGACTCACAGTAGTAACGTTGGACATCTGAGCAAAGAAGGCAGTGAAAAAGCAAACTGAAATAACTGAAACACATCAGAGGAACTAAAATGTACACAGTAGAGAGAAACGTCCATTGTAGCAACTCAGAAAAAGCTCTTCATTGAAAACGAGGGAGGGAGGGAGGGAGGGAGACCAGCTGACTGAGCACAACCATCCTATAATCTTGCGCCCCAAATCCCTGCTATTACGTCAGCAGTTGGCCACATTTATGGCATTCTATCAGAGTGGGAAAATCGACAACAGAGCCAATTTATACGATTAGGTAGCCCTCACGTTAGTCGCCGTTACTAGACCAACTGTCTCCATTTAACTGTGTAATATTCACAGAAAGTGTACTGATTTAGTTATTTTATTGTGTTAAATATGGTAAGCGTTTGTTAACAAGTGTTTGTTTTCACTTGTATAACCACACTATAGGGTACATGTCGCAATCTAATAGTCTTACTTTATTGTGTTAGTGTTAATATAATGTTATAGTGCCGACGAGAGCGATTTTGCCGCAATTTTTCAACCGGTTTGAATCCTCTCATTAGCAGGTAGGTTACAGGCATGCTCGTTCACGGCAGACCTGAATGCGTCATTACAATTAAATAACCGTTAGCAAAATGTGGCTCCTCGGTTAGCAACTTTAGCACACAGTTTAAATGTTTAATTTTATCATTATTTTCCTTGATTTATTTAGTTAATACGCGTTCGCAATTACCAAATTGTATCTCCCGAATTGTTATTACACTACAATTAGATCGCTCACCTACTTCACTGCCTGAAAAGGTAGTTAATTTAGGGTAATTTAACAGAAAACGGATAACAGCTCAATGAACACAATGTGTTTCCTATTACCGAAGCCTTAAATAATCGTCTACTACAGTCACCAGTTCGTGTTTATAATAATCTTCAACTAGACTTACCTTTCACAAGTTTTTGGTGAGCGGTGAGCAACAACAGACGGCGGTCCCTGAACTGCGCAGTAGTATTTATGCTGCATTCAAGTGCTGCTCGGTAATTTCCTATTCTTAGTGTGGAAATAACAAAACAATTGCTCTTTTGGTGATATCTTCCATTTTATTTAAATTACTGTCGGGCTCGTATAATTGCACTATTTTCTACAGCAAATAAAAGTGGCATAAATATTGTCAAGACAAGAGGAAGCACAATGAAAGGACACGATCAGCAGAGCATATTATACATTTATTACTCACTCTGATGACATGTTTGATGAATCATGCTTGAGTATCACTTGCATCACAGCAAAAAAAAAATGTATTTTACAAATAGTCAGTTTTTTTGGTATAACAGTTTACAGTGTTTCACGGAGGGACAGAGGAAAGTTGATTTAAGAGTCATCATGCATGTGTAATACTTATAGATAGAGACAGAGGGAGTGAGTGAGAGAGAGAGAGAGAGCAAATGAGCAACAGAGAGGGAGGAAGTTTGTCTTCCTCTCTCATCACTGGAGGACTTCACACTTCACCTCTTAGGCACCGACTGATCAAACATGCCGGAAATGTAAAAGGTAACTTTGTTTAAAATCATATTTAAGGAGATTTACCAACTGATCTCTTGGTTTGGTTATTTCCTCTAGGTGTGGTTATGTTTGTGGTTGAAGGACAGGAAGTTGACTTAGACTACTTTACACTTATGCTAAAAAACTGAGGCAGCAGATCCCCTAACCCTGGCTCGAATAAGAGACAAGGTAAAACGTACTCTTAAAATCATATTAAGTACAGTAGAACAATTCTTATTGATCACCAAGATAAATACTTTGTATACTACTAACAACTACTACTATTACTGACGGGGTGAAGGTATTGAACATCTTTGGTATTTCTACATGTGGAAGGCTTTGTAAAGTCACAAATTCCTGACATCTCTCCTCTAATCATGATGACAGAGTAGACAGACATGGCGAATCATGAGAGTCTCTTCCTCTCTTTCAGTAAGATGTTGAGTCCGTCAAGTCCAGCTCAGAAGAACCTCAGTGAAGAGGACAGCTCTGGATCTGATGCTGGGTCTGAGGTCGGTCTAGAGCCTGAGACAGACCGGTTTGGCTTCATTCTGACCAATGGATCCACAGCTGGGTGAGCACTTCCAGATGTGTGCTTGTCTACTGTTTGTGTAACAATAGTGAGGTTGGCACTGTAACCAAAACCAGGTATTCTGCTTCTCTGTTTTCATTTCTGTGTTTAATTAAATAGGTCAAACGAGAGAGAGACAAATGTATGCTGAGGTGGCTGTTGAAATTGCTAAACTGTTTCCAGGTAGATAAGACTCTAGAAAGTCCAACGTTTATAAAAATACAGACTCTATCCAGACAAAATCTCTGTTCATTACTAAAATGTATTCTTTATTAATGATCAAAAACATAAACTTTAACATTTCAAAAATGTTTTAAATGTTTGTGATCAAATGTAAGGTTTTCATACATTATTATCAGATAGCTGAACTATACATACAGTATTTCAGTCAACAGTGAGGCAATGTGACCCTTTAAAATAAAGTCAATCAAAGTTTCTCATCGCAGGGGATGGTCTTGAGTTGGACGTGAGCTGCTTGTGTCTTTAATCTTTAAGATTCAGATATTTTCCTGTTGTTTCTGTCAGTGCAAGAAGAAATTACTCAAAACAAAATGTTTCCATGCATGCTGGAAAACAATCTGATTAGAAGACTGCAGGTTAACTGAAAGTCTCTAAAGAGCTTGTTTTTTATAGGCTCATCTACAAACCGCTCTGCCTCTCAGAGAGGCAACCCAATCTGCAAGGGCCTTAAATTGTATTAATGGGGATCCATTTTGAATCAGGACAGAAACCTTTACGACAAAACTGTGTCAGGCCTGTTCGAAGTGAAAGGAAGAGACAAAACCTATATTACAAAACCTACATTATAATACACTCTGGGGATGCTGTAATAATGTGGATTTTATAATTCTGCAGAAACATGTAAAATCCATGCCAGAAAGAGCACAAACTGCAATGAACTTTTAACTTTTAAATTTTTACTTTCTGACAATACAAGCCAACACTTTCAAAAATCAATTGACTACATATCTAAATTACCTTCGAACAACAATGAAACAAAAAATCTTGGTGGTGGGCTTCATTTGAAGCAATTTAAAATCAGGATGAGACCAGTTGAACAAAGAGCTACCTGTCGTCTTCGTACTTTCCTCATTGATAACATCCTGACCTGTTGCCATGGAGACATCACACTGCTAACGTGTGGTTTTCCTGTTTCCTGTCTTGTTTTTCGGAGCATTGCCTTTCTGTAATGACAACACACAAAAGAGCACGCAGAAATGCTGCACAATGACTTAAAGGTCTCAAGCTAACTGTTTTGAGAGCCTTAAAGCTATACAGTCAATGGATGAGACACACAAGAGGCATGCATTGCTGTAGGATTACTGTTGTTTCATGTTTTAAAAATACTTACCTGGTGTTTTGTATGATGTTTTGTGTCAGGAGTGTGGGCCCGCCCCCTGAATTGGTCAGGCAGAGAGAGACCAAATGGATCAACATCATTCTCCAATGGGATCGCATGTTGTTGAAGAAGACCAGCAAGGTGTGCCCCATCTTAGACACTTTAAGTCATTACATAGAAGGGCACTCAGAGAGTGCAGACCTCTGCCAAGGCCAATGTAAAACAACACACACCAGACTTCAGAGAAAGAAATTCAAACTCACAGTTAATGATCGAGATCTGCCACAAAATTTTTATGGGTTCTTCCCTAGCTTATGCCCCATCCCTCAATTTGGTGCAAACCAGTTCATTGCGTGATCCTGCAGACAAACAAACAAACAAACAAACAAACTCACTGTCACACTGTCGTGCATCACTGGGACTCTTTTCCTATTTTGACAAGTCAAAATGTCAGCTTTGAAAAAGGTTTTCATACTGTCAACTGATAATACAGAATCACATTGCTGTAGTCGTTTGTTTATGACTTCTCTGGGCTGATCCTGTGTCTCTGTTACCTATCTCTCTTCAGGTCAAAGTGCAGTGTCAGAAAGGCATCCCTGCCTCACTCAGAGCGAAGTGCTGGCCTCTGCTTTGTGCAGCAACTGAAAGGATGAAACAAAACGAACACCTCTACGAGGCAAGAAAACTCGTTACAAAGGATGCCGTGCAACTAGTGCAGAAACAATTAGTTGATTAATTGATTTCAAAATGTGGATCAAAAGACAAAATAATTGACACAATTTTGGCAATCAAGTAATTGTTTATGTTATTTTTCAAGCAAATGTGACACAATCTGATGCTATTCTCAATTTTATATCACATTTATATCATATTTATATTAGGTATCTTTTGTTTCTGTGTCAGTCTCTGGACTCGCAGCCTGCTCTGCAGAGCTGGGTGGATGTGATTGAAAGAGACCTGGACCGACAGTTCCCCTTCCATGAAATGTTCCTCTCCAAGGATGGACATGGGTAGAAAACATTTATACTTATGCTTGTTTCTGTTGAAAGAGTAGGTAGCTACAGAACAGTCCTGCAGTTTGTTTGGTCTTCAGCATACCTCTGCTACTCCCACCCCATCTCTGCATTCCTGCTTTCTCTGTGTGTGTGGAAAAATAAAAGTTCCTTCATTAAAACTAGAAAGTAGACAGTGATATAATTTGCTGTATTTTAACTTTGTAAACTCACCTCACTAATCGAACTTGGGTTTTATCAAAATATAATCATGAGTTTTAAACTTGTGGTTTGTGTGACTGACTATTGTGGTGTGTGTGTCTGTGTGTAGGCAGCGTGGTTTGTTCCGGGTGTTGAAAGCCTACACTCAGTACCAACCAGAAGAGGGTTACTGCCAGGCACAGGGGCCTGTGGCCGCAGTGCTGCTGATGAACATGCCTGCAGAGGTAGCAAAATGAAGAAGCTGCAAACCTTTTTAAAATACAGTTCATTAACCTGGATTTTACTGGAAAAACAAAAAGCTTTTTCAGACATTTAATGTGTACCACTGTTGGCATCATCTGTCTGTTAAAATGTAATATGTCTGTAATATGGCACAAACACTGGTTCAGAGGCATAAATACCTTGGCAGTAAATGTTCAAAAAATTAATGTTAATAAATGTTAAATTATCTAATGTGGCATCTAATATTCACCTTATCTAATGCTGACAGGAGGCCTTTTGGTGTTTGGTGCAGATCAGTGAGCAGTACCTGCCTGGATACTACAGCCCTCTGCTGGTGAGGACATGCACATATACATACATATGGACATACTTTTAAACCTGTTTAGTTTGCTGTACACAGATATTTCAAATATAGGCCAGTAAATTGAATCTGACAGTAGATTTTTGTTTGCTTGTGCTATGAATTAGCCCAAATTTAGAAAAATGCTAAGCTAATGTATCCATGCCATGTGTTGTACAGGAGGGAGTCCTGTTTGATGCAGGCATGTTGACCTGGGTCTTGAAAAGGACATGTCCTGCTGCACACAAACACCTGCAGCACCACGGAGTGGAGCCCCTCATGTTTGCCACTGACTGGCTGATGTGTCTGTTCACACGCCACCTGCCATTCAACACTCTGCTCCGAGTCTGGGATCTGTTTTTCTGCTACGGTAAATCCTCCACATTGGCTGATGGTCATACAAATTACATTGTATTCCAAAAGGGAGGCAAATAAATGTGTAATTTCATTGACACGATAATCTGTATATCATAACTGTGCTATATTGATTTGCGGAATAATTATTTGTTTGGAAATATTTTACAGCTTGTGATGGGTTTGATATGGCTACCACTGTTCCCCCGGGTGTCATTTTCACCTCTCTGTCCGTGCTTACCTCTCATCTCTTCTGTGCAGGGGTGCGGGTGCTGCTCCAGGTGGCGGTGGTGCTGGTGCGTCGGGTGCTGGGTCGTGCCGAGCTGAGGAAGCAGTGCCCGGGCCAGATGGAGACTCTGGAGAGGCTGAGGGGCGTCAGGGACCAGGTCCAGGAGGACGACGACGCCTTTATAGCAGAGGTAATAAACTGCTAAAATAATGTTCCAGACTGCGTTGAAAACTAGAATAACACACACATCAACTTTCATGCATTTTCATTAAAGCACCAGTTAGCCAGAAATATACATCCTGGTTATAAATCCAGTGTAATTTAGGCTTTTCACTGAACCTGAGCTGGAGGGAAAGCTAGACTGTTGTATGTCAACTTCAAGACATATACTGTAAGTGTATTTGCAATATGTCAGCTGCATTTTATTGAGAATAATGTAATAAAAGGAAAACGATATTCAAAATGTAACTCAGATTAACCACATCAAGGTTACTGTAATCTACCTTTACCCCCCCCCCCCCCCCCCCCCCCCCCCCCCCCCCCCCCCCCCGCACTCTCAGGTGTGTTCAATTCCACTGTCAGCCAGAGATCTGGAGAGACACACGGAGAAGGAACTACATAAGTGGAGGAAAGAAAGACCTTCATCCACCTTTGACCCCAGAGGTCGCTGTCTGGGATACCGGATGGCGTGGGCAAGAGCTCGGCTTAATGAGGAAGAACGGGACAGGAAAGAGAGACAGAGAGGGAACCTGTCTGTCCCTCTTTCTCGCTCGGCCTCCACTCTGTCCCTTTCTCCTTCGCTCCTTCACAAGAGGTTGAGGAAAGGGGGGAAAGCTAACACAGGTGAATGGGAAGGCGGTGGTAAAGTTGTGAGGCATCTTTCAATGGGAGCAAAGGAGGACTGGAGAAACTGGAACGAGTTCAATTTTAAGAAGGTTCAGGGCGTTCAGGAGGAGGAGGATGACGAGGAACACAAAAAACAGAGCGAATCAAAACTAACAATGAAAACTGAAGAGAAAGAACTTTTAGAGGAACCTAAAAAGATGGACAAAGTTCAAAACACACCAACAGAGCACTCAGAAGAAACAGAGACAGTAAAAGAACAGACTGAAGAAGTTGAAACAAAATTCACTGAAAAGGAGGCAAACCAACCCAAAGAGACAGAGGACAACAAAATAATTTCAGAACAGACAGAAGAAACAAATGAGGAAGCTCACCAACCCAAAGAGACAGAGGACAACAAAATCATTTCAGAACAGACAGAAGAAACAAATGAGGAAGCTCACCAACCCAAAGAGACAGAGGACAACAAAATCATTTCAGAACAGACAGAAGAAACAAATGAGGAAGCTCACCAACCCAAAGAGACAGAGGACAACAAAATCATTTCAGAACAGACAGAAGAAACAAATGAGGAAGCTCACCAACCCAAAGAGACAGAGGATAACAAAATCGTTTCAGAACAGACAGAAGAAACAAATGAGGAAGCTCACCAACCCAAAGAGACAGAGGACAACAAAATCGTTTCAGAACAGACAGAAGAAACAATTGAGGAGACAGAACCAAGCCAAAGTCCAACCAAAGATAAGACTGCTGAAAATCTTCTTCAGCCCACTGAACGGGGAGAGGAGTTGGACTCTTACAGCCAGTCACAAGTCCTGGAACAACAGAATCACAAAGGCCAGCACCAGGAAACCGAGGTCAAAGACACAAAGGAGGAGGCGGAAGAACAAGTGTCTGAAAGTAAATATTCAGCTGCTGTGGAGGAAAATCAAAACGAGATACAGAAAGGTGCCGATGCAGACCCACGAACAGATGAAGAAATTCAAGCAAGTGTAGATTCAAGTGAAGAACAGATGATCCAGGCTGAGATGAAACCAGAGGAGAGGACAGAAAGTAAACATGAGCCAAAGACACAGGTGGACGTTGTCACAGAAGTCTCAGAAGTCTCAGAAACAAGACCTGAGACAAGTTCAGACTCGGAGACAAACAGCAACATCGAAGCAGCAACTTTCACAGATCCAGATCTAACAATAGAGACAGGGACACAGGAAGAAGTGATCACAGAAACAGACAAAAACTCACAGGGTGATGCATTAAGCATGGCGTCATTAGCAGAAGCTGACATTGAAGAGTGCCACACCCAAACAGAGACAAAAACTGAGGGAAAGGTGGAGGAAAACGCAGCCGAGCAGAACGTATTAGAGATTGAAAAAGCAGAAATAGATTCAGAACAACACATTGATTCAAAGACAGAGACTAAGACAGAAACAGAAACATTAATCCTGTCTTCACCTGAATGCATCCAACAAGAAGACACTGATGTAGTAGCTGACACAGAAGATGATGCAGAAATGCCAGTCGCAGATGACACAGTGAAAGAGTCAAGTGAAGAATGTGCTCATTGTTCAGAGGAAGAGTGTGATACAGTAGCATCTGAACCCGCGCAGGAAAAAGAAGAAATCATTTTGACTGTGCACTCAGAGGCACAGGTTGACAACGGTCAAACACAAGCAGAGGAAACACCAGCTGAAACTCAGACAAATGTGGAGGCTCCTGACTCTGTAGCACCTCCAGAGAATGAGGAGACTCCAAAGCAAGCCGTAGCAGTGACTCTCACCACTGAGCCTGATGGGAAAACGAGTTCCTCTGAGGAACCTGCACCCGAAGAACCAAGAAGCCACGTCACTGTGGGTCCTTCGGAGGAGGAAGGGAGCACAGAAAATGTACAAGAAAACACTGTAGGAGAGGATGATGTCTTCATATCCACTCCTAACGTGACAGACAATCCACGTACTGACAGCAACCCACATGTCGAAAATACAGATGATTCTCCTGCTGAGTCAAACAACAGCAGTCTGACACAAGCCTCTGGGCACCGCAGTAACCGGACCTCTGGTGATTTCTGCGTCCGCAAGTCTTCCAGCTCCCGTGGGTCCAGGTTAACACGTAGGCTCTCCGAAGATCTCTTCACCATCCCACAGAAAACTAGCCAATCACAACCTGTCCCTAATCACCCAGAAGTTACACACGATGAATCACCGACCAATCCTGGAGCTGTAAACCAAACCCAAACCCCTCCTGATGTGACCCAGTCTTCAAAAGATTCCTTGTTACCGACCTCAGAAGTGACAGAGGGCACAGTGGAAGAGCAGGAGCCGTCCTCCCCCTCTAAACGTTTTGGTCTCTTCCGCAGGCTACGAGGAGAGCAGCCCAAAAAGGCAAAGAAAAAAGCGGAAAAGAAAATGCAAGTCCCCAAAATCCTGATTCAGGACTTCAGTGATGAAACCACGACGGGGAAACTGGTTGAAGAAGAGGGCGAGGAGAAACTTAGCTCCAGGGAGAGAAGGAGGAGGCGGAGGGAGCAAGAGAGAAGGGAGAAAGAGGAAGAGAGGTTGAGGAAGAAGAAAGAAAAGGAGATGGAGAAGGAGAGGGAGCGAGAGAGGAAGAAACCACAGACGAGGGGAAAAAGTTTTCAAGTGCAAAAGGAGAAAGCTGATCCACCTCAATCTGCAAAGACTGGCTCACAGACGCTTAGCTCTTCCACTTCTTATGCTGAATCTTACTTTTGACAAACATTTGTAATAGTACCTGGGGTGACTTGGTCTGAAGCACATGGTTATGATTATAACTTTTGATAAGTCTCAGTAGTAGCAGTTAAGACATTTAAACTGCCTGCACCACGGTAAGAGCTGCGCTTCATGTGATGAAGAAGTTTGGACCATTGTTTACAGCTATGTTATTGCTGCACCTTAATGAAAACTGCATCCATCCAGATGGGGTCGTCCTGTTTCATTGTCCTATCTGTTGAGGCACTGGTTTGAGAAGCAGACATTCCCCTCATCCTAAATCTTTGTTATACTTGAACTTTTTTTTTTTTTTTTTTTTACATGTAAATAAATAATAAATGATGTTAACATACTTTGAAAAATAAGTTTGTTTTATTCTGAGGGACTTTTTTGCTGCTGCACCTTGATCACAAACTGAACACTCAAAAAAAAAAACAAAAAAAAAACAGCAAGTGCTTCAAGTGTATTTTCACATAATCCCAGATTTCAACCATTAACATTATAATCCAATAAATGTGGTTCTATACTGATGGTAAAAGAAAAAACAACAAAACAGTGAAATTGAAAATAAAAGTCCAACATGTCCATTTCTGCATTTTCAAATAGTCCGGGAGGAATGGGGATACAGTAATAAAAGTGGACACACATGAGCCCACTTTCAGGTCAGTCCATCTTTCTCGGTCCACATCCCATCAGTCCATAGTCACCCTATTTTAAGTGTCATCCTCACTGTCACTGGCCAGCACTTCTTGACTTGTCACTGGTTGAGTACTCATCTGAGAAGACGGGGGAAGCACAGATCCAAAGAACAAGGAACAGAACTAAGGGAGAAGAACACAGAGGGGAAAAATATTAAATGACTACAGTATACTCACTGTATATTTTATCCAAATGTTAGACAGAAAAATCTGAAAGTACCATCTAGTCATTTGTTAGAATATATATAGGCTTAGTGCAGACTTCACAACTTGTGCCCTGATTCACCAGTATGAGACAAATTTAGTTTTAGCAGTTCAAGGCTTTTCTTGAGCTGCCACAGTTGCCAAGACAGTAAAATCAAATATATTTTATTTTATCATAACCTCAAAAAAAGGTACACTGGTAGCTGGAGCACCTTGAATATTAGTCTCTGATGGGATATGAGCGTCATTCAATGAGAGGACAAGGGAGAAAACGGGTGGTGAGGTGTGACAATGACTTCTCTCCTGTCTTTTTTCAATTTGTTCATTCACATCATTTGTTCCAGTCATTGACCTCTTAAAGTGGAATAATCTTGTAATCAGCAACCTAGTCTGAGATGAGTCGTGAGCTCCCACATCAACATGACAGCAGTCGGTGGTAAAAAAAAAAGAATATTCAGAGATTTTGGAGGTTTGGAGTCTGCACTTGGCCTCAGTAATCGTTGTGCATGACTACAAGGCTAAGGCAGAGGATGGTAAGATATTTTGAGAGGACCACTAATGAGCACATAGCTGCCAAGAGGAGAAACAAAATGTATGTTTATACTTTATGTGGTATTTTGTGCTTAAACAGCACATAGCACTGCTACAGAAACTCAAGTGTCATCTAGCTGTCAATGTTATGGTGTTATGGTGTGTCTTGGGACCTGGACTAGATTATGCCATTTGTAATGTATTGTTTTGATGGTTTGAAAGTAAATTAAGGTTAGAAAATTCACACTTCATTGTTTTATTATTTTGTAATTTTCTATAATTGTGCTATAAAAACACAATGACATATGCAAATGGTCAGCTATCTCCTTACATATTCATCAATTTATCTAAAAACCATACCTTCTTATTAGGTGGTCTGTCTGAATCAGCTGTCTCCTCCTCTTCCTCCTCCTCACTGTGTATCCTTGTCCTGTGATTGGCTGCAGCAGGCTGTTCTGAGTATGTGGATTCAGCTAATGGGGGTGTGGGTGGACCTGTAGCCGAGGGACCTGGTGCAATACTGGTATCCATTGCGATGAGGTAGGAGTCAATGTCATCACTCATGAAGTCATCGGGAGGGGGAGGTGGTGGTGAGTGTGCTCTGCAGGGTGGAGGGGAAATATGACATGAATGAGGAAGTGAAAGGTTAAAAAAATGTTGCTCTCAGGCTCCATACAGAGCTTCAGTGGAAGCCCACTCACATATAAGTTCAAGTTTATTCATGATGCTGAAACAGATCCCAGCTGCTGTAATGTCCGGAAATTAAAAAATTAAACTCAATAATAGTTTTACTATTCATGAGAAGAGCATCTTTAGTCCTGATATCAAGCAGAAAGTCTTCACCCTTTATTGTGCTGAGAAGCCACACCAACTACAACCCTATTGGTGATGTCCCTCTCACCCAGAGCTGGCTGGCTGGCAAGATGGAGAAGTACAGAATGTTGTACACACAGAGACCACAGATGGTTTAAAAGAGGTATTAAAATGCCAAGTTGAAGAAATCCTAACTGAAAACGCCAATCCACCCAGTCCATGACAGACAAGACATTGCACTTAACTTCAGCTTGTCAGAGACAGCCCTGAACACTCACCCCTGCCCACATCTATTACATAACCTGTGCTCCATTTATAACAAGTGATGAGTGACCAGATTGTGGAAGTGTTGAAAATTCAGCCTAAGCCATGTCCAATGCATCACATATGCTACATTTTCAATGATTAAATGGCTGTTTGTGTCAATTCAGAAAAACTCCAAACTACCAAACGTTAATTGCACTATGCCATAGACCACATGGACAAATGTGCACCTGCAGCTCGTGGTCAACTGCCTCTCCACCCAGAGAATGTAATTGTCCACCAGGTGGCATAGCATCCCTGCAAAATGAATGCTAAAATTTCCTGCCTGTCATTACAACTGAAGAAACTATTTGGTGAAACAGCTTTTTTTCACGTGTGCCATTGGCAAGCCTTTTCTAAAGACTGACTGACAACTGACTGACAACTGACTGACGTCTGAAGTCCAGCCTATTCAATTTGTTTTGAGTGTTACCGTCGTGTGTTGTTTTTACGGTGGTTGGGATCGTCAGAAAGCGTAGCCAACACAAAGTTCCCCTCCAGGACACTGTCTGTTACTGAAAGTACCACAGGACTGAAACACACAGGCACGCACAAAATTTAAATGTCAGTATATTGTGATAACACAATTGATCAACTGATATCTGTATGCGAGTATGCCTACCTTCCTGGCTCATCAAAGTACATAGAAATAGGGAGACCAGTGGACTCTGCAAACACTAACAAACCCTGAGGGAGAGATGACAACACATGCCTTAGCAAACCGTGATGAGAAACAAATGCAAGAAATCTACTTACCACAGCATATTTTAGCTGCCTACACCTTGCTCTCAATTCCTCTACAGGACTTCTCTCCCCAACCCTCTCTCTCCTGACTTATCCTCTTATTCTTTTGCACTGTCGTTCCTCCCTTTGTCTGCTGTCTCACCCGTAACTCCTTCAGACAAAACGTGACGCTGTTGTGAGCTTGGACAGCGAAATGGTCAAACTCGTCTGAAGCCAGACACAACTCTGTCAGCATGGCCTTGGATTGCTCTGAGAAGGACACAGAAGAAAAGAAAAGCAGGAGTGAACTGAAGACAAAAGCAGAGAAAGGTTTAAAAACAAGAAAAATAAAATTTATATTGTGCCTTTATAGTGCCTTATTACTGTTAACTTACAGAGGTAGAAAACTACCTCTGTTCACTAATGACAGCCAAAACTGCACAGAGCAATTCTGATTTGACGTCTGTCCACCAAACGAGGGCACCACTGGGTTCATATCCATCCTCTCTCCCTTTTTTTGTATAATTTCTCAACATCATTAACAGCATATTTTCTTATTTTTGTAATACAAAGCTCTTTCAGAGATACAATGATTCATTAGGGCTGTGGGGTTAGTAAATATAAGTAAATACACTCAAGCTATGTTTATCTTTCTATTTAGTTTTTCTCCTTTCATGGAAAGTTTTGACATCTCTGTACATGTGCCAAAAAAGTGACCCTGATTTTTTGTCACAAAGTTGCGTCACACTAAAATGTTCTTTTTGATTCTACGTTACTTGAATATCCAATGTGATGAGTATAAAAGATAAGATGAGTATAAAAAGTGTGTTATGACTTCTTAAAGAACAGTTCACAAGTTCTACAAATTCTAGTAAGTAAGTTTGCAGTTGCTGTGTGAAGAAATAGACAATTAAGTCACCTGTATCTTCATCTACATGGTTCCTGACCCACATCCGTTCATCACTCACTGCCACAGTGACTTCTTCCAGAGAGGGAGGGAAGTGCACGACTGTGTCCACCAGCAGCCTGAGAACAATGGGAAAACAAACATAGCGTAAGCTTCTAGTGAGGGAGGTGGACAGGAAGACAGCAATAAGCTACAGCTACATAAAAGACATTTCACTTTATTTGCAGACCAACAATAAATGTAACAGAGAGGGTCCAAGACAGAAAACAAGAGACGGATTGTCCATGCTACAAAAATATTTTTACAAATAAGAATGCAGAAAGAGTTCACAAACCTGGGCTGGGCCCTGAATACATTGGCACAGCTGTCCTTATCAAACACTGCCTGTAAGCTTTCACTGTCCTGGAAAGACAGGTTATGCGTCTTCAGCAGGCCTGCAGAGACAATGCCAACACACAAACACTTACACCAGGAATACCATGCAATGAATGCATGATGTGCTACAATAAAGAAAACATGTCAGTATAAATGAGCTGCAACCCTCCTAAAAGCATCCATGTTAAAGTAAAGTAATGTGAACCATCTGAGGAGGAAGTGAAGCACTGATACCGTGTTTGCAGTGCAAGGTGAAGGTGAGGCGGTCCTTCTGCTTGTCCAACTCGATGTGACACTTTTCCACTGTCTTCTCCAGAGACGCCAGAGACCTGAACACTGCCTGCACACTCTGACTCATATATAAAAGGAACATAAAATGGGGAATAAATAAATATACACATGGGGATATGATCATGACTATGTTCGTAAAGCACTTTGTAATGTGGGTTTAGAAAAGTTTAGTTTGGGATTATTAGCATTCTTTTTATTATATGAAGCTGCCAAGAAAATATTTTTGTGATATATCCGCACCTTACATTAATTTAAAAAATCTACAAGTGTACAATTGCCCAACATTCTTCACATTTTGGTGACAAATGGTCTACCCTTTGAAATTATTGTCATGTACAACTGTTAAAACAAGGAAGCTCGGAGGTTTTGCACAAGGCACACAAAGATAACCACAAGGCAGTACCATGGTAGCAACATGACAGGAAAGATAGTGTTTGAAGTTGAGTAGAGAGAAGAATTTATCTGGCTCTGCTCTGAATAATGGATACGGCATCAGTCAAACCCAGACATGGGTACTGCAGTTGCCAGGGGGTAGAAATATTTTGGACTTGCGTTGCTAAAACTAAAATACATCCACATATTTGTGTGTAGGTGGGGAAAAAAATACATAAATAGGATTACAATTTGATGTTATGCTGCTCTTTACTATATTACTGTCACTGTATACACAAACATCAGCTGTCCAGGATATGCCTCCCACCAACCTGAATTAGATGTAACACTTTAACATCATGCACTGTGATTGAGAGTTCATGAAAACTGGTGAGTATATGAGCAGAGAGGTCACTGCAAGTCTAAATGGTAATATGAAAGCAAACCTAGTAACAAAAGAAAAAAAAAGGAGACCAAGAATAAACATCAACAGCTCCAGGGTCACTATGTCATGTGTTAAAAAAGTACTGTGATAATATCAAAAGGACAGGTGCTGCTGATTAAGAAGTACTTGAGCTCATCCGATAAGGCTGACATAGATCATTTCAGCCCATGTAAATGTGCTGGCCATGAGAGACAATTTATATAAAGCATTAGAAGAAGCATGGCTCAACACACCTTTATTGCCATCTTGCAACGGAAGGCATGCCCACTGGGGATGGTGTACCTGTGCAAGAAATGGGAGGGGAAGTTGGTTTAAAACTCTTGGAAATGACACAAATAATGTGATGTTCAGCGACTCTCTCTCTATCTATCTCTCTCTCACACACAAACATTTCAGTGCCGATTATGAACACAGTCTGCACCTGCTGAAGAAGAGTGGTGCGAACAGGAAGCAAGCATATGCCGACCGAGAGGAGTTCACAGACCGCAGGGCCAGCTACAAGAGAGAGAGAGAGAGAGAGAGAGAGAGAGAGAGAGAGAGAGAGAGAGAAAGACAAAAAAAACAACACTATTCATTGACGCAAAGTATGCGGCAACAGGAAGCAACTAGATATATGCATGGTAGGAGGAAGTGTTGGGTGTGTGTCATTATCAGAGCAGCTCACCCCATCTTCCTGAGGCTCCACATACAGCTCATCACCGATCCTCGACAGGGAGTGGATGGCTTTGGCGAGCACTTGACGGTACATACACACATACATACAGTATTACTATCAACAGCTAAGTAATTCCATACACTGATGTTCTAGCTAAAGACAGAGCTGATAAAGCAGAAAATGTTTGCTACCTTTCACGTTTCCTCCCGTCACGACGCAGTCCATTTCTATAAAGTGGATAATACTTTTGCGTTAAGTTAGCAAACTCGGCTAAAAGTTAGCCGAAACTACCGGCTGCACACCATCAAAAACTGAACCAGCAGGGGTGTGACTGTTTGTACACGGCGCAGAATGTCACCCAGTGCTGAAAACATACTCCATTTGGTTATAGTTTTGTTTTTAAGTTTTATTTTCGGCTGTGGTTCAACTAAGCAGTATCTTACACCGATCTTGACGTTGTTTACGCCGCCATTGCCCGCTTCCGCTCCGTGAACCAATCAGAGACACAGGCGCTTGAGAGGCGTGGTTAATTACAGCCATGCGCAATGGGCGAAGAAAAACAGTGCAAAGAGAAGACTTTATTTTACAGATGCATAGTTAGTCTAAAGATGCGGTCAGGCGTTTAGAATGACAGATCACTTAACATCTGAAAATAGGGATATTTTAAGAGGAGGACAAATAGGCCTACATTTAATGTATTGCTAATAAGTTGATTTTAGTGGTTACAACAGTGGTAAGGAGTAGCTAAGTTCATTTATTTTTATTTAAGTACTGTGGAGAATGTAGATACAATTCTTAGATACTTTATTATGTATTTCTACTTAATATCATTTTATACTTCCACTCAGCTACATTTCAGAGACAGATTTTGTTCTTTTTACTTCAATACATTTATCTGACACCTGTAAAATAAAAGAAATATAATATAGTAACTAACAGCTGGCTAATATCAACAAATGTTAATTAAAAGAAATCAGAAAAAAGCACTCTCCAGGTTCCAGTACAACATTAGGGGATTCTACTGAAACTAACACCGACAGTAAAGCCTGTTTTAGAAAAAAATTAGCAGAATTTATATGAAATGGGTTATACCAAAAGTCATTGCAGGCATTTTCTATTTCTTTCATTCTGAAGACACATAAATAGCAGTTGCTCTCAAAAAACGCCCTGTAATTACCACTCAAGGGTCACAGTGGGAAGAGTGTGTGTGCACGTGTGAGTGAGGGAGTCAAGGAGAGAAATAGGAAGGAAGGGAGGGCAAATAGAAAGATGGGTAGAGATTCACAGAAAGAGGGAGAGTCACTGTCAATTCACAATTATCTCACCTTACTGGTCTTTCCTGTTGGTCTGCTTCAGTGTGTAAGATCTGAGGAACGCTGCCGTGCGCCATCCCTCCTCCCATCACTGGTGACTGCTGGAGAAGAGGTGTGACCAGAACAGTCTTCGTGTACTGAAACCTCAGACATTTGATGAAAGAGAGAGACTTTGAAGGGACTCAAGAGGACAAAGTCAGAAGTTCTTTTGAGTTTGGCTCGGCTTTGTGCCAAAACAACACAAACAGAGAGAGTGACTGCTGCTTAAACTTTTGAGGATTATGGAGAAGTGGAAAAAGAAACGTTTCTATCCTTGCTGAGGAGGTTAAATTTTAAGAAATGGATCTATCTTGATATTTGCTGTGAGAAACTATTAAGCCAATGATGGGAAAAGTTTGGAGCATGAAGAGAGAGGGAAACATCCCTACAGGAGTCTTAACAACAACAACTGGACACAGGGGTGACATGATTTTTTCATGATTAATTTCTTCTGTCTGGATATTCAGTTTCTTTTCAAAGCAACACATTACATTAGACTGTTTGAAATCCATAGTGGACTTTATTGCGGTGTTCACATGTACTCATTGTTGACATGCCTGTCTGTGACTTCTGGATTTGATACAAGGCAGTTTTCCTCCTAGATGTCTCAGTCACATAATCCAACAGACACTCAGGCCTTGCTGCAGTCCATGCTGCAGAGACTGAAGCTCCAGCCAGTGAAAGAGGGGCAGCCCTTGCTAAACACACCTGTACCCAACACAGCTGCTTCCACATTGAAGGAAGATGGAGAGAGAGGAGCCTCCAACCTCCAGAAAGTAAACAACAGTCCTGTAAATAGCTTTGAGTTATGGACCAATGGTATCCCATCAAGAGAGTGTGGGATCTCTGCTGCGGACAGTAATTTTGGCCTCAAAGGTGGGGAAATACAGCAACCAGGTCATGACAGGGGTCTCATTTCCTTTCCCACCCAGAAAGGCAACATTGATAATGACACGGGTGAGAACAGGGTGTGGGGACAGGCCACATCGCCTGGGATCACCCCAACAGGAACAGGACAGCTGTTTCCCGCTAAATCACATAAGGATGCTGATACCACTTCCTTTGAGAGGACTGACGGGGAAAGGGTGAGTTATGGCAGGTCTCCAATGACAGGACACATTCCTGGTAATAAAGATGCTGTCACAATGTTGGGACAGAATCAGGTCCAGGATCAGGGCTTTAAACCCAGGGGTTACAAGTGGTCCTTGACGCCCACAGATGCAAATCTTGATACGGAAAGTCAAGAGAATAAAGTCCTGCATATGGGAAATGGAGGATTGGGAGCTTTGGCACAGAGTAAAGACATAAAGTTTGTTGCAAATAGCCAAATAACAACAAACAGCAGCTCTAGAAGAAAACAGCGATCATCTGAGAATAAAACGAGGAGATGGACGCAGAAGATTAAGGAGAGATGGTTGGACAGGACGGGGACTTTTGGCAAAAAGGGAAAAGGAGAAGGTGGGAGAGTAGACCAGAAAAGTGAGGAAGGAACTGAGGTGAGTTGTGCCTTTTTATTACTTACTCAATATTATCAAAATTAAAAAAAAAAAACAGTAAAACTTCAGCTTGTTTACTTTGCAGACTTCACCTCCAAACCAGCTACTGAGAGCAGAAAGTCTCATCAATACATCAAATAAGGAGGAAGGAAGGACCGTCCTTCCATCAGACAGCAGTGATCCCAGTAAACTCCTTCCTGCACACACAGAGGACAGCACTCTTGATGGGCATGTCAGGTAATCAACCATCAAACTGCCCTAAAATTGCAAAAACACACCCAAACCAGTCCTGTAGTCAACCCTACATTAAAGTTATCACAATCAGGCTTTGTTGATTCGTCTCTTAGCCCTAAAGTTACACCAGAAAGATATGTGAGGTATTTCTGAGCTGTTTTCAACCATAGAGGTGATGTTAGTTTGCGCTGTTATGTTCCCTCTGATGTGTCAAACACACCCTTCTCAGTCTGACAGCGTCTGTCCTCAGACATCATCATTCACATGATCACATGACATGATCATTTCGATAACGTGTCTCATATGGGAACATCAAAAATGAGGCCATTGATGGAAGAAGTGTTCAGATGTTTTACTTCAGTAAAAGTATTCATACTACAATGTAAAAATACTGTATTACAAATACAATTTAAAAAACAACTGTCAGCTAAATGTACCTTAAGTAACAAAGGCAAAAGTACTCACTATGCATGCAGAATGGCCCTCATATACTGTTGTGTAGTTTAATTTACTATAACATTGCATTCCTATTTTATGTGCTTATTGTTAAAAAAAAAATTTCCCCAAAGTAACTAGTAACTACAACTGTCAAATAAATGTAGTGGAGTTAAAGTAGAAAGTAGCATGAAATGGAAACAATCAAGTTTAATACTAGTTGTATTTAGGTGCGGTGTTTGTTTTGATGTACCACCCCTGAAAGAGACACACACTCATACTCTGAGACTGACAGAATGGCTTGTAAAGGATGAGCCTTTCCTTTGTGGTTTAAGGATAAGAGTGGTGTTATTTTATATACTTATTATAGTCAGCAAATCCCTTTAAAAGACCAAAGCTCTCTCAATCTCTCAATACCTTCTGTCTTCTTTCTCCAAAGCCTTGGTGTTTTTGCCTTAAAAACAGCACTAGTGTCCTCCTGTGCACTGTTTTTCACTGTACTTGAAAGTCTTATTGAATTTTGTTCTCCTTATTCTTCTTGTCGCTGAAGATAGTTCATTATGGCTCCCTATGTTTGGGGTCATTGTCGTGCTGCAGAATGAATTTGGGACCAATCAGACACCTCGCTAATGTTGCAATCTAAAAATGTAAATTGCCAAAAAACTTTTGCACAGTACTGTATGTACTCACTTAGTTGTGTTGTGTTGTGTAAAAGAAAAACAAACACACAAATAGGAGGTTGATCTCTAGTATATTTATTGTCACAATAAGCAGTACACTACCACCAACCAAGAACAGTCTGGTTCCACAGGCTTCCCACCAAACTGAGTAACATCTGAAAACCATATGCTGCGATTGACAGAGCATAAAAACTAGTCAGAAAGCAGCAGTTAAAAAGTAGAACAAATGCAAACTTGTTCACTGAAAAAGGAGAAACTAGGCTCTAACACTGACAATTCCTGGATCAGTGTGTTGTCTGAAAAAATACTGCAACAATATCTACTTTTATATAATTAATAGTGTCAAATATGATTAGATTTAAATAAAAACATTTGGAACATGACAAGTGGCGTCTATGAAGGGGTACTTGAGGTCATCTGACAGGGTTGTGGGTATGTCAGACAAAAGAAGACGGAAACCGCTGCTCTAGTCAGTATTTATGGGACTAGCTAGTGTATGTGGGATTGAGTCAAAATAAACTGCACTGCCCAAGTTCATCATAATGAAGGGACATGTCACCCCGAGAGATGATGTGCCTTTTTTTATAACGTTTTTTGGGACGACAATGTAGCTCTATCGCACAGAGGAATAAGGCATATAAGGCGTTGGTTTTAGTCTTTCCATATAATTTGTTGACAGTATGAATCTCTTCTCTCGTGGCAGGTCCTCTAGTGATTTTGAGTTCGGCCTGGGCTCATTCAGCCTTCTCGAGGAGATCGTCACAGGTCAAGAGTGGGCAAAGTTCCTTAACCCCAACCTACCGGCCACCTCAGCCAATCACAGACCATCGGAAGAACAGCTGAGCCAACTCCAAATCCACGACAACAACCCGTGGAGCTTCAGGGGCACAGAGTCATCACCAGTTTCAGATTTCAGTATGGCACAAATATCGCCTGATGCTTTCCTACCTGTCAGCATGGACATGTCAGAGGGAAAACGACAGCAGTATATTCACACAGCAGCTAATCTATCAGAACCGATGGAAGATTTGCAGTCTGGAGAGAGAGGACGGGAACAACAACCTAGACCTCCATCCTTTGTAGAGGTCAGACATGACTTACTTACTCACTCAAAATTATGTTCTCCCATATTTTTTAGTGATTATTGTGCAATATTATTAAAAAAAACAAAACACACATAACCACATTTCTTTAACTCTACTTTTTTGTGTGACCTTTTTACTTTCACTTTTGAGTTGCTCACCATATCATCTGGTTTCAAATGCAGCCAAAACACAGTCTGGACAACTCAGCGCTGAAGAGAGTCCACCTCAACAGAAAGAGACACCATCAGTCAGCTGAGAGGAGAGACGAGAGGCTTCAAACTGAGATAATAAGTGACCTGAGAGAGGCAGGCAGAGGTGAGAACAACTTAATACTGAATAATCAGATATTTCAGGTACTTGATCTGAAAGAGGTTAGATGTGGTCACTTGCGGCAGACACATTTGACGGAAATTATGTTCTTTAGAAAAGGGAAATTCAGTTCTTTCTTTTGTCTCTTATTTTATAGGGGGGTCTATATCTTCACTGAGCATGACCAGCAGCCATTTGATGGATGAAACAGGAGAGTCACAACACGATATTGTCATGCCGTTACACACCCTAAACTCTTCTCCTACCCCTCTCTCTCCATCCTGTTTTAATCCTTTTGCTCCTGCACCTCGGGGGGTCCTCAAACACTCAATATCCCAGGATTCAGAGTCCTCTATGGAAACAGTGACAAAAAGGGTGAGATATCGTGCATCACAGTGCCTCCTTGTGGCATGAAACATAAAGATGCTATTTACACAGTATGTGTGTGTCCTACATCTATATTACATGCTTATTCTAAACCTATATTTATTAGCGTCCTGCTGACACTATTCTCCCACAATGCAATGCACAAAGGAAATGTAGGAGTTGCTCAGGGCTGTGAAAACTGTTGATGATGAAACAGCTCCAGAAACAAAAACAAAAACAAAATAACCTTTTAATTTTATATGCATGTAGTATGCAGATTAGTAGATTGTATTATAACTGCAAAAATACAGTATACTGTAGTAAGAGTTAGTAAGTACTGCAGTATGGGATTGGGGGAGGTCGAGGTGGTCATGTACTGTAGATCTTAATAATTTTGTTTAAAAGGTAGATTGTTTAAACAAAATAGCTATTTAATATTTAATATTTTTCATATGTAAGGCATCTCAATATAGACATTTTTTATATCTTTGTCTGCACAATAACATGTATTTATAGATTAAATATGTATCTGATTTTTAAATAGCCTATTAGTAACACTTTGTTTTTAGGTTAAGTTAGGTTAAATCCTGAATAATTTCCAAATTATTTCCAAGATGGTTTTTTTAATGCTTAATTTAAACCCATGTTAATATTATTCATTTCTTTCTAGAAACTTCATGTATGTTGATGTATGCATAATTATGAGCAGTCAGTGTTGCGTAGACCAATTATAACACTTAAGAATGATTTTTTAAAAAGTCATTTTATTAACTATTCTTTCTTGGCCACTTTCTGTTCGCCTTCCTGGTTCATTCTGTTCATCTTCTCTGGATCAGAGGCGAGTTGAGGAGAACCGCCGGGTTCATTTTTCAGAGGAGGTGCTGACCATTGCTGCTCCTGAGCTGGATGTGGATGCTACAGACTCCGAGGAGGATTCGGGAGCAGAGGAGGACTCTGTGATAGAGCAGGAGTGTGAGGTGGAGCAGGCAGCGGTGGAGGAGGTGGCACCAGCGCGTCGGCCTGCCCTCCCTACCTGGATACGGGCTCTGAAGAGAAGGAACATGGGGAGGAAGCACAGATAGTGACTGTGAAACTACAAAAAAGAGCATTTAGTCTCACACACTTGTTTCTATTTAAATAAATGGAAAAAAAAATCTAAATTTGGTAAGATAGTGAGTTTGTCTCAGAAGCAACTTCATTTAGTTTGAAGACTCTTTTTAAATAAACCAACAGTATCACAGTATTTGTAAAAACCACGAAACATATAAATGTTTGTTGACTGGACTTTTGTGGACACTTAAAGCACCTCTGTGTCCAATTGCTCCTCATCAATCTCTGCCACTGTTCAAAATGAAAATTTACCAAGTTTTTCTGAGCTGCACCCTATATTCAAAAATGGCAGCAAATCTAACCTCCTCATCTCACAAGGACTTTGATGTTTAAGCATCAACTGCAGATTATTAATTCAAGTGGATTATTCTTTTCTTTCTTTCTTTTTTTTACCCTTGACTGTTTTTAAGGCCATGCTCTCCACTGTCTGTATATTTAGACTGGATTATATATTGACAGTGTTGTACCAGCTTTTACAGCTTTTGTATGTGTTGCCCTCCTCCTTCAATATCACACTGGAGAGCAGCCCACTACAATGTGGTCTGCTGTCTATGGCACTGACTCATTCTCCATATCCTCTGCTTCTTGGTAATGGCTCCCCGTCCGGCCATCCTGACAATTAACCCCAGAGGGGGAAAGAGATATGACTTGGAGCTGAAGCAGTGATTTCTAATTTGTCTGCTACTCTCTGTTGAACGCTTGAAATGGTGAAACCCCATTTTGGAGCCATTTTCTTACTGGAGTCAGAGGGAAGCACTTTTTTTTTTTTTTTTTTTTTAGTCGGACAGTATTTTTTACTCTCTGTCTCTTGTTTTATAGACTGGGCCTAGAGCTACAGTGATGCATCCATGTGAGTGGAGCAACAAGGTTAAGAAAAACATTAAAGGAAGATTTCAACATTTGAGAAATATGCTTATTTGCTTTCTTTCTGTGAGTTGGATGAGAAGACTGACACAACATATAAAACTATGTTTAATTCAGAGTTTCTGCTGGCTGCCTGGCCAGCTGCTGCACCCAGCCAAAAACAAATGGTCTGGTGCATAATCCCACATTAAAACTTCACTCTGTCATTTTGACTCATTGGTTTTTGTACAGATTAAAGAAATGAGACATAATATGTTAACTACTCAGTTTTAGAAGTGCAGGTTGCACAGCCAGGTTGTTTCCTCCATCCTTTGTGCTAAGTTAAGCTAACTGTCTGCTAGCAGTACTGTAGCTTCATTGCAGTACAGATATGAGGTATCCTTCACCTCTTAAAGTCACCCTCCCACCATCTTGTTATCCTGGGCAAGGGTGCTGGATAATGTGTTTTAACCCACTTTTTGTTTACATTGTTCCCTCTACATGAAAAACTAGATAACATTAAAAAACAAACCCTCCTCCAGCTACCTCATTATTCATATTTATTATAAATTCTTCTACATAGGGATCATCTGAAAAAGTGACAGTATCTGCCCATTCATGTTTCACAATTACAAAACTGTGTGCATGGACACACACATCCAGTCTTATTAGGCCTTCAAATGTAGTTATATGAGTCAGAAAACTTTTTTTTTTCATTCTATCTATTCTGTCATTTCCATTACATGCATTATATTGATTTGTGTGATTAAATTAGTAAATTAAATTTTGTGGCTAACTGTTGTCAATTCCTCTGTGGCCTCCCTCCACAGCTATCTTCTCTTGTAAATCAGTCAGAGCCATTAAGAGGCTCTTTAGCTGATCTATTAGCGCCCTGGTCACATTTCATACTGAGACGAGAGGGGGCACAGAAAGAGGAGAGGCAAAGGTCAAAATGTGCACTATGTGCTTGTGTCTGAGCAAAACAGACAGAAAGAGAACTAAAAAAATGTTCGCAACAGAGCCATGGGAGCAAACCAGAGAATAAGAGAATCATAATCTAATTTTAGATTTTCCATACAAAAAAGTGGACTTGCATTAGTCAATTAGTCTGTACAGTAACATCTCCTACCGTGCATCATCACCCAGAAGTGGACTAATAATGGCCCATTTGTAAACCACAAGCAGCACACACATTTATCCCACTGCCACCACCACCTCCATATAGCACACAGACACACATTATCAGCTGTGTTTTTACACCATTAAGAGCCTTCAGTGCTTTTATTTGTGCAGGAAGAAGACGAGAAGTTAGTGAGTGGGCACATGATGACAAATAGAAATACAAAAAAAAAATGCAAATAGTTTTATTCTCAGCAGTGGTTTTTCTTAATGACATATTGATTTTCATATTGTTTTTAGATTTCTGGCTCATCTGAGCAAAGATAACTGGAAATTAGATGAGATTTATTCAGTTTAATAATTTGCTTCATTAGCGTTAACAGGAGGTTACAGTTTATTGTAGTAAAATGCTGTACAATGAAATAGGTTATAATAAAATACCATTTTTATTACTGTGTGTTTCCCTCTGAGTTTAATGACTGTAGTTTTAACAAAGCTTTATCCCAGCGGTTAGAGTTGGCCATTCACTGAATTTCACCAGTCACAGTCATGGGCTACAAGGCCAAAGTTCTTTTCTTCTGACTCCCACTTTGAGCTGTGAAATTGTGAAGCTGGCAGCAAAGTTGTCCATATTTATTCAATTCCATAAACTTGCCAAACTAAAACTTACAGCAGGATCCTGACATCCAGAAAAGGCATAATGAATCTCTTGGGAGGCAATAAGGTAAAGGGACAGAGGGAGAAAGAGAAATGTCCATCTCTTCAGATTGTTGTTGTTGTTGTTGTCAGTCAGATAGGTTGGTCAGAAGTAGCGAGGGAAAGGGCCCCAGAGTCATATGAGCTCTTGATACCTGGCCTGAGTGACAGCTGGCTCCCTGGGCTCTGAGTGAGGGGTGCTTCTATCTGAGCCTCTGACACCTGGAAGGACAAAACAGTGAAGAAAAGCTGCGATGAAGCGTCTACAGAAAAGCTCACCTGGACTCAGTGTCTTGGTCAAAGTCCCCCTGCTGTCAGTGTCTCTCCTTACGAGTAGTCAAAAAACATGCAACTGTATTCTAAAATAAAAAATGCATTACCTCTTCAAATTTCTTGGCTTTGTACTGCTCTGCCCCTTTCAAGAAGTTCAGTAAGATAACGTCACAGAGAACCGTACCCTGCCGACGCAGATAAAAAAAAGAAAAAAAGAGTAATGAACACTGACAGCAACAAGAAAAATACATTTTTATTATCTTTAGCATGATGAGAAGTTCCCCACCAGTCCAATAGAGGTGAAGGCAGCTACCAAGTTGATCAGTGTTGGGATGGTATCAAACTTTCCTGCCTGGAAGAGACAGGCAGGAGGAGATGGAGTCAGTTTTTAGTTTTATAGCAGTGTTCTGCACAACTTGCTTGTAGAAGAGCAGATACATGATGATTTCAATATACTAAACATTTACAGTCATGGATGGAGATTATTAAAGGAATCATTCAACATTGTGGGGAATATGCTATATGAGTCTACTGTATACATGAACAAATGTGGCGAACCCAAAGGCTCCCAAAAAGTCTTTTCGGTTTACAGAATGCAGTTGAGCATGTAAAGGAAGTGTCGAGGGCAGCGAGTCTGTACAGCAGGTGATAGCAGCAGCAGCCTAGTCGAGTCATGTTGAAACAGTTTGTGTGGTTTTATGGTAATGAACGGCAAACAAATGCAGCCACGGAGCCTGCATCAACATCATTTGCCAACAAAACTGTATCAGATTATGTGGACAAAAAAATTGGGTGTAGTTTCTCTTTAAACTTACACAAACACACACATGTGTACACACGCAAATTCCCTGGTCGCTACAATTACACACAACTCACATTGCCCGTGACCATAACATCAAAGCGGATTGCATAAGCTTTGTGAAGTGTCCGAAATTCAGTCCCGTTCTCTGTCTTGAAATATTTGGCAAATCTGCATTCAAAGAGAAGGAAAAAAAATGATTAAAGAATAAAAAAGGAATAAAGAGTAAGTGGATGCCAAGAGGAAAAATCAGCCCCCCTACCTGAAGTTGTATCCTTTAGAGACAGCATTCTTGGCAAACGGTGCATCCAGCCGCGTGAAAGAGTACTTAGGCACACAATTACTAATGTCCAGGTCCAAGTTACAAATCCATTGAATGTTTATTCCTATTTCTCCACCCTAAGAGAGAAGGATTAGGAAAAGATAGACACACCTTGAGGCTCTGTATCAGCCAGCTTCTTGTAATAATCAGAGTTAAGAAACCAGAAAATGGCATACTAAAAATAATCAAATTGAAATGAGTTTAATTTGTGGAGACATTTTCAATTTTGAATGCAGGTGTGACATGAGGTCAAACAAGCGAGGGCATGGTGAGGAAGCGGTCCGTGTTTATACTGTCATGGGTATAATGTGACCTGAAACTCTTTTGACAGTCCAAAATCTTCCTTCTTTTTCCATGCATGACAACAAAACTGCACTGATGTTGAAGTAAACTCTGGCAAATGTAACCATGAGTACATGGAGTGAATACAATTTTGAGGAGAAAGAAGAGGAAGGAGGAGATAAAAAAAACAGATAAGACCTTGTATGCCAGGTTTTCCACAGTCTGCCCCGTGTATCTCAGCACGTCCCCCACCCGAAAGATGGGGCAGAAGGGGTTCGTCTCCGGATGGTAGGTACACCTCTTGATCTGTGACGCATTCATTGAGGAGGGAAAGTTCCCTCTGAGAGACAAACATTTTATGTTTCATGTTTAAGATTACAAAAAAACTTTGTAGTTCTTAAAGAAGCATGTGTGACTATTAAATTATCCACACATTTGTTGCAGTCATCAAATTACCATGAAGTTTCTGCTGCTTAAATGGATGTGTGTAATATGTATGTGTGTATTCATGCACGTGTGTGTCCTACCTGGTGACATTGAAGAGTGGAAAGCGAATACTGTTTTTGATGAAAATGGTGAAGTTTTTCACATTCAGCATCGGTTTGCTGAGGAGGAAGTTGACAGAGAAGGAGGGGAGAGGATGAGGGAGAGGATTTGTCTGGTGCATAAGTGTGTCTGTATGTTTGTGAGTGTGTAAATCTTACACTGTGACTCTGTCGTTCTCAGCTGGACACCATCCTTCAATCTCACATTGACCCTTGGTCTGATTGAAGGACTTCAGGCAAACACCTGTTAGTACTCCTGGTGTGTGAGAGAGAGAAAGAGATATGGTGCGTTGAATTAGAATTTCTCAGGAAAGTTAAAGAGAGACGCTGCAGATTCAAGTGATCCCTGTAGGTTTGTCACTGTGAGTGACTCCTTTCACGTCACATTGTTCTCACATTGCCATTTTATACAGTGTTAATGTAAACTGTGGGTTATAGCCACTTTAAGGAGCTATTTGTAAGTTTTGCCATTCCTCTATAGCCAACTTTAGCATTGACAGCTGTTTACTTACCAGTCTAGAAGAAACCTGAAGGAGTTCAGCATCAAATGCCTTTGCTCACCAAGGGCTGTCTCCAGAGGTGGAAACCAACGCCAATGTTAACTCTTTTGGTTCTATTTCTATCACTTCTTTTCTTCTACTGAAGTTAGCATGCTAAACAGCTAGCCCTAGGTCTGCGTTGTTGCTTTCCGATAGTGAGTCACTGTAGCGTAGGGTAGTAGTAGCTCCGCTCAGAGGACGTATTGTAAACTCTTGTCTTGTAAATCTAATGGTGGCTGAAGCTCTTGACAAGACTGGTTAGTTAACGGCGTTTAATGCTAACACTGGCTATGTAGCAATAGCAAAACGTACAAATTGCTCCTTAAATTAGACTCACCACTGGCAAGGACGGAACCAAAATGCTTGTGGCATTCTTCATCTGTCTCACAACTGAAGATCTCTACAGTCTGACAGAAACACATGCACACACACAGACACAGAGAGAGAGAGAGAGAGAGAGAGAGAGAAACTTAAAATGTTAGTAGACTAGTGCAGTGATCATTGATTTTTGCATAAATGATTTCAATGTGCAAGTAAGCAAGTAACTGAGAACGATGTGACCATGTTTTTGTTGCACAGCCTTCCTTGAATTGCCTCTCTTTTTTATTTTATACTGAAGGAGGTAGTTTGCTGTAATGTCTGTTTTTATAAGATGAAATAAATGGTTGCATCAGAGTTATGAGTGTGGAGCTCTCCCATTATTTCTTTGTTACCTGCCTGGAAACCAGCACCTCGCTAGAATTGGTTGGTGTTTCAACTTAGTTCTTCATTGTTAGACAAGGAAAATCAAGTACAAAAAATAAGACACGATAAATACAGTTGAATAAAATAAACATTTATAACAGATACAGAAAGTGTCAAGAGAACTCTGACTGAAGGTTTGCAGTTGCACTCTGGCTCAGAAGGTTTTCAAATGTAATTGGTAAATCCACTGAAACTGCAACCAAAAACAAGTGATTTGAATGTGTCCTCACCTCTGCACATTTTCCTTGGAACTGATTTTCAGTGATGATGATTTTGGTCATGATGCAGAACACACCTGCACCCTGTAACACAACACAACATTTATGGTATACTTTAGGTATAGGTAATGCTGTGCAAAGGTCAATGTGTGCCTCACGTAGCACGCAGAACAATGGATCAATGATGAACTTGTCCATCAGAAAAAAAAAACTGGCATAACCTCTCATTCAACCTTGAAGAGGTTATGTCCGTCGACTGACTGCTAGAGTTCCTCAGACAAAGTTAAACCATTTGACATTGCAGGAAGCAGAGGTTGCTCTTCAGGTCAAAGGTGATGCTTATGTTTGTGTGGGCGTTAACCATGCGTTATCAGGGTCACACACCTGTTGCGGGAAGACGTAGTCAGCCACATCCAGCACACGGTTGTTATGGTAACCTAAGCCTTTTACTTTGGTCATCACAGAGGACTCGATGCCGGTGTCATTTACCTGATAAGCTTTCTTGTAGATGAAGACCCAGCTGTAGGACACAGGACACAATTTTAATGGCAGAGTTCATTTCTCAACACTTTTAACTGGAGGACTGAAAGTGCTCACACATGTTTCAAGTACAAGTAAAGCTGTCATTTTCTTTCACACTCTGGCACAAAATTTGTTTTTTATAAAAGAGAGAAAATCTGCTGCTTCCGTTGTACTTTCCTGGTATCTGCAAAATATGTTTCCCATAATACTTACAATGTTTTGATTTAACTTCCAGTTTAAAATTACACTTTGAATTTATGTATTTTTGTTCAAAATTAAGTCAAATTTGTGCTGACCAGTAGGCGGCAGAATAGAAGATATTCAGTCTGGACAAAAAAGGAAAAATCTATTGTGTGAAACTCAGTCATGCAACAGTACTGTTTTATTTCCTTATTTTGTTATTTGGTTGACAAATAAGGAAGCTCCAGTTTGCGCCACCCATGTATAACCATGACATTGAAGTTATAGAGTTAAGAATATAATTTTCCAAAAAATAAATACCCATCAATCTTTGAAATACTGAATCTTCAAAGACTCTTCTGACCATCTGGATGAAAAATGCTGTAAAGCAGATTTCAACCTGTTTTCCCTGGTGCAACTCTCTCTTAAGAAGCCAGAAATGACCTACAGTATGTCCTCGCTGTTTTTGTACAATACAGGAAAAATATTAACTCGTACCTTTGTTTGAAAATATAAAATAACAGAAAGTAACAGCAATCTGTCACTATCACTAAAAGTGGTAAACTTGTAATGAACAAGTACAATTATGTTTGTTTCACAGTGTACAAAGGGAACATGGAAATGTGTCATTTCCAGCTACCATCTTTGTTTTGTTTAAATAGAAAAAACGTTTTCATCTTGCAGCAGATGGGATGTTTATTGCATCCAGATGGTTGAAAAAAAAAAAAAACTTTCAGAACAGCAGTAAGTGTTGATAAACATCCCTCTTCACATATTTTATTTATTTCATTTTATTCTTTATTTTCTTTCTTTTTTTCTTTTTGAAAATCTGATGTGTAACTCTGAGAAATAAATGAAGTGGTAATATATCAAAGGGAGAAACTGGGACTAAAAGTAAGTCTGGTCTGATCAGCACAGTGCTAAAAGCATAAAGCAAGAGTATTACAAAAAGGTACTAGAAAAGATTTCATCACCTCAAAAATATTTTTAATTTTTCCTGTGGCCTATAAGTCTAAGATGTAAATTGATTGATTGTACGTCCCGTTTCACTGTGGTTATGTACCTCCTTTGCTCAGTTTACTTTCATCACATATTTTGTGCATCATTGAAGTTACTGATTACCTTTTCTCAGGTTCTGTACTTCTGCAGGTATTTATACTTCAAGTATGTTTATTTTACACTACTGTACACTACTACATTTTAGAAGGAAATGTCATACTTTATACTCCATTGCACTTATTTTGTAAAATATGATGCATCATTAGCTAGATTAAAGTAGCCAAATAAATGGGTTAATATTAGCTCACTCTCAACCAGGTGCAACAATAAAATGCTGCTTACATGTTAATGCATCAGTAATAATCTAAAATAATTTAATGACTGACAAGGAACATTCTGCTGCACAGTGAATACTTTTACTTTTGTTACTTTAATCAAATTTTGCTGATAATATGTCCTTTCTTTTACTTGTGAATGCAGGACTTTTAGTTGCAGTGGAGTATTTTTACATTGTGGAATTGCTACTTTTGATTTTACTACAAAGGAAGTGAGTACTACTTTTACTGTTGTTCTGTAATGTGATATTTTAATAAAAGGGATGTTCTGTAGGTGAGGCGCAGTTTTACTTCACTTTTACATTTTTCCTCTAAAATGAAAGGGGTTCGGTGGGGGTGGGGGGCGGACATATTTGAACACTGAACACAAGTGATATCGAGCCATTTGGAAAGTAAAATGAAGAGTTTTCACTGTTAAAAGTTTAACTGTTAAAACTGTTGACAGTGTGCTCTGTGGATTAACCAGAGTAACAGTGACATTGTTTCTGAAAATGCAAATTTGAATTTGTCAGATGGAATTTTTCAAAGCACCACCAATAAAATTCCCATCACCTCCACAGTATTGTGGCATTGCGGCAGGTTTCTCAGAGGGGGATATCAAATAAAAAATAACAAGAAAAAAAACAACAAACACACTACTGACCCGACGAAACATGTGATGATGAGCAGCTGCACGATCCGGTTGATGATGCCCACAGACCAGCTCTTGACCACCACAGACTTGGTGGTCTCGTAGGTGAAGAAGTCAGTGATGCAGGCCCATATCAAGGAGCCCATGGCTGATGGCAGTGCGAGTCAAAAGGCGACAACTCGGGTCTTCCTGAGTCAGAGAGAAAAAAATGCCAACTCCTGTCCAGCCACCAACAGGTGCCTTTTGTTGAGTGATGTGGTAAATCTGTTTGAATGTCAAGAAGCTGACTCCTGATTCTAAATGTGGTCCTAATCTTCACGCTGCTCCTGTCATTCAGTCCCTGTTGTGACCTGTGTTCATCTGCTTCATTTCATATTTGTCAGTTAATCCTCACTGTCCTCCTCTCTTCTCCTTCACTGTCTTGGCTTCATTGGTTTATGACACAAACAGGACCTCCCCTTCCTCTACTCAAATGAGCGAGGAAAATGTGAAAGTGTCTCTTCTATCCCTCCCTCTTTCTCCTTCCTCCTTCACCACAAATCCCCATCTCCCACACCTCTTTTCTCTCTCCATCTTTGGCTTATTCCAGTTATGTACAGTAGTGTTGAAAACACACAAACAACCAGCACACTCACACAGTTATTCTCGAGCAACAATCAATATCCCTTCCAGTCATTTTCATTTGCACCAGACACATTTCAGACATCCTTTCAGTGCATTTTTGACACTTATTGGATGCTTTTATCCAAAGCAAACTACACTACCACCACTTCATTCATGTTTGAGTGTTAGTGAGTGACTCAACGGGAATCTAGCTCCCAAACCTGCCCATTTTGCTACAGGCCCATAAAGGACACAAGATCTAAAGCTGTTTAATAGCAGCAAGTTCCAAAATAAAAGTACCTGAGGTTGTGCTCTGTAACAAACATGACTATAAATATGCTAGGATTTTTTTTTTATCTCGTATTCCAAGTCTGATGCTTCCTAAATAAGTATACTGCTATACTACTGCTTCAGCTGGGTCCTTTCTGTCTAAGTCTCCATCTATGATTAAGCAGTTTAATGGTTCATAATTATTATTATTAGGTTGTTTTTTCATCAGTTACAGTCATGAGAAAAATCCATCTTTGCTTTTTTTCAGAGAAGCATTTTTTATTTGCCCAGTTCCTCCATCAGTTTCAAAGCACATCTGTATTAAAAAAAAAAATATACATCTGATTTCTATGATTTCTTAGTCTTACAGGTAAATTCTCTGCGATCAGTGAATCTATAGTGAAGCTTTTGCTCTATCGGAAGGCTGGGGTGGACGGGGTCAGCCCTATGTTCCCACATTTCTAAGAATGTTTTGAAAATTAGGCCCTATTTTCCCACAGTCTTATATGTTCCCATAAGCCCATGTCCACACTAACCCGGGTAATATTTATCCGGTTAGCCCTTCCGTCCACATTAGAACGTTGAATTCCGTAACTGAAAACGATGCTTTACAAAAACGATCGCTGAGGTGGATAAATGTGAAGACGCCGTGGAACGTGGATGCAAAGCGTTCTGAAAGGGTATAAAAGGGGAATATAGGGCTATGGGAACATAGACACGCTCCCGGGTGGACGATATGAATGTAAGACGATAGAAATTTGTTTACATGCAGAGATTTTGACATACCATTTACAGTAAGTCCCTTTAACATGCTATGTATTATATCACTGTAGGCATTTCTTTTCCTTTATGGCAATATTGGGTTTTAATGATTTCTTTCATCAGTGCGATGAAGTATTTATATTATATTGTAAGGTATTTCATTTGCTGTATTAGTCAAAACCTTCCTGTGTGGTTATTTATCCATTAACGGTTTCCCAATTGATTTCCAAAACAAATTTAGACTATTAGAAGGTAAATATTGATATTGATATAGAAATCATACCGCGATATAGGATTTTATCCATATAGCTCACTCCTGCTGGAAGGCCGGCACATACAGTACATACAATTTGGTGTAAAAACTTTAGTTGGGTTGCATCCATTATTAACTTCTCATTTCAGGATGAGAAAATGTTTCTGACTAGAATTGATTGTGTTTTCATATTTATTCTGACTCATGTTTTACAAACATTTTGTGTAAGAGTACTAAACCAAACATTTTTCAAACTGCCCTGACTGGAATAACTTCAGTCAGGACCAAGTTCATCTGAGATACATTTACGCTTTCTCGTAATCGGCTGTGAAAACTTCTGAGAATGTCAAGCCTTAACCAGTAACCACTCAAACAAATCCAAATGTTCAATATGTCTCCATTAAACATCATTTGGTTGCATTTCTGTACATCAACAGTATAGAAAAAAGAAATATGATTCTATACTTAAGGCCCCCCCGACAAGATGCTTGAGTCTCTATAATAAATTACAAACTGTGGCATTACTGACAACTATGCAATAATTGCGACATATGATACGATCACTTCTCAATACACTCATGAGCACCAGCAGCATTATTGCCTCTTACATCAGAGAGATAATGTAATGATGCAATTGCAGTGTGTGTGTGTGTGTAGATGTATGTGCCAAGAGACTATGTCATTTCTTAAGTGGGTCCATTATGTTTGTGGTGAATTAATGGTATCCTAATACAAAACAAGACACGCATAAACACACATGCGATCTGTGGACATGGAAAGACACACACAAGCTTTCAGGCTGCACATGACATTTATCACAAAGACATTTTGTCAGCATTCCTATGATGACCAGTGATACTGTGAAACCTATACATCTGCAAATTGCAAATGCAGACAAACATGAATAGTGGTACATGGTCGTGGATGACTGTGAGATGGATTTCTATGTGAAAGGGGAAACCATTGTGAAAGTGATCATCATGCCACAGGAAGGGATCTATGTAAACACATTCACACTCAATCCTTCTCTGACCGCTACACCGACAGCGGCAAGAAAAAGTAAATGAACCCTTTGGAATTTTTTTCTTGTGTTTTCTTTTTTGTTAATTTTTCATAAATTGTGATCTGATCTCCATCTAAATCAGTATAGACAAACACAATGTGCTTAAGATAATGTGACACAAAAAATTATAATTCTTGTAGGACATGCCAGCACACAAACGGCCCAAGATCACATGAACTCAACTTCATATATAAACATACCACGGGAAGGAGGACCTACTCTTTCTCCCTTAGCCAGTACTGCCGCAGTCACACTTGTATTTGCAATAGTTTTGGATCTAAGGATGGCAATGTCAGTGGGTCCACCACTTTGGCTTAAACTGAAATATAAACAACAACTGTCTGACAGATTGCAATGAAACTCTGTACACCTATTTATGTTCCTCAGAGGATGAATCTTACTGAACTTGGTGAACCCCTGGCTTTTCCTGTAGCACCACTGTCAGGGTCAAAGTTTTCAGAATATCTCACATTTATTAGAAGTGGTACAACCTTTTGTACATTTATGGATCACAGACAGTGAACCCTAATGTCTCTGGTCCTCTGACCTTTCCTTTGATGCCACCATGAGGTTGACATTTGTTATTCTGAATGAAATGTTTCAAAAACTATGGGACAGATTGCCTTGAAATAAAATATTCATGTCCCAGTCACTTTGGTTATCCCCTGACTTTTTGTAATTAGGTCAACAGTTTAATTTGTCCAATACTTTGGTTTATGACCAAACACCTGCAGAACTGATGTAATTCCCATGAGCCTCAGCCATACCGTACTGTACCAATGTTGAACATTTTACCTGCTGAACATCAGAATGCAAGCATTTTAACATGCTGACATTAGTATTTAGCTCAAACTACCACTGCATCGCAGTACAGCCTCACAGAGCGAATGGCATGACTGTAGACAGGATGTTTAAAAACAAAAGTGATTTCTGCAGAAATCAATTAAAATGCCTCCATGGAAAAGGAATTGATATTAAAAATGTCAACTGACAAAAACATAAGGAGTCATCATTAGTAAATCCGGTCACTGTTACTGCAGCAGGAAGTGCAGGACTAGTACCTTATCGTCAAAACCAACACTGCTCAAGTGGAAGTGAACCACACATCCGGGAGTGTTTGGCTCTTAAAAACCACTCTCTTCGACCCTAATATAGCAGCCCTTTTACAAACCACTGTGGCCACCTGTTTGAAACCACTGTCTCTCTCACATTCACCAGTGACGCCTAACTTCCCCTGATAACATACACTCCCAAACCACCCTGCCTGGTTAAATGGACCAGATGTACAGCACCACAGTGGATAGAAATCCTATGGGAATTTCGGAAGTAAGACTACAGTAAGAGCTTTTTTTCTTCTTCTACCAGGTAATGTAGGGGTGAACTCCCTGAGCTGCAGTGCTATTATGACAGAAATGCCCATTCCTATAGTTGAGAGGGACACCCTTTAATATGGTGACAGATTACAGTAAAATGTATAAATTAATTCTTGTAGAGTGAGTTTTGAAGAAAATTGACAACAGTAATGAGCTTTACTAGATACAATTGGGAAAAATGGCAATCTCACACGGCTGTGTTGAGGTATGAAGTTCTTTCTTTTCTTCTTCTGAGCAATTCAAGGACTTGTACAAGTTGGATAAAACAAGAATTGGATTGGACTGATTAGGTGGGCATTTTTAAGTGTCTAAAAAACTATTCTTTTCTGTTGGCCCTTGTGCACAGCAACACATCGCTCCACCACTCTTTCCTAACTGGGAGCGTGCTGATTAGAATCCACTGCAGCTAATGTATGGACTATATATGTCTACATCACACAATTGCACATCAAAAAAGCCGAAATATCCCTTTAAGAAAAACCCCATCAGTAGCTACCATAGAAATAGAATGGATTTAAAGCTGCTGGTGTCTAATATCACACAGCAGAATTATGCCAATGGTTGTGTACACAAAATCCACAAAGAATATTTATTAAAAATCATCATTCATTTATTTATTTCAGCCTGAAAATATGACATGGGAAAACATTACAAAAAAAAACAAAAAACACATAATTGCAAGAACAAAATGATTTCGCATCAACTCTCTGCGTTATCTGCATCAACTAATAACTCCTAAACTCCCCAGTGCTATAAATCTACAACAGCCATCTCCATGGGTGAGATGGCACGCCAGTATCTCACCATTTAATAGAGCCATCAGTATGAAAACCAGCTCAAATATCAAACAAGCTTTCAGAGAAGATGAGTTTGTATCCTCAAAGCAAAACATGTAGAGGAAAAAAAAAAAACAAACAACTCAAGTCTGTTGATTTGTCTGTCAGTCTGTTTATGTGATGTCACCATGAAGAGTATAAATGCTTGGTCCTTGGTTTGTGTGTACGCTGGGTAAGAGTGTGTATGTTTAGTCAGAGT